TTTCAGTTTAGAAACATCTTGATTGTGGTATCAAAAATCTTTTACCTTCAAACAAAAGATTCCTTCCATGAAATTTGTAGCAAAAAGTGGAACTGAGGAAAATGCATTCGGACATAGAATTCCTTTACTTCGTCACTGCTTCACAATGTGTTGAAAATCTTTTATATGAACGTAACTATTTGGTGCATGGTTATCAAACTTAAAGCGTGTATAATTAATTTCTAGAATTGAAAACTTCAAATAAAAAAAAAAATGAATCTTTTAAAACAAGTTTGAAATTTAGGCCCATGTCCCCCTCTTAATGGTTTTCAATAACACTCGGTAGGTTTCCAATTGAAAACGTATGTTTATCTTAAAAACATTTTGAAGTTTTTTTAGTAATTTTAGTTTATAATTACACTAATTAGATTGCTTTCTCCAATCACTGACTTCCACCGTGGCTGGCAGTTTGTTCCTGGAAACAGTTTCTTTTTTTCTCCACCACCCTTATTTTGGGGAGTTTAGAAAAGTCTTTGCTGAAACACAAAGATTCAAAGGAGTTTATTGGCTTTACTTCCATACAGCCGAGAGCCTGAGGCAGCCAAAAGGCAGAAGCCCGTGCATCCAAGTGCTGGCTGCCCCCTCAGCTGTATGTTAACAACTAGACTGTAAACTGCTACATACATTCAGAGTGGAACTAAGTCAACATAAGTGGGTGAGCACATATCAGTTTACACGACGAGTCAAAAAATAAAATTTGATCCGTAGCTCACTTTTATTAAAAACTGAAAGGCCTAAGAGCACTTTGTGCAGTGCGTGGCATGACATGATTTAGTCGAATTTGAGAGCGGACTGCACGACACTCGGTGCAAACGCGACATCGACACTTTCTCCATTTTATTGCCAGAGTTGGTGCTTCGAATGAGCACATCCCAGCACACTAATTTTAGTAACAACATTACCAATGCAAAAAAAAAAAAGTAAGAAAGACGTTTACAACTTTTTGTAACACCGGTTTAGAGCGCAGCCCTCGAGGAGGAGAAGGGGAGGGTACTGAGGGGAGGGTATGCCCCTCCTCCTCATCCATACCCTCTCCTTCTCCCCTCCTCCTTTTTTATGCATGAAACACGGGACGTCATGCAACGTTTCAGCGCAGTGCCAAAACATCATGTGACTTTAATAAAGTGACGCAATGTTTCGGCACTGCGCCGAAACGTCGCTCGGGCGCGGTTTATTATGGGATGTTTCCCATAATGCACCGCACGGTTACGCCAACGCCAACAGCGATGCTGCTCAAGCCGGAAACGGGTACCTAAGAGCTGCACTCTAAAACTAGAAAAAGTTGGCGACAGCCTGCGCACTGCACACCATGCTTAATGTCCAGAGGGACAATTTTTGTCTTGGTATAGCCACGTCTCACTGATCTGGACACACTATCAGAGACAAAATATATGGGGGCCGAAATGCCCCCGTACAATTCTGCCCGCCTTCTGGACAGCCAGTTTCAAAAGTACTTGCTTTTTTGTCTCATTATTATGGACACAAGATTTCTGAAGATGGTCCACAAGCATACACACAAATATGGATTAATAGAACCCCTGGGTCACAAAGTATGTTCAGAGCTTTCACTATTGACCACTGCTGTTTGCCCTGATTGTAAAATATACAGGATCTGGACACCAAACAATGATCTGAGTATTAAGGCACTTTCCGACCAAAGGAGTCACTTGCCCTTCTGTCCCCGTGTCCCACGGCTGGATATTACATTTATAAGTCACGTGTACCCCCCGTGCATGAAAGTAAAGTCAGAACACTTCCTCTGCTACTTGGATAAATGCTTTCTGGAAAGGAAAGTAGGTACCCAAGCTTCTGTGCAGTTGAGTCTCGGGATTTTGTTTTCGCATAAGCAGTGTCTTTAGCATTATTTGTGATCTCTACCTCAATTCATTATTATCCACAATCTATCTATAGTCGGCGACAGGTCAGGAACGAAGTGGAAGCTCCTCCCACCTCTTTCCACTTTAGTAGAGCAAACGCTGGAGAGGAGGTGACCTCCTCTCAACCCTTCGCTCCGCTGAAGTGTAAAGGGGTGGGAGGAGCTCCCACTTTGTTCTTGACCTGTCACCGACTATAGGGCATGAATATGTCCATATTATTGAGCCATGACTTTTGTGCTTTACATCATTTTGGGAGGTTCAGAACACTTCTAAGAAAATATTACACAAAAAACAAGCAGGGTCTGAATACAGGGAGGCAATGTTAAACAAACCACATCACGTGTGATCCTCTGCTACTTACAGGAAATGCCATAGCTCTTCTTTGTTTAAAACATCTGTTAGCACCAAGAGAAGAACCTCAGATATATGTTGATAATTCTCCTAAGTGCCATACTTCCAACGAGCACTGCACTTCCAACGAGCACTGCTAGAACCCAATGCACTGGTTATGGTGCACGAGAAATCACCAATACATAAAAGTAGCGAAAGAAAGTAAGGAATGTTACATTCCCCAAAGTTCCACACACAGGCTATCGGCAACTTTAGAGCAAAGGGATAAATGTCGTTAACGAGCTGTCGATGCCCGAGCAAATAAAATCTAACTAAATCAGATACACGTCGGCCCTTCGAGAAAAGCATAATTGGAGTCTCACACAGCTTCTCTTAACGCACGCACACAACCTCAAAAGATGTTCACTATTAACCCAGAAAGTAGTCATGCCTGCCAACCTGTGGACTTTCAAATTCGTAAAAGTCCAGCGGCCGTGGCGGGGGGGGGGGGGGGGGGGGGGGTTACGCAAAGCGATGTGCAGCTTAATGTCAGCCTGGCCAGCGTGTGAAACGCTTACATCACACGTGCACATGCTACAGAATCCAAACTTCTCTCGCTTTTTGGGCGGCACGAAGCATGGAAATTTCGACGTGTAGGACTTCAGGAACACCTGAAAGTACCTCTTTTGAGGTTTGGAGTTCGGCATTGCGCCGTGAAGCCACAGTGACCAGGAGAATGCTACAGTTACATGTGCAACAAACACAGACGCCATACTTCTCGCCTCGAAACTGGTGGAAACAACGAGGCCCAACAACGTCTGAACACGACGAACCAACGTGCACCCGTGCACCGCCGAACACATAAACAAAGGCTTTGAGCTTTGGATTGGTTTTCGATCCGTGGCCACCGGATAGACGGATAGTAAAAACCACGACGCTGCTGTGGACGGTACCTATCGTCCTCTTGTGGCGGTGCAAGATACCGCCAACAACGAAGTTACAAAAACAACAAAAAAAAAAATAAAATAAACAAAAAATTTAAAAAATATATTTTTCGTAAGATTTGAAGCAAGATTCGTAAAATCGTAAAATTAGTCCCAATGCGTACATTTTACGAAAAATTCGGAAGAGTTGGCAGGTATGAGTAGTGGACTGTGATATAGTATCCTCCCTATAAAAGACTCAGCTTTTTAGGAGGAAGCCCTCAATGCACCGGCATCTCGAAAGCCCATACAAGCACCGCAACTTTGCTCCACTGGTCCCCATAGCAGACTTCACAGAGGTTCCACCGTAATAAACCTGGAACTTACCAGTCTAGGGGCTCTCATCACGCCACGCCAACTGAGTGGCCACGACGCGGGTGACAAGGAAGATTCGTCGGCGGAACGCACTCCTAAAGAGGCCCAGATAACAACCACGATAACAGACAACGGCAAAAGGATTGATTTGCCTAGCGCGCGGCCAGCACCGACACGTTTACCGTCGGCTGGGCTAGGTAGCGCAAGCTGCTGCCAATACAGAGGGTAGAACCACTCCCATTCATCCGTCCATCCGAAGCAAGCTTCCCCGCCGTTATCACTGGTACGAAACAGACGGAATTTAACGTCGTAAAAGAAATTCTCGACTTTCCAAGCTCCTCAAACGTGCCTACACCTCCCTTAAAGCCGCTTAAATGTAGACACTAAACAGGGAAGAAGAAAACATTTACTCCTTCCTTTAACGGTGACTAGAGATAGGACCCGCTGCATTCGAGCAACCAGGAAGGGAAACTGGAGAGGGATTTTTGAGAAAGCCGAAAGACTTCGCATGTTCGCTCTTAAAGGGACAAGTCGGGAAATTCCTTATTTGAGGCCATTTCCCATGAGACGTCGCATCCTATTTCGTGAATCCAGAGAGCTTGGCAAGATTCAGTTTCTCCCAAACGATGAAAGCCTTTCCTCATACGTACAAACATTCGGGGTACAAACAAACAACGAGATTAATAAATAAAGCCGAAGTACTCTGCAGTCACAATGAAGCTTCAACTAGGCTTCGAAGCACGGCACGGAGGAGGGAATGGCAGTGCGCAAAACATGCGGGTGGAGATGGAAGACCAATGATTCAAACGGTGTCTCTAAAATCTTTGTATCTCCTCCAGTTTTGCCATCTATAGAAAATGGTCTGTGGCACTGGGGCTACTCAAATGTGGTAACCCCGTAACAGAGATAATTGTAGAAAGAGCTGCAACTCAAACTGAAACATTGGCCAAAATTATCCCACAAGCGACGACAGTACTGAGTCGTCTACTCGCGGCAAAAAAAGATACGACCCGGAATGTCCCAAATCTCGAAATCTACAAGAATGATCCCGGTCGTTCTCAAATGTTGGTTAGAGAAAACCAAGCATTTCCCCAAATTTCAACCGGAAAAATAAAACCCGGGCTTTATCTTCTGAACCTTGTCAAACACGAGATACAGTAAAACCTCGTTATAACGAAGTTGAAGGAGCGGTCGTAATTATTTCGTTATAACCATTAGTTTGTTACAGCCGATGTCCATTTCTTCCCACTATTAGCAAGCAACGGGAATTATGATTGCTTTGTTATATCCATTAGTTTGTCATATCCCATTTTGTTATAACGAGGTTTTACTGTACATCAACGAGTTCCTGATAACAGAGCTTCCCCTCCTTCTGAAGTACCGAAAACCTTGCGTGCCTCACAGATACATTACGTACAGGAAGTGGCCACACATAGACACAATGAAATGCACCCACCATCCGTTTTGTAGCGGGACTGTCGTTAGAGGTAGAGTTGCCCTCCGTCCGCATCCGCTTCCTCTGTGCGCCAGACATGATTTGGGGTCCACACTTACTCAGGTCTGCACAATTCAAGAAGAGGGAATAAGACACAATGACATCATGGTGGACAAGCTGTATTCGCATCACGGCCAACGCTAATCCCAAAACGAAAAGAACAAACAAAACAAAGTGGATGTTAAGAAGCTTCTTGTGCTGGATGTTTTGAGAGAAACTCGCCTCTACTAAAAGTGACACAAAAAAGTGCAGCAGTTATGAAACGAAGAAGCAGACATTTGTTTCCTCGTCCGTACCATTATACTGACGTTTGGGGGTGCCATAAAAATAAGGACGATTATCATTAACCAATCATCCTTAGTAAAGGACAGCATTACACATTAGACACAAATGAAAAAAAAAAGGTTTCTCCTCTAAAACAGTATTAAGTCCCTAGCACCTCCATACTTTTCTCACTTGGAACCCCAATCTGGTCCCTTGGAAGAAAAGTCGGCGAGAATTCTGGTGGCTATGATTGGCCGGCGCATGGTCAAGTGCGGCGTTGGCGAATCCCAAGCGCCAATTGCTCACAGACTTTTTCGCCCAGTGTCCAGATTGGAGCCCCTAGCCTACCACCTTTAGCCAGGGTGGGACACGGTCGTCGACCGGACAACGAGTGTAGGGCGAGCCTCCGATGCACACTTGTCGCTTTTAGCCGCGCGTTTACGCTTTCGCAACGTAACCCAAGCGTTCTCTGAGGCAAGAACCCCGCGCTGGACGCCAGACAACTCAAAGACCTGCCTGTCTGTTGCACTAGTTCCTGCACGATGCCAGACTCTGGGATGCGCAAACAGAGACAAATGCAACGAAGGGGGCCCAAACTCTTCCCCGACCTCTTCATGTCCGTTTGCGCTAACGAGTTTCCTGACGTCCCTGCCGTCCTCGTCCCGCAGAGCACCGGCAGGACGCCGTCGCTAAGCCTGCTCGGCGTGATGCCGACGTCGTCCGCAATCGGGCTCGACGCTCTGTGCTGCGCCGATGTTTGAGGCTCGCTTTTCCTTTCTTCTAGAATCGAGTCCGCCGATTTCACATTATTTTGAGGTGCCAGATACCTCCAAGAAACGACGCCCCGATAACCAAGTTTAAGTGTCTCCCGGGTTACCGTTTCAATGCACCCCAAAAGCAATGACAAATGAACAAGGTGAAGTCGTCGTTATCGATGTAGAGAGAGAATGTAGGCTCCTTTCCGACGTTTGCTTCGCCATCGCCATACCCCACAAAACAGGTTCCTATACTCATCCTGTTAACTAGAGTCGTCGAAGCCAGCGTGGCGCAAACCGACGAAAGTCGAGAGGCCCGGAAGCTTATTGCCAGTCCTCTGGAAGCAATGATGTTAGCTCACCCATCGCCCCACTCTTTGTTCGGTCAATGTGGAAGAGCAAAAGTATGGCGAGGCCACACGTTGGAACACACTGACAATGAAGCACCGAGACCGATCGTGCGCGTCTTCTCGAAAGCCTGCATGGTCTCTTCCGACTGCCTATCTAATCTGAGGCAAGACTCAAGGTCTGCCGGTCCGTCCATTGGAAAGCTGCTCGACCTGAGAGCTTAGATAAGGTGGACACTGCACCTTCCAGAGGGACTCAACTGTCACCCTCGCACACCGCGGCGACAATGAGAAAATAAAATGATTAACCTCCACTCGGCCGTATAGGATGTGTGTGCAGCAGCGTGCTGAAGACCGCGTCTGTCTACATTTATCTTTGCTTCCTGCTGGCCTTGGATCAAAGACATTCATTGGCACTAGGGAAGCAAAGCAGTCATTCTAACTGTAAACTAAGAGAGTTGTGGATGCCTTTCATCGGTGACTAACGAAGTTCTGGCTGCCTTTCATTAATACCTGCAACAGTCGTGGATGTATTTCATGGATAATTAAAGTCGTGGAGAACTTTCAATGATCCACTTCTAGGTCCCTGTGGGGTTAAACTGCCCTGTACCACAAGTATATAAAATACAAAACAGAAAAAAAAATAATTTGCATACATCGCTAAACGCTTAATATATTCTGGCCAATAGAGCCTTTTCAAAAAGTCAGAGCCATCTAGTGGCAGTCTAATAAGCTCCAATACAAAGCTTGTATTAATCAAGCACCCTCGACTTCGTAAATCAAAAGCAACGTAAGAGAACCCCATGTTGTTAAAATAAATTCTCCACTTTAGCCTGATGCTTTCGAAGACATTCACTTCTCCCGGTGTGGAGAAGCTGCGTACTGTCGCCATTAGTGTGTCTGCTATGCCTCTAGACAGGGCGACTAGACTGAATTTTGAAAAGAATCTACTGATGATCGCAGGCGGTAAGAATTTTGACCTTCATTTTTTGTACCAGCTTCCTGGTCAGACTCATGCAAAAATGGTCTCGTCCATGGCATGCTGCAGATAACACAGCCCTCATATTTGGAGCCATGCAAAGTATACTGCAAACAGCACATTTATGTTGTTAACCTCGCATGCTGACATTAGTTTAAATTGAATGCATGGGAGTTTCTTGAAACTATCCACCTTGTATTACTTCCTGCACAGTCAGGCATCTTCGTCTCAGGACGTTCAATCATTGTCCAAAAATGTAAGATGCTGAGATGTCTGGCTAGCTTTAATGTGACAAACTTTGATCGTCGTAATAATGTCAAAGATGAAGGAAACACGTAAAGTTCAAACAGGCACTTGCAACTAAGTTAAAGGTCTTAGTGCAACTTTTGTCCTTGTTCTTTCCATACTATTTAGTTTTTATTACGAAATGCAAGTGTATTAAAAAAAAAAAAAACTGGACCCGTGTTGCTAATTGCCTTTCTGGTTATGTTGTTTGGAGCACTTCCATACATCCCAAAATAGTCGATGGGAATGCCATTCCCGTAACATACGACAGATATGGAGACAGCATATGAAAAGTGAAAATGAATGAGACGAAGTCTAACCTTGCTTGAACATATTCTATCTGTGCCTCGGTCCTTAACTAACGTAGCTCAATAACGTGACCCAACCTCGCTCAGCGCTAGCAGAAGGAAGCTATCGTGCACAATCCCAAGAGCAGAAGGACTGGGTGTGAGTTTGTGGCATTCAAATGTGCTCTCCTTGCAAAAGTTCTCGGCCAAACAAAGTGATTGGATTCAAAGCCAAAATCGTACCTGTGGGATGAAGGCTACACTCAAGACCAGTTACTTCAAGTGAACATAGAGGCAAGTCTGTCGGCTGGTCTGACTGCACAAGCAGCCACTCAGGCTATATGTATGTATATATTTTCCTCGAAGCAACCGACGTCATTGATGCAGACAAACAATAATCTCCTATTACATAAAAAACAAGAAGGAAAAGCGAAAGGCGCTAAAATCAGGCGTTTCAATTATCAGCATGCATGTATGCGTTGAAGGGAGAAGCTTTCGAACCTGACGTCCTAGTGGCACGCGACGAACACAAGGTCCCAGGAGTCGGCCAGCGCAGGCACTTAACTCTGACGACGTGTCGACCGGCTGGCGAATTGCGTAACGCCGGCGTCTGCACAGCCGGGTTTCTGGAGTTGCGTCAGAGAGCCGGTGTTCTTCGGAGGCCGCAAATCGCTGCCAATTAGGCAGTGACAGGCGCGCCGCGATCACGCGGAAACCAATGCCAAGTGGCGAGAACGCGCCGGAACTGAAGACAGCTATCGCGTCCGACACGTTCCCCGATGACGCACCGACTGCCCTTCGATAACCCCCCGACATCGAGATGGGCCGCGGTTTGCTTTTGTGCGCTTCGTAGGCGGCCTTCGAGAAGTGCGCGCTTTGATTCCAGCGGGTCAGGTAGGAGGGACTGCGGTGCCCGTGTAACCAGTGAACCGTGCCGACGGTCGAGCTTACGGACCAATCCGAGCGAGGGGTCATTCCATTCATTCGAATGAATAAACTGTCCGCAGATCGACGCGTCGGGGATCGGAGAAACCGGTAGTGCGATAAGCCAGTTTCACCTCTTGACGGATGGAATCGAGCATACTGCGCGATGAATGGGCCACAGCCTGACCAAACAGCAATTCGTGGGAGTGCATAAACACACCCGCATCGCTTGATCATATGCTGCGACCGCAAGTCGATGAACGATAAAGCACAGGGGAGCCGACATTCGTAGTACGGACCGATTGCAGTCTAGAGTACGGGAAAGTAGGCATACTCACGCAGCCGGCTACATGAACGCCAAGGGGTGCGATCTCCACGCTCGTCGGCAAATGCTTGGCTTTCAATATTGAGGGTACAAAACTAAAACCTTCGGATATTACCGTTCCAAAGTTCCAAGCAAATTTGTCACGTGATTAGCCCACCTTCATTGGGCAAGACCTAGACGTAAACATGTAAATGTTTCCGGCAGGTATGCTAGCGCTAGTGTGCATTCATTTAGTATATCAAATCTAAGGACAGCATACTGGCTAACACAAATTATAAATAACAATATATTAATACACATTTTACGTTTTTTTTACCCGTCATATTTGCGTATTAAACGTAATCATGTCTTTTCATGAGTTTTTAAGGTCACGTGGTGTAAACGTGACGTCAGTTTTATTAGTTGTTTTGGGCAACCGAACGCGCTTTTAAATGTTCACGTGACCTGTATACAGCTGATTTGGCGCCAAAATTTACTCGTACTCGGAGGTATCGGCAGTGTCGGTTTCCTCGCAATTTTACTACTGCATCGCTCGTCATGGACGATGATTCCGGTAAGAATTCCGTTTTTCAACCCTTCGAGAGACCTGCCCGCAGACGGCGCAACTCTTCCGACAGATTCCTTCGTCAAGAACCGGGCCAAACGGTCGAGGCCGGATAAAGCCGGCCGCTTCGCTGCTCTCGAGCGCCTCAAGCAAGTCAAAGGTGGCGTACGGAGCAAGTACGAGGTACGTTTCACGTGGACAATTGGGGTAGTTGGTTCATCCTTGAAAGTACAAACAGCGCAACGACAAGTATAGAGTAAAAATGGACTGACAAACAACTGCGCTGGTCACGTGCTCGAAAGTCACTTGCGCGCGGTGGCCTTTTCTTGGCAATGAAGCCAAAGCTGTGGGTGCCTCGCGCTTGTGCACATTGAGCGCCGATCACAGCTGTGCTCGGGGGGCCTAGTTGCCCGATCTCGCGTGTTCTATAATCTCGCGGATTAGCTCATCCATATGAGTGCTATATATCTGTGCCCCGCTTGTGAAAGCCGCATGTCGTACGATTGTGTCGAGCGCATGTACCATGACGATGCACACTTTACTGACGTCATTGAACTGTCGTGCCCGTGCCAGTCTGTTTCTTTTTTTTTTTTCCGTATTGACCCCTTAAAAAATGACGCCCTCTTCAGGTCATTCCAAAGATACTGCAAAGTGCTGTGCGCAAAAAACACCAACTGGCAAGTTCACAACTGATATAATGCTACCTTCCAAGAGACTGTATACAATTGATCACCATTAATAGACTTGCCATTTTAATAGTGTCTCAATTTTGTGCATGCCACTTTGCGGTATTTTCAGGTCGACCACAAAAGCGTATTCCCATCGGAGAGGAATCCCTCTCTTTGCTCCCCGGGATCATGTGGTAACAAAGTCACGCTTTTTGCATGGTTCTACGCTGACATAGGCATCCCGGTAGATAGGGAGGAGCTTCTGCTTGGGCTGCACAAATGCTCCCCATCTTGGCATGGAATCTCTTTGCAATTGGCGGTATTTGGTTTGCATGCCTGGCAACTTCAAAGATTTTGCTCAGCGAGATGCTGGCGTCGGCGTCAGGATCGCCTAACTTGTTGTGACTTGCACTGTTGCGCATGTCGTCCGAGGCACCCGAAGAAGTCTTCAATATTCATCAATGCCATGCTTCATAAATGTAATAATATTTTATTTTATTAGAATGCAGATAATATCCTGCGGTGTAAGGAGCTTTGAAAATAGAGGGCGGTGATCGTTGAACAAATTTAAATGAATGAATCAGCTTTGTGATTTTTTTGTTGTTGTTTCGTGTTAGCAAAAAATTAATTTTATTTTCAGTTTTTTGTAAGCACAGTTTGGATGTGCACAATATATATTTTTATAAAGGAAAGTGTCTTGAGCATGCATATATTTTGTTGATAAATCATTGCGAGCATATGATTTTGGTAAATTGTACTTTCTCCATTTGCTCTACAAGTTGTTATTTAGACTGAAAAAGGATGGGAAATTCACAAATCATAGCGTGGATTGTTGGGCCCCGTCATGCAAGTCTTTAAGGCTTTGAAGGGCCCAATTGATGTATTTCTGTTGATTGAAACAATAAAAGTATTATTATTATTATTATTGACTAACGTCACTAAACTGTCGTGCCTGCACGAGTCTGTTTATCCAGGGTGCCTAGCGACCGGGAAAACCGGGAATTGACAGAGAAGTTTTAATTACCGGAAAAAGTCAGGAAATTGTCAGGGATATTGTCAAAAAGCGAGGCGAGTCAAACAAAATTAGCCGGAAACGCCATAGAGTGCCCTGAGCGTAGACTCTAGGACTTGGGGGCAGAAATTGGGCAATAAATCCTGCTTAGAGCAGAGCGTAGGCTCCGCTCATTCAATGTTGAGTGCGCTATTTGATGCAAAGGGAACAGCCAACAAATCCAGTCCAGGCCTTGGGTTGGGTTGGATTAAGGGCATGACACTAGGCTAGATCCAGTTAGAGCTACTAGATTTAGTAACAAATGGAAAAGCTGCAGAATCCAAGCCTTAAGCCGAAAGTATCTGAAAGTGTGCATGTGATGGCCATGCTGCCATTGGGTTTCGACGTGTGTGGTTGAGCGTCATGTTTTCATCGTAGTTTCCGGAAGTGGCCTCTTCACTGACGATGTCGGTGGCAAAAAAGTGCTCGTTTAATCCGGACTGGACGAACCCGAATATTTCGGAATGTGGAGGTTGGATTAAGCCCGTGCAAAATGATCCTCACAGTACTCAATGCCTTGTGTTGTAATGGTCTAATATTTTTCACCGCTTCTGCAGTGGTCAGGAAACCTCACCAGAAATTCTCAGGGAAAACCTGAAAAAGTCAGGGAAAACCTGAAAAAGTCAGGGGATTTTAAAATAATCATTTGCTAGACACCTTGTTATCACTGTATATAATAATTATTGCCACTCTAGTGTACTGTGGTGGTTGTGTTGAGACTGCAAGTGTAGCACCTACCAAATAGAAGGTCCTGCCAAGAAATGCATGTCCTGGGCTTCGATTGCAGCGTTAATGGCTGTTCACTTTTCGAAGACCGAGATGCACCCACAATGGCGGCAATGAATTTCAAGGTGTCCTGACACTACTCTAGAAAATACCGATGTTCTCACTGTCAATCATTTGAACGTTGCCCAGTCTGTCCTACGTATCTTTGACCTCAACATAACCTTCGCTACGCAAATCACAGTGTGGTTGTGTTGTTCCAGCGCTGTTGTTTGTCAGTTTTCCTTTGCACTGTCCTTCTCATTGCACTGTTTGTACGTTTAAGGTATGTATTGCTTTATTGTGTGCTTAATTACCCTACCACATCCATTCGTCCTGCTATGAACTTCTTTGCATGTAACTGACTACACTTTGCGTTGGATTTCTGAACTTCACGCCAAATACCGACCATGCATCGTTTGGAGACAAGGTCCTAAAGGCAGGCGTTCGCCACTCAGAATCATTTTCGGTTCGACGTTACGTTGTAGTCGTCATAGACGTAAACGCACCAACTGGATAGCAAAGCTTTTTCACAATGTTAATGATTGGGCCAGAACAATGTAAGGTAAATTCGTAATCCCCCCCTTTTTAAAGAGACAGAAGCAAACGGTTGTTACGGACACTGGCTCAGTATATACTATGCACTTGAGTGATTTCAACCTGTTTTCGCATCGCTGTTTCAGCTGAAAGAAGAGGTCTCCGTGTACGAGGAGGTGGATGAAAAGGAATACTCGCGCCTTGTGCAAAAACGCCAGGAGGAGGACTGGATCATCGATGACGGTAATATGCAGTCTGTGCACCTTTGCGCACGTCTCAGTCACTTGCTTTTGCTAACAATGCCATGTCTAGAAAATGCTCAATTTATATTGATCCCTTGGATAAAGCCGATATTGACGGAATGTGTTTATGTGGCATTTCCGGCATTTGTGTTGGACAGTGCTGTTCTTTTTTTACAGCATTGGCTCTATTGAGCTTGTTGTACTGGGTTAGCCTAGCGTCGCCGAAAACAAACAGAGCGGGTGTAGTTGACTTTGGCACAAGGAGAGGGTGCCGCCTGCTCTTTGTCGCTTTCGGTCTCGTCCTGGCTGTTGGGATGTGAGAATTTATTAGCTGTTTTGTCTGTGATCGGTTGTGGTTTACGAGAGACCTGGTGTCTTTACCAGTGGCTTTCCGCGAGGTTCTTCAGTCGTACCCAGACAGTGAGCTGACTGCTTCGAAGGTGTGTGCTGCGTTTCTATTCATTAATTCATGCTGACAAGCTCCCAAATCTCGTCACGAGCTACGCGTATGCGTACCCGCCCATGCCAAAAGCCTGCCTCGATTGGATCTCACGGGCGAGCACTTGATGTCTGCTCGGCACTCTACACCTTTTGTGCAAGGGTGGGGCGGCCGAAACGTACACTGGGGCAAGCAGAGGCTGCTCTACGGCATAAACGCACCCATGAGAGAGAATGTCGTTGATGTGCAGGCACCGCTGTCACTATCCATTCCCATCACGCCTCATGATCGTTGGTGCAGTTTTTTTCTTAGGCATGGTATTTATTCCAAACTCTGTACTTCTTTTATGTGGTGGTGGGCATGTCTTGGATTTCTGGTTTCCTCCCATAAACTATTTGAATGCCGGCGTTCAGCAATTTGAATTTGCATTCGAACAGATAGTAGGCAGAGTCTGCTAGCCTTGCTTCTTTCCATTAATTTGTGCAGTGGTAATAAAAATAATATAGGCACTGTGGTAGAATGTCGAGCTCACAATCATAGGTTTGAGGTTTCCCAGGCAGCGCACCAGTGTTGACCCAACGTTTGCGGGATATTGGGTTGATTGGATTCCAATATTGGACCCTATATTGGAGCGCGACCCGCTCCAACAATGGGCCAATGAAATTTCTGATGTTGGGCCTATGGCGACCCGGGGTTACTCCCATTATTATTCCAATGTTGATGTTCCAATTTATCCGATTAAATACCATTATCTCCAGCCAATATTATGCCTTGATTTACAATTTTGGATCCCAATGATACTACAGGATTTTCAATATTGGTGTCCGTTGACCTGCCAAGGTTTCCGATATTGGTATCGAGTGATACCAATATTGGTATCGAGTGATACCAATATCACTCGATATTGGTATCGAGTGATACAACAGGATTTCTGTATGGGGTGTCTAATATTATGCCACAATTTCCGATATTGTAATCCAATGCAATGCCACGATTTCTGATATTGGTATCCCATGATATGTCCTTTTAGTGCGATTATGTTATTTGATTATATTCCAGTTTCTCCAGTATTGTATTCCAATCACAAACCAATTTGTCAAATGTAGTTGTCTAGTTACATTCCAGTTTTGCCCAATATTGGCAACCAATGATAGATAATTTTTAGGGGCGAAGCTCCTTAGGGTCTAGCCTTGTCCGTCCGGTGTCTGTGCTCACATCGATTGCCATCCCATCTGTCCTTCTTAAAAAAAGAAAGAAACGTTTGCACAGTTGACAGGATTTGAACCTGTGTGGGGAGACCCCAATGGATTTCTAGTCCATCGCCTTAACTGTTCGGCCACGACTGCGGGACGAGTAGGGGGCTCTGAGATGTGGTAGTAACTCATGAGCTGGGGATGTCATGGATGAAACGTTGCATGTAGCTGCTCACCGTCTACACAGGAGAGGGCGCTGCGGTCAAATGAGTATATAATTGCGTTAAACTTTGCATGCATTGGCTCAACGTTTATAGACGAGAGGGCGCTGCGGTCAAATGCTCAAATGCGTATATAACCACGTTTCATACCACACATTATCTTTCTGACATGAATGAAAATGAACGAAAAGCTCGGCATGCTGTGGCTCAGCATCTACACAGATAGCAAGCTGCTCCGGAGACCAGGCACTACTTATGAACAAAATCAGTATCATCAGCACCACCAGAACTTCGCCCCAATCAACATCATTCACCACGTGGAGATGCGGTGATTTTTTTTAATCTTGTTATTCACTATTGGCTCAGGTTTTCTAATCTTGTAATTTAATATTAGCCCCACTTTTCTAATTAGGTTAAGCAGGTTAAAGGCCTACGACCAGACTCAAAATTCTGCACGGCAGAAGATCCTCCTCACTATGGGGGAGGAGGAAACGGGCGATGGTGGACAGGGTAGAAGGGGGAGAGGAGAAAGCCAGGGAAAAGTGGAGAGCGCGAACTGGTCGTCAATCTTTCAACTTGAACTGCACCAATGATGGCCACCTTTTTCAGCAGGGTTTTGACAATTGCTTGGCAAAAACATGCTTTAATAATAGCTTATATGAATAAGGACAAACAAACATTTATTATGTCATATGGATTTCTTCTAGTACAATTGATGTCTGCTAAAATAAAAGTGAAGTCACCTATGTTTGCATTACCCTAAGTGACAACAAACACATTCAATTTTTAATTATTCTTATTTATTTCTTTAGTGACATCCCCCCGTGCCAGAACTAAAGAATGCTGGCCCTTTTTGTTTGCAAATTATTCAAAGTAATAGGGAGGACAAATTAATGTCCCTTTGAAGCATCGACCTCCAACTTAGCTACAAGTTAACATAGATTTTTAAAAAACATTGCTGCCTTGGAAAACTTTGTTCCCATAAAGTAAGGTGTTTCAGTAGGATTCCCAGCTCAATGATGGCTCCCAGGTCGCGAACTGAAACGAGTTGCGAAGCACAGTTAAAAATCTAAGCTTGTGTAATAATTTATCAAAAGGTGCTATATGTTTTGGAAAAAAAGCAACAGCATAAGAGAAGATGATGTCCTGCTGAAACTGCGACAATGTTTTTCTTTAACAATTCAGATTGGGCAGGTGGTTGATGCGCAGTGAATGTCATGTCCTGTGAACCAACAAAAGAAACAGATAAACAAAAAGTCTGAGGACACCTAAGCACTTCTTACGAGTTGAGAATGTTGAATGTTGTTCTTTTGCTCCCTCAGTTTGTCTGCGGCGTAGTGGCGAGGACGTTTCCTCAACCGATGGCTGAGTGTGCGCTCTCGTGAAGGGGCCGCACCGCGCTGAGCTCGGCCGTGCACCCTCTCCGAAGTGTGCCTGGGCGGGCTGTGCGGCCAGGCCCGCACCTCTTCTTGTCAGCAGGGCTCAGAAATAGATTTTAAGCCTTTTTTTTCTCTTTTGCATGCCCTTTGTTGGAGAAGTCCCCGAAGGTAACAAGCAGGTACACGAGTAGAAAGATTCCGCCAACTCAACTACTTGAGACTCCCTCGTGCGAGCGGTCACTCGGATTTTCTTAACCACCTCCTCGACATACTCGGTTTTCTCCGGAGATAAAGACGTCTCGTGCGAATTCACATTAAGTCAGCTTCTTTTTTCTTCTTTCCCTGCAGGCGGAGCAGGCTATGTGGAGGACGGAAGAGAAATCTTCGATGACGACATCGGCGACACGGACGACGGCCCCAGGAAAGGTGGGTATTCTGCTTTTCTCCCTTGTCTGAACTGGGTGGAACCCGGTGCCTTGAGACTCAGAGGGGCGTGTTGTCTCTCGCAGAGGCCTCGGGCACCAAGAACAAGTACCGACCGCCGTCTTCGAAGAAGGTGGCAGCTCCCAAGGCGGGCACCATCGCAGCCATGTTCAGCGCACAGCCCAAGAAGAAAGCTGAGGTGCTGTTTTGTTGTTGCTTAGTGATGCCGCTTTTTTTTTCAGAGGGCGTTGCTTTTAGAAATACACTCGGTTGAATCATTTTTATTTTGTCGATTAAACGTGCACAGAAAATCAAGTCCACCCCAAGTAGATATGAGTAGGGGGGTGCTCGAATGCTCGAATATACAAATTCAAATCGAATAGCAAGTTCCCGAATAATTCGATTCGTGAATCGAATTCCTAGTATTCGGTCACTCGAATATGCTATATATTCGGCCAAAGATGCGCGGTCGTCGCGGAGCTGACAAAAGAGCCGTTTTTTTCTCCCGATGTTAGCGCCGTTATGTTAGACAGACCATGCGAGAAACACCTATTGGTCCTACCATTCCACAAAAAATCTTAACACACGGGTTAGAAAAAAGAAAAGTAATGAATGCCAGAAACTTTATAGCATGCAGATTTACTGATTATACACCAACTCATGTTTACAAACAAACCAGAGCGCCCCTAGCGGACGCCACCGGCGCCGCGCATGCGCGATGGGGGTGTGGGCAAAAAGCTCGCCGTCGCCCATAAACAAACCATTGAAATGCGATGTTGTCGGCGTCAGTGCGAGTCCCCCTGCTCTTTTTCGCGTTCGAATTGTTGATTCTACGTCTTCCTGGCGATGTCTGACTACTTGAGCGGCGTCAGCGAAATTACCGAAGCTCGCTACACCGCGAAACTTCGGGTGAATAATGTGACATGCAGTGATTCATTGCGCGTGGACGCCGCAGTATGTACGCTAAAGCCTGATTCGCATGATGAGATTTCGCTCACAATTTTCAGTCGCCACGCCGCTCGGGCTGCAAAAGCGTGAACCGTAGCTGAATGGTCCACGTCGATGCTGAAAATCGCAAGCAGAATCGGACCAAGTCAATTAGGCATAGCAAGTCAGTGATGGTCACTGGTAACGATGATCAACATCTCCCTGTATTTACTGTTTACATCGAGCCTGCTTACCAACCTTCAAACTTAAGTCTTTTTAGGCCTGCACTTAGTTCTTATAGCAAGCACCGGGCCAACATCTGGTCTACGGGCCGGCGTCGTCTCGAAGAGCAGACGACAAGCAGAAACGTTTGAAAGAGCAGACGACAGTTCGAACGATCGGGCGGCCATCTGAACTTGAAGACGCACTGAACGTAGTCCGCAGGTGGTCCGCACAGCTTGATGGTTTTCTGGCGTTCATGTTGGAACAAAACAAATAAATCTGATGACCACAAGTATCCGTGAATTCAACCCAAAGTGCTTCCCGCCCAAGCAATCGTTGTCCGACGGCGTCTGCTTTTCCCTTTTCACGGCATATATCCAGATTCTCGGACGAACCGAGCACGTGAAAACTGACCTTCAAACCTTTCTCGAGTCTTCTGGTACGGCCCCAGTCCCGGCATTTTGACGAGAAGGCAGGTTTTTGTCTGGTTTCCTTCAAAACAACGCAGGAATACAGGTCTGGCATGGGGACTTCTGCCCACAGCCCCAGACCGGAAGTGCGACCGACGCGCCACCACCGCGCCGTGACGTCACAGAGATGAGTTGGTGTATAGTGATGCAATCTAACCTTGAATAGCAACCGAAACATCCCGTTTGCGCTATTTCCCGAGAGGAATTGTTGGGAGGCCTTAATTCCGCACAATGCCTAATTCTTTTCACGAGTAAAGCCTCTTGTTTCGAATTGAAGCGCCGATTTAGAATACACTTGCCACACTCACAGAAATCAGCAACTGCAATATCACACAAAAAAGAAAAAAATGCGTTAACCACGCCGATGAAACCAGCCGAGCTGTCGTCGTTCTTTTGGAACCGCAAGCCGCCGATTCCGATATGGAACGAAAGGGAACGGAAAAATATTGTGCCTAGATTTGAGACGGCTTCCAACCGTTCGTAGCCGCATTTGAATTACGAACTGCGAGAAAGATGAAAGCGTCGATTGGGCAGGTGTTTTCGCTCTTCCGTTTGCTCGCCTCGTCTTTTTTCCACGCAACAACGCAACACATGCATACTTACGAATCTGCGCAGGAGCCGTCTTCGTGGTTTCAGTTTAGCTTGCTCCCTTTTTTAAATCTAATCTCTCTAAAACAGGATAGGTGTACAGAGGAATGGATGCATAGCGGTTGTTGGATGGTGGCTTGCGCCGCCTAACCACATCTTTTTTGTTTTGTTTTTCTTACTTTAGGTTATATTGTTCAAGCCTGTTTACTCAGAGTTAACAGCTATCTGTTTATTTATATAAAATCAAATGCCGGGTGACTTTTTTCTCCCTTAAAATTGAGACCAAATATCGCGAAATGCCCTTTTTCCGAGATATACAAATATAAAAAAAAGGACATGTCGCGGTGTTAGGTCATCTTTTTCAGAAAAAAAGGCATGTGTGGCTGTAACTTTGGGTTTTTCTGTGACGTTTAGGGTAGATAGATTATGTCAGTGCTTTGAAATTGGACCTTTAGTCCCAACGTCCATCAGCAACTGCTTTTTTTCTTTTTTTTTTCACCAGAACTTCTATGCATTTGAGCTTTTGTTCCGTACGAGATGCATATTCTGCACCAGGCACATACTCTGCGCATATAATAATCTCATTCGCAGCACACTTTGAAAAATTCCTATAAATTAAATCACTATTTGATATTCAATTCGATATTCAGCTTTTTTATTAATTCGATTCGGTATTCGATTCGATTATTACTATTCGGTATTCGCACACCCCTAGATATGAGGGTTATCTGGGGTTTTCTTGGGGCTGATTATAGAGTGCACTGCAATGGGCACGAGGTTATTGCATTTTAACCTGCCGTCTTTGCTCGGACTGCCCTCAAAACCCTTTTCTCGGAGAGAGATGTTAGTGGGAACCTGTCCGAGAAATTGCGCGGTCGTCCCTCATGAAAGCTCCAGCGGCCACACCTGGACTCCCAGGTTTCCCCACAACCACCACAGAGTTTATAAGAAACCAAAAATTGATGTACATTGAGCCAGATCCGAACCAGCGACCTATGGATGACGGCAATCATTCTCTCTACAGTCAATTGCTACCCCAAAAGAACTATCGACAGGGCAAGTTTCGGTGGTTGAACCTTGTATATACCTCTTATTTCTTTCTATATTTGAGAACACTTCACTTTGGTAACGCATTGTGTCGGCGCACATGCATGACCATTTGAGCAGGCGAACTTGCTTGCGGTTTGGCTAGATTTCGACATGTTCGTAGCGGATCTAAAGAGCGCCAAGGAGGCTCGTCGTAAAGTGTGAACCAGGCACGGGAGCAGAATCAAAATGGATGCAAAAATGGTGTGAAAACCTTCGGAATCGTGCTCAAGAGGTGGCACAGAGACGACAACGACTCCACAACGATATCGAGTTCCGCAGGCGCCGAGCCGCTGCCGCTGTGATAAATGCTAGGCGATAGCATGAGTGTGCAGATTTTTTTATAGAGAGTTCGTAATTGCCTTTAGTGCTCTTTTCAATGCCAAAGAAAGGAGTCCACCTTTAGTATTCACTTTTCAAGTTTCACAAGTAGGCTACTGAAATTGTGCAAGAATTAATGCTGTTGGTGCTTGGTGGTGACCAGGTTCAATGAGTTCTCAAAGTGTGTTCCTGGAAACCCAGACGTTCCCCAGAATACCGTCGGAGTCTCCCCTAGCTCTCGAATTCCTCCTTGTCCCCCCTAAGTAGTTCTTTTAATTTAAGGGGGGACTCTACCTGGGCATGTCTACTTTTGAACTGCTCGCTCAATCGGCGGGAAATTTGAAGGTGGTGTTTGTAGCCATATTGACCATTCCATTTAGCACTCTTTGGGCGGCACCATTTTGTTCGACAGCGGCGCCCTCTCCATACATCCGGAAAGTTCAGCGGGTTCGGCGGGGTAAAGCGAGAGAGAAGGCACGCGCCTGACTCCGCTAGCAGACGACAAACCGGGAGGTTGCCATTCTCCATCTTTGGGCTGTACCGGCCTGCTGTATGGAACATCAAACTCTCGCTCGTGGCTGCCGTTGTGAAGTGGTTCGCGTTCTTAGAATAGTCATGGCTACTCCAAAATCAGCCTATAGCTCTCTGTTGTTCTATTTCGGTAAATGATCAACGAGCATATCTTTTTTCTGTTACTTAAATAGCAGTTGAGTCACCCGGCAGTACTACCCTACACTACTGTGTGTATTGCGGCACGGGGCACGTTTTTATTTATTATTTCAGACTTCCACTCATGGTCGCTAAAAGCCTACACCAGTACGAAATTTGTATAGTAAAAAAGGTACAGCAACCGGATTTACTTTTCGCTGGAGAGACCGGCCAATCTGACACAGTCTTTCCTATCTTTTTTTTTATTTGCATGCAGGTAACAACACAATTGGACCCTGTTACTCATTTTATCTAGCATAGTATTGCACAATAACTGGCATACCAAAATCTGTACATCTGCGCTTGAAATTTCCAAAATGACGCGATTTTAAACAGTTTGTACACCAGCCGGATGCTAGGTACAGCCCACTCGGCGGAGCAGACGACATGCGGGTGAGAGGGGGAGGGCATTTTTTTTTTCACTTTTTACCCTCTCTGCTATGACCTTAATGGAACGGTTTATAGATGGAGGGCATGCAAAGTTTCAGCCTTTTGAACCAATTTTATGAGGTACTATACCTCCAGAACGTAGCTTTGTATTGAATCTGTTCAATGAATCTATCGTTGAGAAATGGTGTTGATCACCACATATTTTCCTGGTGGAATGCAGACTGGAATACTTGTTGCAGGCTACTATGAAAAGAAATTTCAGAAAATATGTATCTTTCAAATAAAAAAAATGTATGAAAGTTTTTTTTTTTTTTACATTTGTTAAGTTTTGCAAATTACGATTTTTCATAATAAAGGAACATGAAAGTGCAAAATTTAGGTTCATAGTAACCGGCTCGATAAAATTTTGGCATTTAATCCGCGAATATCAAGTCTCGCGGCAGTTTCATACTAAAACGATAGTTTTATTAAGGTGGGATTTGCTGCCAAAAATGAAGCTGAGATGAATGCACTTGAAGTTTCAAGATGACGTTTTAAAATTTTCTTTTTGCGTCTAAATGTCAGAAATTCTTTCCAGCAGTGTAGGTGACGTCTTCCTCAAACTTCTGATATACTGAAATTGCTTCAGCTCTTTTCACTTGTGGATGACGAGTGCTACGCAGTTTATGTTGGCACTGCGTTTATATGTTGGCACCTCGCCAACATATAAAGAATAATTATTTCTGACATTGTTTGTCAGTGCACATTGACAAGACCGTGAGTGTGTTCCTTGTTATCCATACATGCCAAAACTCTGCAGTTCTGAATATGAATTTTTTGGAAAAAAGGTGCAATTCATGGTGTTGTCCCCCCCTAAGCACTATTTCGCAAGATTCATTCCTTGAAACATAGCTCTGTAACACCCTCTCTCTATTGTATCCATCACATAAATTTTTGCACTACTTTACTGCGGCAGTGCCGAGGTCCGAAGGAATTTCTCAGTCTCTGTTCGAGGGAGGAGCATAGTCCTTGGAGTTTCAAAGGTTTGAGAAGCCCATTCTTTTCCGCAGAAAGAGATCAACCTCAACGACGACCAACTTCTGGACAACATCCTCCAGTCCGTGGACAGGCAGAGTTCGGGTCCGAGCATGTCCACGGCGTTTGTGCTCACTCCTAAAGCTCCCCGGAAGTCTGCGGGTTCGTCGGCTTTAAAGTAAGGCATCGAGTTTGTTCTTGCTGTTTCTCGCATATCTATATCTTTTCTTACTCTGTACCATAGTTGTAGCGTAAATCCTGACTCGCTATAGGTAATGCTCATGCGAGCAGGTTGCTATATTAGAAGTTTACAACACCCTTCGCTACTTACACATGGACCGTGGTATGGGACCACCTTGGAAATGCCAATCTGTCTTGATATCACAAAAAAAGAAGAGTTCCGGTGCTAGTTTTGTGGATACTAAATTGCACCCATAGTCTACTGCAACACGAGATCTGCGGCGCGAGCTTTTGACCTTCGGTAACGCAGTCAGACACGATGGAAGGCAGCGAGCGCGTGCCGGAGATGGAGCTTCTCTCGCGTTGCAACAGACCTTGGCGGGTACGTTTGAGCCTTCCTCAGAACTTCGTTGCATAAAGACGCAGTCAGACCGTTCACACGTTGCAACACTGTGTTCGTCGCAGACATGCTGACAGAATTATCTGCGAACAGGCCTCGAGCATGTTTCCTTCGTACGTGCGTGTGTTTCTAACATGTCTGCGGACATTCTTTCTGCAACCAACATGACGGGGTTGTCACACGACTAAGAAGCCCGCCTCAAACAGCGTCTGTGCGCCATCTTTTGCACGACGCATTAGCAGCGTGACCGCGGCTTTAGAAGTCTCGCGGAGCGCCTAGGTACAGTTTAGTCGTGCGAGTGGTTCGGCTTTGATGGGCGTTTCGTCCAAACAATGGGGCCACTTTTTGTGGGATGAATTGAAAGGTAGCGTGCTTTTTACGGCAAGGTACCGTGCTTTGTGTAGGGGGGGACCGTGGCAATAGCGCGTGGTATCGCGTGGGTACTGTCTAGAAACAATTGCTCGTGCGGCGACAGTTTGCTCTCCTCGGACGCAACGGCTAGCAAGCTTACGACACGTCGACGCCAGAGTGGAAAAGCCCGTCGCCGCGTTGTCCTTTGCCACGCCGAAACCGGGGACGTTGTGTACGTGTCGGATATCTCGAGATGCGTCGCGCGTCTCAAGGGCTAGACTGGCAGTTCTCAAACCATGATCTGCGGGGGGTCTTCAAAAGTGTTCGTGAGGGTCCGCGCCGGGTCAAAATCCGCTCTAAGAATTAAAAGCCCGCTTTGCCATTGCGCGAGACCTCCGGCGCAGAATGCGTCGGGGGTCCTCAACCTCTGAACAGGTCGGGGTAAAGGAGTCTGTGACGGCCGAGAGTTGGAAAACCGCCAGGTTACATCGTGTTTGGGGCGCTTCGGAGTGAGGTGATTTAGGACGAAAGATCTAGTACTCCGACGTTACCGAAGGTATAAGCACAAGCATGTACACCAGTGGTCTCAAACTCATTTGAGTGTGTGGGCCAGATAGCCTACACCGGAGAGGTCGAGGGCCAACATAAGATGGGGTTGTGAGGAGGTTGAAAAGATTTGAAACAGGAGAAACCTCGTGCTCTTTGCTTTTTGTAAACTCGCAGTCTAGCCAGTGACATCTTCAGATATGATTTGTTTATATGACTACTTTGGGCCCTAACTTGACATGGTAGCAAGGATTCAAATGACACCGCCCCACCTTAGAGCTGGTATTTTTATTAGAACAAGAGAGCAGGTACACTGTCATTTCCGTTGCTCAATTTTCTCAGGAATTAACCAAGCTCGAAATGTATCTGAAACCAATCAGTTAATTTGACAGTTCTTGCTTCCCTTCTGGTTTTTATTATAACACCCTTAACAAACACTTGTCTTTTAATGGTAATTTTGTTTTTGTAGGCGAGAATTTTGAGATTGCGCCTTTTTCCTTGGCAGTTGCTCCTGCTGATCGAGTTCGCGCAGCCGAGATGCATGCATCCTTTAACGAACAGCTCGCGCTTGCAGCTTTGGAATTACGTTAAACGTAATTCCAAAGCTGCAAGCCGTTCAACGTTAAAAAAAGCCAGGAAGCAAAAAATAAAGCTAAATAAAGGGCGAATTGATACAGATAAGTATATAGCTATTGAATAGATGAAAAGAGCAGAGCTACTTTTCGATCGAAAATGAATCGACGATATGAGATCACTATGGCGGATGTTAGTTCTAGCACTCGCGACATTTGAATCGGAGCCAGTTGCCCGCGGGCTGCATTATTTAGCATTTTATAATGTTTGATACACATACCACAGGTCTTCCGCCAACCCGTTTGCCAAGAACAGCCAATATCTGTCTTCGAGGGCAGACGTCAAGCCTCATCGTGGCAACTACAACACCATTGATCCCCAGACGGTTGTGAGCCGAAGGCAGCTTGAAGACAAGGAGGAAATAAAGATTGAGCAGTTTGACACGCAAGAGCTGTCGTGCGACTTCAACATTGAAGAGGACTCCCCGCCATCTCCGCTGGCAGAAGCACCCCACGAAAATGGTACAAACAATTATTATGCCATTCGACGCTAAGGAATTATTTAAGGACAAGGTTGGCTTTTGAAGACCAAAAAAAAAAACTAATTTTAGCATTTTTTTCTAAATTTTTTTTACCTTTCTTGGCATTAGAAAAGCCACCTTTAAAGTTTCTTTACTGTAAGAGCAGTGCTACCCCTTACTTGCTGAGGTCTGCTAAAGATCAAACGGTTCTGCAGTGCCAATAGGTGAATGGTTGCATGGAAGAAGGCACAATGAAATTATGTTTGGCTTGCTAGCTTCTTTGTGGCATGCAAGACGGCCATTATCAACCAAACAGCATCAAAGCCTCACACTGGCTTTACCCCTTAACCGTTCTTAATTTTTTGGAATTTCTGACTCTCAACGGCTTAGTTGTCTTCAAAATTACATTTGTTGCCTTCAAAATCAAATTTTTAGCCACGACCAGAACGGGAGCAAAGTTGAAAAGAAATGCAGTGCTGCCGTTTGTTGGCGCAGCCACAAACTAAGTCTGAAGCGGGCCTGGTTCGTCCAAAACAGTTGTGTGTGTGAACCGGGGAAAGCAAACGAGTTATACTCGTCCTAAACTTTTTGGGGGGGGCGGCCCCATATCGACGAGTTAGGCTTCTCTAAAACGGTTTTGGGTTTAAGGGACGCTGAACCCAGAAAATAAATTTTTTGAAGTTTCTGGATAGGTTATGTATGTAACAAAATGCACATTTCTGAAAAAAGAAAAAAACCCTTAGTACAGTGTTTTTTTGTTCCAAGATTTATTTGAGCAATTCTAAAACACAAGGACATGCTCTAAGTGCCCCATGTCCTCAAAGAAATTTTAGTGTTTTTACAGTGTAGCTGTTTATGGCTAGGGTTCCGTGGATTTTTCATGTGCGTCAACAAGAACTCGGGTCCCAAATTTACTGCAGAATTGCTTCATTCTCTGCAAAAGCTTATACGTGCCGTCACTTGGATTTGCATTTTCAGTAGATTAGTTATCAATATGCGCCATTTTCAAGATCGGTAGACTCTTAGGCAGATAAGAAAGGTTTCTCAAAGATTTGCCGCTGTGTGACCTGCATCAGCCATGTCTACGCTCGCACCGCCCTCTCTTTGTCGTCGTTCCAGACGCTTGCGTGCCTAGTTTCCTTTCCTTCCACTCTCCTGGGGTGGCAGTCCCGTCGCGCATGTCTAGTTTCCTCCGGTTCCCCGGGGCGGGTCTGTGTTGTCTGCTAAGCTGCTTCGCTGGTCATCTACGTTCACAGAGTGCAATTGCTCATGATTTTTTTACCGCAAAAATAAACTATGTAGTATCACCGAACCTTCAGTCTCCGCACAAATGTAGCATTGGTGGTCTGGATCAGATGCTAGTTTCAGGACAAAGCGTTATCTTATTCAAAAGTTATAAGTGATTTTCTTTAAGTGTCAATTAAAAACTGGAAGTTGTTTCGGTAGCTGATGCCATTCATCCCCACGTATTCGTGGGCTTCGTCAAACACCATTTTCCCATTCAAAATTTTCATAAGTCGTTTACAACCTTTTTAAATAAGGAAAGGCAAGCTTCGAAACTTTTGGTGTCTGGTTTGGACCACTAGTACTTCATTTTGCCGGAGACTGAGCATTCAAGGACAGCTTGTTTTCACTCTGAAAAAACACTACACTTCTTTTTGGAGACCCTTGTACTATACAAGCATGTTTCAGAATTGCTGGTTAACTCGACATGAGTCTTGCAACATAAATACTGCACAACATTTTTTTTTTTTTCAGGGACATTTATTTTGACTTTACGTCCTATCTAAACACTGAAGGAAGTGTTTTTTGTTTGTTTTTGGGGGAAGGGGTCAAATTAATTGTTCCTTTAACAAACATGCTTTTTATGATAAAAGAAAGTAACCAACAAACAATCTCTAAATGTGAGAGGGCCCGACATTCTAAGACCAATTTGGTTTTCTCTTCGCGGCAACTATGACCATCGAAGACCACTTCCTCTTTTAACGTGATACATTCTTTGGCTAGGCCCTTCGTGAAGCCCAGATAAAAGCGTGACCACGAGGCTCAATACTGATTGGTTGACGAGTGGGAGAGGAGGAGTGAGGTGCTCGACGCTGTTTGGTTAATGGGGAGGTCATGTGACTAGAGGGGTAGGCGAGGAAGAGCTCGACCACCTGTGTGCACCGAGGGAGAGGAGCTGGAAAGTGCGGAAGGCTGTGCACATGGTATGTGTTAAACTATCCGATGTAGAGCTTTGTCAACGTAGGCGTCTGACATCTCTAAACTTGGAGTATTCCTTAAACGTTTGTAATGCTAGAACGTTTGACGTGCCTAGCAATTTGCCATAAATTTTTCTGAGAGCAGGTATGGCTTTTGAACTTAGCAGTTTCTCTTTTTTTTTCGGAGAGGTATTCTTTTCCTCTTTTTTATTCACATGGCACTGTCTGTTCTGCTTTCAAACCGAATCAGTTTTGAAACATGGGGCCCTCTCATATCTGGGATTGGTTAATGGTTTATTTTACTTTTATAATCATTTTAACCCAGCCAGACAGACTTTTGTTCGATTACCGTATTTACTCGAGTAATAGCCGCACTCTTTATAAACGAGGCCCTTGCGTCTACTTTCCCGCAAAGCACATATACAGCCAATCATAGCGTTGCGCATAAGTAACATTGCGAATAACTAGATCGAGAACATGAGTCTCCATGCAAATGCAATCTTCACAGATGGTATCTTCGCGCGAAGACGTTATCTCTGTCCCGTAAACCGCTGGAATCATGCTGTCGATCGCTGTGATTGGCAATCCGCGTGCTCCGCAGAAAAGCGATCCCTCAGGTTTTCTTCATAAACAGTGCGGCTAATACTCAAGTAAATACGGTATGTCTTTACCGTAAAATACCACGGGAGCTCCCACTTTGTTCAAGCGCCCACTATTTTTACATTTCCCAAGCTTGGGAATGGTGGGCAAATAATATGTTAGGCACCCAATTTGACCGAACAGAGTGCCCATGTCTAGATTAAAACCCAGTTTTCAGTGGAGGTGTGGTGTGTGCTCCTCTGGCATTTTACGGTAACTGCATAGTATTATGGAGACTGAAGGCACATGCCATCTTTTCGAAAAGCACATGCTGTTCAGAACAGTAGGCATGTGCTATGTTACAAGTTGCTGTCAGCTGCAGAAACTCGCCCTGCACGGTTTGTGTCAGTCTGTTCGGGCTGTAATGCCGTCAATTTGTTCTATACAGCTTTCCAAGAAACACTCGGGCCCAGGGACAAGAGAATCTTTTTTGAGCCAACTGGGTTTGGGGCTAGTTTCTGATCTGTGTCACTGCTATCCCTAACCAGGTGGACTTGATTTGAACAGGCGCAGCCTGCGTAGGTGCAATTTTAGACACCGCTGGGGGCTAAATTTTCGCCTTTTCCCGTCGTTTTTGGCGTTTCATGGTGTTTGTATTTTCCCAAGGACATTGACCAAGCATTGTCAATGTTCATTTAAAACAGGAAACAAACTAATTTTGTTGATTTCATTAAAGTGGTGCTAGCTGTGCGATGATAGTTAGAAAGTATAAAACGGACGGAGCGGCTTTGACAGAACGAATGCGCCTGGAATGTTTGTTTTATTTTACGATAAGTTTTGATGGTTTTGACAGACAACTAGAGTGTTTACTGATGTACACGACAGGACTCTCACATAAAATTTTGCAATTGTTAGCATTCAAACAATATATGCTACGTAACACACAGTGCAGTGTTATCCAAAAAGCATTTATTTGAGAAAGATCTCAAATAACACAGCACCACAGTGTCGACGACAGTCAGATCTGGACGATTAGACAAAATCCAAAAAGACATTTTATTTCAACATACTGCCAGCCACCTGTTGGCAGCCAGGGCAGGGGTGGGCATAGACAGACACAAACAAAAATAGCACGATAACCTAGCACACAGCAAGCATACCTAACAAATCATCGGCGATCAAAAAAAAAAAAAAAAAAAGAAAAAAAAAGTGTTTAGTCATGGTAAAAAAATGAATAAACAAAGTGGCATCGATTCACTTGACACAATCAACTTTCGAGCAAACGGTACCAATTGTGTACACACACAAAAAGAAGAAAAAAAAAATAGCGTGCAACAATAATAACCTAATATACCGTCTGCAGTCACCGCCAAAAAAGTTGTTCTATCATTGCTGCAAATGATGACGGTGTGACTGCATTTGTAACACTTTCAGGCAAACTATTCCAGTCATTGATTGTTCGCGTGAAAAAGCTATTTTTTAGACAGTCAGTTCTACAGAAAGGGACCACAATAGTTTTCGAGTGCTTATTGCGCGTGTGCCTGCTTGAGTTGTAGTCCATGTACTTTTCGAATGACATGCGCGAAGAGTTGTGCACGATAGTATAAAGAAGCTTGAGACGGTTTATCTTGCGACGGGTTTCAAGACGAGGCATTTTTGATATGTCGTATAATTTTGTAATTGAACTTTTTCTTCTGTATTCGTTGTACGCAAATCTAAGTGCTTTCTTCTGAACTCCCTCAATTCGGTCTACGTTGATTTTGGAAGTGGGATCCCATACCACGTCAGCATACTCCAGAACAGGGCGTACGGTGGTGCTGTACGCTGCTAGTTTTGTTTTTGGTGTACAGTGTCTTAGTTTTCTTTTTAAGATCCAGAGTTTCACCATCGCTTTCTGCACAATCCATGCTACATGACTGTTCCAATTGAGTTTTGACGTGAGTATAACACCGAGATACTTGTATTCGTTGACAGTTTCTAAGGGATGGTTGTTGATGGTGTAGCTAAAAGCAAGGGGCGTTTTCTTGCGTGTGACGCACATGTACACACACTTAGAACTGTTAAGCGACATCTGCCAATTCGTGCACCATTGCGTTATACTGTTTAGACAGTTACTGAGCTTTACCTGATTACTTCTCGAATCCACCTCTGAAAACAATACGCAGTCGTCCGCATAAAACCGGCATTGTACGCTGTCATCAACAGTGAGATCATTTATGTAAACTAGAAAAAGCAAAGGCCCGAGCACGGACCCCTGGGGCACACCAGAAATAACGGGGATAGTTGGGGAAATTACTCCTCCGACCTCAACAAATTGATGACGATTGCTTAAGTAAGAATCCAACCACCGCATTTCATTGCCTACGAGAGTCTTAAGTTTTATCAACAGCTTCTGGTGCGGTACTCGATCAAAGGCTTTGGCAAAATCCAAGAAAATAACATCCACCTGGCCCCCTTTATCAAGAACCTTTGCAAACTCATTTACAGTATGAAGAAGCTGCGTAACCGTCGAGAAGCCGTGCCTAAAACCATGCTGTTGATCCGATATGAAGTTATTTGCCTCAAAGTGAGTCACGAGATGCTTGAATAAAAAATGTTCGAGAACCTTGCTGCAAGAACAAAGCAAAGAAATCGGTCTATAGTTACACACTTGAAGCCTGTCACCGGCTTTATGAATTGGTATTACCTTTGCAGTTTTCCACTGATCCGGTACAATAGCCTGTTCAAGCACATTGTTGAATATAACAAAAAGAAATTTAGAGCACCATTCGGCGTATCTTTTCAGAAAAGCGTTAGGGACATTGTCTGGACCACTTGATTTTTTTGTGTTTAAATTTAGAAGTGCTTCGAAAATGCCTTCCTGCGTCACCTGGACGTCCGGTACTCCTATTGCTCTTTCCCTGTATTCGGGTGACTCGCCGTCGTTAATCGTGAATACCGAAGAAAAATAGTTATTAAATGTTTTAGCGATAGCCGATTTGTCAACAACTTCTCTTCCACGTTCCTCAATCTTGGTTACGTGCTGTCGCATGCCCTGTAAATGCCTCCAAAATTTAACTGGATCATTAAGCAGGAAGTTGGTCATTTTAACGTTGTAGTATTCATACCTGGATTTTTTTATTAGTGATTTAAGTTTTATACGCAGCACAGCTACCTTTGCTTTGCCTTTACATGTTTTGTTAAGTCTTTTTGCCTGGCGCTTTACTTGTAAAATCTCCCTCGTTACCCAAGGACTACGCTGTCTAGTATTTGTTTTCCTGGTTGGCACAAAGCGTTCTATACACGTGTTTACACTTTCTTGGAAGAAATGCCATAATTGGTTTATATCACAGCTAGTGCAGGTAGATAAATCGGAAAACCTGTCGAAGGACAACTCAAGAAAATCTAAGATACTTTCGTCTTCTGCTTTGTTGAAGTCCTTAATTTTCCTTTCCGTATTAGGTAGACGGTTGGGGACTAAACCTGTACAGTCTAACACTATCATGCGATGATCTGATATCCCATCTACAACTGCACAATGGTTATCTGCAACACACAGAGTATTAGAAACAAATACTAAATCAAGGAGAGAACTGGTGGTTTCAGTAACCCTCGTGGGACTTGTTACCATCTGAACAAGGTTGTTTGAGAATGCTAAATCGATCAAGAGTTCGGAGTGGCGACACGCTGACATTGAGGTCATTGTTTCCCAGTCTATATTTGGAAGATTAAAGTCACCTCCCAAAATTATATTTCTGTTGTGTTTTGACTCTTTATGCACAAAATCGTGTAAGTCGTTCAATACCTCAATGTCAGCACAAGGTGGCCTGTATACCACACCCACCAAAATACAGGAAGATAAAAGCGACACTGTCACCCACACCGCTTCAATGGGTGTGGTATTACGCAGCACAGAAAATTCCATTCCTTCTTTCAGAACTACGTATAGCCACCCCTCCCCCTTTCGAAGAGCGATTTTTCCGTATAATTTTGTGCGTTGGGGGAACGATATCGCAATCAGAAATACTATCACTTAGCTAGGTTTCGGTTATCAACAATATGTCGGGGTCGAAACTAAGAATAATGCTTTCCAAGTCGATCGTTTTATTGACAATGCTCCTTGCATTCAGGTTTATTAGTCGAAGTTTCGTGCTAGTTGTACAAACTGCCCCTTGCACTGCAACTTCGGGAGGAGGGGGGGAGTTTGTATTTCCATGCGCTAACCGTCAGACAGGATTCTGACGCGTGGCAGGATAGACAGGAACTCTTATTTGCAGTATCATCCCAGATGAACACTTGTCCATTTATTTTAATTTTATCGAAAGAGAGAACGACTTTATCTCCATTCTTTTTTAATTCCTTAGCGCTGTCCCAGAGTTTTTTCCTAATCTGCTGACACGTGGTGAGAAGTCCTCAGAAATACTGAACCTTGAGCCCTTTAAACGCCTGCAGCTGCTCAGAACTGCACTCTTGTCCCTCTCTTCGAGAAACCTTAGGATAACTGGTCGCGTTTTGTTAGCGACCTTACGACCAAGCCTGTGTATCTTTTCAATTCCAGAGGCGTGTACACCGAGAATATCCTCAAAAATTTCTTTCTTAACACAGTTTTCCAACCCTTCATTGCTTTCATCTGCTGTCTCTTTAATACCATAAACAAGTAGATTATTGCGTCTGCTTCTGTTCTCCAGGTCGTCTACTTTTCCGAGAAGGAAATTAACGTTCTTTTCAAGAGACACAATCCTTGTCTCGAAGGCTGCCACAGAAACCGCCATATTGGACAGTCCATCTACTCTGCGTTCGATTGTTGCAAGTCTAGCGTTAGTTTCCGCAATCAGTGCATCTGTAGCAGTTTTTCCCTCCTTTATCTCCTTCACGTCACTTGCAATGGCCGTAAGATGCTGCATTAGATCCTCAAGGGTGGGCCCCAGGTTGGTTTCTACGTCGCCGCTTAGCATCAACAAGAGACTAAACAGGTCATGGCACACACATAACACTCTCCAAAGTGACCGTGGGCACGGCAACTCTAAAAGACACACATTGTCGCTTCGGTAAGAACATGAAGGGTACTCGTTCCTCACCTGCACGAAAAGTGTAAGCGGGTTTTTCAGCGACATAGCTCTGACGGAGTCGCCGCGCCCACTGTCGTTGAACCACCTTGATTGCGGCTTTATAGGTGGTTGAGCCCAGGAAGTGACCGTTGATGTTTCCGGTCGCGCATGCCCGAAGTGTAGAATCGGAGCGTGCTCGATAGTTGCCCGGTAATCGCTGGATGATGCAGGAATATCCCAGAGAGTGATGACTGGAAGCTTTGCCGCTGAGTCAGATGTTGCTGTTCCTCGTGCACTCGCTGGTGCATGAATGGCCGAATAAACCGCCAGGGTCTGCACGAAAAGTGTAAGCGGGTTTTTCAGCGACATAGCTCTGACGGAGTCGCCGCGCCCACTGTCGTTGAACCACCTTGATTGCGGCTTTATAGGTGGTTGAGCCCAGGAAGTGACCGTTGATGTTTCCGGTCGCACATGCCCGAAGTGTAGAATCGGAGCGTGCTCGATAGTTGCCCGATAATCGCTGGATGATGCAGGAATATCCCAGAGAGTGATGACTGCTGCATTAGATTTAGGAAGAGCTTTCTTTCTTCACCACACCAGCACCAAGACAAAGAATGTAACTGATCCATTCCCCACCCTAAACAGCTATTTTTGGCTATGACTGAGAAGGACTCTATGCGGGTTATCTCTGGAGTAAAGAGAAAAGTGGTCATTGTTCGCAAAATCGCGTCAAGGGCCTTTTGACATTCTTTTCCTCCTTCGATTCCCGTGAATGTCGAACAGAAATGCTTGAATAACAGGCACTTACCAGCCCTATTTCTCACAGTAGAAGATGACACAAAAAGGCTATGTCAAGAGAGGTTGCAAAACTTAGAATGTAGAACCGCAAAACATACATGAAGAATCGTGCTAAGCAGGTTTCAACAATCCAAGAGAGTGAGGAAATTTCTAGCTGATGGGGGTGCGAAAGTCACCCCAGCTGCATCATCATCAACAATATGGCGGCAACCTAGGAGCGTTTTTTGGAAAGGTGTATAATTGGCACGGGTTTGCACTGCTGCTTTATCCAGACCAGACGGTGGACGAAGACTTGGCGTGCTTTGCGGACGCCCAAAACGACGACTTCCACATGGAATCGGAGGAGAACGGCCAGACGGCCAATGCGGGGCTGGACCTCAAGGTTGGCACAGGCGTTGGAAAAGAAGAGTCTTTGGATGACAGGTGGGCTATCTGTTCACTGTCCCCTATAGGAGGCTTCTCTGGGAGAGGCCATGGGTTCCCAGAGTATCGCGAGAAACACCCCAGTGGTGTGATTGCTGTGCCAAACTGCACCAAGGGGCTAACCCTGCTACATCCTGTTACATTTTGCCAAAATATGGGTAATCTGCGCCAAGCCTGCGCCAAAAAACTAATTTCGGTTGCCCTTCAAAACCGAAACTAAACTGAGCACCAAACTTGAGCGTGCGTGAGCTAGGTGGTACATGCTGCCATCCGACACAAAGTACCCTGCATCAATTGCCCATCCGGTCTTGCATGGTTTTTCCGCCGTTTCGCACTCTCGTCGTTTTATGGGTCTCGTCTCGCGTCTTTTTTTAAAATATTCTCAACGATAGACTCGGGTGCATGCGGGCGCTCCGACGCTAGCTTGTTGGGTACCACTCATGCCGTCATGCTGTGAAGCGAAACCACATTTTTGCACGGTGGGAGTTACTTTGTCAGCTAAAGCACTCGCTCCTGAAGGCAACGGCCGTGGGAAAACCATATTTGGTTCCTGCCTTCCAGTTACCGTGGTCGTGCGGCGTCAGCTAGTGCTGTCCCCACGTCACTGTAGATATGAGGCTTTCTAAAATGAAACTAAGTGTTCATCAGCATTCCTGTTCTTGTTTAAATCATACGTTACTGCATAAATCTCTCTAACTCAAAGACTGCTGTGTCGAAGTGTTGATTACCTTGGTTTCTTTCGGTGGGCTTTCTTTTGAGAGGGACCCCGGTATGTGAAAAGTCTGCCGCGAAAGAAAGTTGGAGAAGAGAAGTGAGTTAAAGCAAAGAAGGCAATGTCTGCATGCTGAACCCACAGACAGGGTTCATGCGGGTCCTTGAAATCCTTGAAAACCCTGGAATTTAAAAGTATGTTTTCAAGGCCTTGAAAGTCCTGGAATTTTTACAGATCCTTGAAAGTCCTTGATTTTCGAGTTTGACGACGACATTTAGCAAATGTTTATGAACGCCTGGCCACACTGGAATCAGTTTCGGTTTCGAAGGGCATAGCCAGATCCATATCCAATCCACTCCTTTATGTTATTTCCAGTACGGGATCAGAAGTAGCCGGCGAAGCTCGAACGTAGACTGGTGTGTAATCTGTGCGGTCGGAATTACTGCAGCAACTGCAAGTGAGAAATATGCCAGGGAAATGCAAGTACCAACGCTGAGAAACGACAGTTATAGGCACTGCATTGCACCAGACCTGCCGAATCCAAATTGGGCTAAATGCAAGCCTTGCTCGAAAACGTTCAACATCGCTGCTATGGGAGAGTCAGCGCTGCATAGTCACATGAAGAGCGCCAAACCCAACGCGAACGTGAAGCTGGCAGTGAGTAACCCGATCAAGAACTTGTTCTTGGTGCCCTCTGTAAGTGAATGTTCCTTGAACCCAACGTCTGTGGACACAACGCAATCACGGTCGTCGGGCTTGGACGGTGTGTCCAAGAAGCATGAGCTTGTGACTCATGCAGAGATTCTGTGGATACTAGAAGTAAATGCATTACACTAATCTTAAAAGCCCTGTTCACGGACAAGTGATTTGTTGAGAAGAATGTTTCCTGACAGCAAAGTCACTCGAGCCTTCTCCTGCGGAGAGCAGAAAGTATTCGTACGTCGCGTGCCATGGTCTCAGACCCTTTTTCTTATCTTCAATTGGCAGGTCGCTGTGGAAAATATGAAAGCTATTTTCTACATCTGGCAGCGAATTGTATGGAACGCTGTAAACAAGGCAGGGCGACGTCTTGAATGTACAAATCACGAAGGAACTCAGGATGTCCGTGGCTTCTGCAAGGCACCATTATCGTGTTTTTTGGGAAGCCAAGAAACGGGAGCTTGAAGATGCAAGGCAGGTGAAAAGGCACTGTATTGATGGAGAAGTTCAAAGATTGAGAGAGAAGAAAAAACTGGAAGTAGCTGTTGCTGAATTGACGGCTTCAGCAGACAATTATGCAGAGGAGGCAGAAGCCACGAGTGACTTCTCATGGATCATGAAATCCAACAGCCTCAGGAAGACTTGCCAAAAGCAAGGCACAGGAAATTCTGATCATTGACCTCGAAGTCCCGAAAAAGCAATGTGAACTACCATTAGGGTGACCACCGTCCTGCGACTCGCGGGACTGTCCCGCATTGAGGGCTCATGTCCCGCGTCCCGCAAGGAATTCTCAGATCTTCAAAATGTCCCGCATTTCATACTGTCGTAAAATTCACTCTGCAACTCATGGCGTTGCCGAACAACGGGGCACGGGGAAGCGCGGATGTCGCTGGTAATCGTGTGAATCGCAGTGGTACACCATTTTCTATCCAAGCATCGTGGGAAGCAACCGTCTTTCTTGCAGGAGACCCGACGTGCATGCTCTGTTGTGCCTCTCTCCTTGGCAAAATATTCTAAGAAGAATCACTCACCAAAAGTTTCAATATAAAATATTGTAATTATTTTGAAATCACTGTGTCAATCCGAAAGGGCTGCTGTGGATTTTTGTTTCAGTGAAGGCAGCCATACAAGGCAGAAAGCCTACAACTCTCAACGGCCGAAAAAGAATATAATGTTAAAAATTTGTGTAGGACCATGTTGATTAAAGTAAGCGCTGACAGGAAACAATAATCTGAAAAAGATTTACTTTTTCTTATTTCCATTTGATGCATTGAGTTCTGCTACAGTCGATTTTTATATTTTCAACTTCGACACATTAATAACACATTCGGCATGGAAGATATATCACTGGGAGTGAAAATTAATTGAGCTTAATTGCCGCAATACAATTAGCAGGTGTATAAACAGCACAAGATATTAAATGTCTTAACAGAGCCTAGGTACGTGGTGCTTTGTTAATAAATTTCTTCTACCCCCCCCCCCCCCCCCTCCCCCTGCGCGTCCCGCATTTCGCTGGCAGGAAGGTGGTCACCCTAACTACCATGAACATTGGACGAGTGCTTGTTTGGTGTATATTTTTTGTTTAACATGTAAGACATGGCAACGTGTGTTGTTAATGTGCTTCTTTGAATCTAGCATACAAAAAGAAAAGCCCCTTAAGATCTTGTCTCGTGCAATAAATATTACATTTTTAACGCACTTAGAATTGGGTTTTGTCTAAGTAAGGCTCAACATGGTCCTTGAAAATATCCTGTCTGGGCCTTGGAAGTCCTTGAAAACCCTTGAATTTTTGTCTTCAAGGCCAGCATGAACCCTGCACACAGCGCGCTTGTCTGTCTCGAGTTCAGTCGTTGCACAAAGCGCTCCAAACAATTTTCGACCCTGGCTCGCATTATCTTGCATCAATCTGCTCAGGTTATTATTATTATTTTTTTTTTGTGTGTGTTTGGCGTGTACCTTATTTGCCAGCCTGGCAAGCATGCGCCGCTGGACTGTTTTTAGTTGTATGCTGATTGAAACTATGGATTTGTTGGGACTTCACTTCACTAAAGGCATGTTTTTATAATTAAAGCATTCCTGTAGGCGTTTTACTGTGCTGGGCGTTACACTTTTGGAATTTTTATTTTAGGTTTCCAGCAAACAGCATTGTGCAGTTATGCAAAAATGTTAATGACACCATGCAACCACGCATTTGTTTTCGGAGGTACGTTCGCCTGTTGCAAGGTGGAAATGTCCCCAGTATTGACATTGCAAATAAAAAAAATGCAGCGGTCGTACATAGAATAATACGTTTGAGTTGGAAAACCTTGGGGCAATTCTTTATGTACAGGTGCTCATACATAGACCTCTGGCGAGAACGCCATTAGGTGTTGCTATGGTTGCTTACGCCAGCCATGGGAAGTGAAGTGCTACCTACAAGGGAGCCCTGCTACAGTGGCGACACTATTGCAACGGCCACCAAGTTTTGGTTTCTACCAAGTCAACAAAATCCGCTAAATTTGGTCGGTGAGACATTGACCGCCACATTTAGCGGACGGTGGTCATACCACCACCGTGGTCATGTTATGTGACGACGTGATGCTGATGACCTTACTTTCACAACGCTGTCTTACCTTGTATAGCCAGCCCTGTGGCATATTTTTGTTAATGTAGGTATTTTTAACTTCATTAGATTTATTCTTAAATATATGTAACTGCAACATTATTACTGCTTTTTTATTTTAGTTGCGGTGTTTGGAAATTTAGACAGCATGAACTAAGTTATTAGTTAGCCTTTGAAATAAGGCAGCTTGTGCTTGTTGTACATAGGTGATTTAGCCGGGTTGATATAGTATTTTTGAACCTGTGATCCTTAACATGTATCTCACGGTAGCTATCAGATGACCACGAGCCGGTGCAATGCTCATCCAGATTGAAACAGCTACAATTGGAGATAGAACCCTGGGCCTCTGGGTTCTGCAGTGCGAACTTTCGCTCGTAAGTGTCCCAAGTTGCGACACGCAGACTCAGCATTTTTCTTGTTGAGGGCCGTGAAAGCTTCGCTGCAGTTTTAAATAACCTACACATAGAGTAGAGCATACCGTATTTACTTGCATAACGAACACACTTCCAATGAACGCACCTCCAAGTTTCGGCCCCATGAGGCTCGATCTGCGCCTAACTCTGCTATCCACCAAGCCCTCCAAAGCAATTTTTTTTGCTGCCGAGCAGCCAGGCCAAGTCAAGCCAAGCCAAGCACAGCAATACACGCTCTCTTAATGGCTGCAAGTGCATAGTTACGGAAGTTATTGAAGCGAAACTGGGGTCGAGAAATTGCCCAGCCCGGACGTGCTTCGTCTATTGGATGCATTGAGATGTCAACAAACACACTGTCGTCTGTGGTCCACTTTAGGACAGTGAAATCATGAAATTGATCAGGCCTAAGAATGGTCACGTCACTCTCCGTGCCATGAGAGCTTTGTAGGACACTTTTTCTTCGGAAAAAGGCATGCCAAAAGCACCCTAAAAAAAGTTTGCAATTTATAGAGCATGGTTACTATGGTGCCCCCACGACCATCCATGGTACGCCTCTGTCAGTGGAGACGTGCCACAGTACCCTGCCATGTCATATTGGCACCTAAAATTACACTTGCACTAAGTGTCGAAGTGGAAAAATTTTACCCCACGTAATGAACGCAACCCCTCACACATGCGTCAATATTTCAGGGAAGAAAGTGTGTTCATTACGCAAGTAAATACAATGCTTTATCTCTTTCTGCCGAGGAACTTGCCAACGAATCCGCCTAAGTGGCAGCAGAGGTGCACTGCCTTCTTTAAGGGGGGACACTACCCAGAAAAAACAATTTCTGCCAAAAAAAGTTGATTTCGATAAAATCAGCCGAGTTGTGGTCATTCTTCTTTCGGAACCGCAAGCCACAAATTCTGATTCGGAACGAAACGTAATGGAAAAATAGTGTGCCTAGATTTGAGAGGGTTTCCAACCATTCAGAATTACGAACTGCGAGAAGACGACGAAAAGACGAAAAGCGTCGATCGGGCAGGCGTCTTCGCTCTTCCGTTTCCTCGCCTTCTTTCCACATGACTACACAACACATGCGCACTTACGACCAATCTGCGTGGGAGCTGTCCCTGTGGTCTCAGTTTTGCTTGCTCCCTCTTTTAAATCTAGGCTTTCAAAAACAGGATAGATGCACGAAGGAATGGACGCATAGCGGCAGTTGGACGATGACTTGCTCCACCTAACCACGTGTTTTTTTTCTTGCTTCAGATTATATTATTTAAGCCTGTTTACGCAGATTTAACAGCTATCTGTTTATTTATATAAAATAAAATCCTGGGTGCCCTTTTTCTTCCTTAAAATTGAGACTACATATCGCAAAATGCCCCTTTTCTGTGATAGATAAATATAAAAAAAAGGTCATGTCGCGGTGTTAGGTCGTGCTTTTAACAAGAAAAAAAGGCATGCGACGCTTAGGGTGATAGATGATGTTTGCACCATAAAATTGGATCTTTAGTGCCCAACGTTCATCAGCAGCTGCTTATTTTTTCTTTCACATTTGAGCTTTTGTTCGGTATGAGATGCATATTCTGCACCAGCCGCATACTCTGCACATTATAATCATCTCATTCACAGCACACTTTGAAAAATTCCTACAAATAAAATCACTATTCAATATTCGATTCAATATTCGGCTTTTTTTTCTTAATTCGATTCGGTCTTCGATTCGGTAACTACTATTCGGAATTTGCACAGCCCTAAACATGAAAACTACAAATTTATGAGTTATTTCAAAATGATAGTTTTCCTACGCAGACACACCCACTTTCATCTTTCAACATTTTGCTTTTTTTTTGTACTTCACCCAGGTTAACAAAATTTGGCACAAATGTTCTCATCATCAACAGAAACGAGTCCTGTAACTGTCATTTAAATCAGACAAGTGGTTAAAACGTTTACTTTTTGGGTAGTGTCCCGCCTTAAAGGGCAACGCTGCTTCATTTTTGTTTTTGAAAAAAAAACAACAATGCAGTCCTGTTCAGTATCACCTAGGACGACCACACATCAAATATTACAACCAAGTTCTGTCTACATTGTTCTTAAGCGGTACGGCAAACTTTGCAACGCGCCAATTTTCCGAAATCGGCTGTCTCAAGCAGGTGAATTGAGGCGCAATCAACAGCGCAGTCAAGGCTACGGCGTTGGCATGGCCAACATTGAGCGAAACGTCTTTACCTTTGTCCCTTTTTGTTTGTTTTTGCTTCTCTGGCCAAGCATACGGGTAATGTCAAGAACATTTCCTCTCAGCACTCAGTGGTGTCCACGGGATTGGCATACCATGCCTGCGCGGCGCACTTCTTGGGAGCCGCTTGGCCTTCTTGCCGTTATCGCCATCTTACGCGTCAGAACCACCGTTGCCGTCTCACTGTTTGTGGTTATTGTCTCGGAGTTTTATTCACACTACGTGCACAGACTGATGCTGCAGTTGTGCAGACGTCGTTGAATGTTGTAGACACCAAAAGATGGTGAAGGGTACGGTGCAGACGACACTTGCGCCCAGGACATGTTCGCCTCAATGGTGGCCTTGCCGGCCTGCCCCAACCCTGCCCGTCATCACCTGTCATCTGCTTTTGTTTAAAGTAACATTTAACAATGTACATCCCATTTCTTGCAAAGCAAATGACTAGCACCTTTTATTAGGGCTTTTAAATGTAAAATTTTTTAAAATTGTGCGGAGTTGCCTTTTATGTGTAACTGCAGCCTTGTTTGATGAGCTGGAAAAAACCAAAAATAAAAGTTCATTTGGGGCAGTGCAATTCTCTGCTAACGTTTTCGCCGGCCATTACGATAGAATAACCTGAACAGCGCAGCTAGGGGTTAATTTCTCATTGTTTCTCAAATGTCGCTCAAGTGCCGACCGGTTGGAGGACGGCTGCGAGAGCTTGTCTGCAAATTCTCGTTCCAGCTTTCCGGAGTGGACCGGAGTAGTCGCGGAGGATGCAGTTCGCCGGCCAGCCGACGTTAAGGTCGATTCTTTGCCCCTCGTCGAGAACGAGAATGGAGAGAAGGTCGTGCGTTTCTTCTGGCTGGACGCCTACGAGGACTACTTCAAGAATCCGGGTAAGCGTCGCGAGTCGGACCGCCTCCAATGCCGATCCCATCGAGGAACCATTCCGCACAGGCCGTCAGCTCTCGCAATGTTAGCCTTCTGCCCCTGTACCGCAAATGGTGATGACAAAGGCACAAAACAACCGTTATTTTTGATGTCTGGAAAAAAAATTATGAATGTATAGCATTTACAGGGCCAGCCCTGGGATTTCGTGACATCTAACCTCCATGGTGTCGCAGTGTCGCGTGACATTATGACATCACGTGACACTATGATTCCAGGTGAGACTGTGACTGCTTGATATATTCAGGGAACCCTCGGAATGTGCCTTTCAGCTTTCTCCTTACTGTGCCTACAAAAGGAGGAGTGCAAAGAGGCCCTAGATGTGCTAAGCATTTAGAACACCTTTTGGAAATGCCAAAGAGAGGGGCAATTTTTTTACGGAGCATTTTTCGCTGAAAAAATAATCGCTGAATGCTCGGTCTTTGCCAAAATGCAGCAATAGCAGTTCGGACCAGAGGCCAAAATTTAGGAGCCTGCTGTTATCTGATAAAAAAGTTGTAGACTGTTTTCGGCAATTTTCGTGCATTCGTGGGCCTCGTCGGCTGCCCTTTTCTCGTCAACAGTTTCTTAAAACCATTCGTGACTTAAAACAGGCCCTATAACCTTAAGATATATCTTTGACCAGGAACATACCTGTGCAGTTGGATTGTGTATTGAATTCTTTGTCTTCTTTCTGCCCAGGGGTCGTTCATCTCTTCGGGAAGGTAAAGCTCCTGGACGCCTCGACGTATGCGAGCTGCGCCGTCACTGTCTGCAACATTCCCCGCAAAGTCTACCTGCTGCCTCGACCCTTTGTGAGTTCACAGCAAGCTTTGAACTGTTTAAACCACTTTCATAAAGTTAGGATGTGCAGTCAAACTCTTATCACAAATGCGAAAACAACACTCATTAAAGGACAGTCCATCGCATGTTCTCTCTTAATGTATTATTTTTATACCTGTACTTGTGGCAAGTAACACCTGCAAGTTGCCGATTTAAACATCTAGGGCATTTAAAAAGTTTCTTCTACTCATCACATTGATGTCACGTCACGCTGTGTGGTGTAGTTCTTAAGGGGTCATGAAACGCTTTCCCAACTTTTTCCTGTTTCGCTTTCCTCCTCAACTCATAAATCGCGCATTGCACCAAACAGTTCAAGAAGACGAAAAGAAGGGACCCCCCTCTCGCTCGGAACCTGGTTTGTGTACCCGGAGAGAGCCATTGTTCCCCTAGAAGATTAGCTCGTCGCTCAAAATTCAGACAAAAGTTTCTTTCCCTACTCCGTTCACCCTTAAGCTGACAGTGCTGTGGAAGCTACGTGCTCCTTGGGCTAGCCACACTTTTGCCACGTGAGCGTGGCAAATGTGGCTGCAGAGAATGAGGTAAGGTGATGAAACGGAGGCGGCTGATTGGTCCGGCAAGCGCGTAGCTTCCACCACAATGTCAGCTTAGGGGTGAAGGGATTAAATGAGGTCCGGCTTCGTGTGACGTCAGTTTGGACCCGATGGCGCGCTTTTGGGACCGCGGATGTATCATAGTGAAAAGGCGGAGAGGTTACGAAGGGGAGGAGGTACGAAATAGTCCGCTGTGTTTTCAAATTTTCGCACTGAAAGTCAGGCTTTTGACTTTCTACTTTTTTTCTTTTGGCCCACTGAACGATGTGCTATTAGTAAAATCCCAATCTAAAATGATTTATCCCAAGCCAAAAATTGTTTCACGGGCCCTTGAAAAAAATTTCGTTGTCGAAGGAAGAAACAACGGTTTCAACGTTGTAAACATGTGCATCTTTATAAATTCATAATGTTCCGCGAAAAGCCAAGCTTTTAAGCGGAGCTGTTAGGAGCTAGTTTCCCCAGTATCGTGTCCGTCAGCAAACCAATGATGATACTAAACACTGGACAGCTACCGCCATCTATGATCTATGGCAACAACCAGACAACCGGCCTGCCGCTTGTCTGGTTGCTGCCGTAGCTCGTAGATGGGGTAGCTGTCCAGCCTTTCCACTCTTGCTTGCCGACTTGCGGCTGGTCATTACTTCATTCCCACAATTGTACAGCTTTGCTGGTCTTCCTTCTTCACCAGAGTGGAAAGGCTGAAAGTTTTTTTGTACTACGGTTCTTGAGGCGAATACAAGTACTATAGGTTTTTTTGCTGGCAAGAATCCTTGCATTCTGCATAGAACTAACTGCAGCAGTTCTGTGGTGGTGTGATATGTTTGCATGAATGTACGGGGCAGGCACATTTGAACGCGGAATATGCTGTATGCGGCGTTTTCTGTGAAAAATTTAGCACGAACGAGCGTCAAGGACGAGTGACGTGCTGGTGGCGTTGCAGACGTTGTGTGAAGATTATACATAAAGTTCGAGCCCCCAGCAGTGCTTTAACCTGGGTTAATGCAGAAGAGTTTGGTCCTAAGTAAATGCAAGTCAATTTTTTCGTTTGTTTTGTTTGCACACGTAGCACTTCGACTCGGCGGCAAAGGCGGAAACGGACGAACCAGTAACCATGAAGGACGTCTACGACGAGTTCAGGTGCATTGCCGAGAAACAGCGCATCGAAGAGTTCAAGACCAAGGTGGGGTGGAAGCAAAGAGGCCTCTCGTTTCTCACCGTGTGCCACATTTGTCTTTACTTTTGTTGCAACTCCCGACGGCCTCAATTTCATTCATGAAAAGCTCGGTTGACTGAAAAGTGGTACGTTGAAACGCCGCATCCAAAGGGGCGTCCACATCAATGTTTGCTTTGTTGGGCTTGCTTTCATCAAAAACAAAGAGAATGATGCGGCTACTAGCATGGCAAATATTTGCTGTTCAATGTTTGGGGCATCGGGGTATTGTTTGAGTGTGATGTTGCTTGAATTTATATGCCCTAGCCTTCTTTTGTGTGCTGTTTCTTGAGCACTAGATTGTGGTGTAGCCAGGCAATTTTGAGGAAAGTGATTTTCGTTCACTGCCAACACATTCTCAGTTGTATTGAATACCTGCATTCAACAAGCACTGTCTGTGTAGTATTAGCATATTAAAAACGGCGCACATGCATTGATGAAGAGAAGAAAACGGAGCGCTGACTCCCAACTGATGTATTGTGAAACAAAAAGGAAGACTAGGCATAAAAAAGAAAACGCATGCAGCATACTAAAAACAAAGTACAGGAACATCAGGGATACATGAATGAGTTGTGCTAAAATAGGAAGGGGAAGAAGAAAAAAACTGCAAACAACAATCTAATTAATCCTTTCATGAGCAACTTTTTTTGTAGGCCCCGCAGTGAACTTTTTTAAAATTTTTCTTTTGTATGAAAGTACTCTAATAAGAGCTCTGTGCCAGATTCAAAGTTTTTCTGCGAACCACGAAAAAAATATTCTCGGTGGGAAATATACTTGCCATGGCCCAGCAGATGCTCACAAAATAGTCAAACCATTTATTTTATTGTTGAAGAGAGAAATTGCAGGAGTTGGAGATCACTTTCTGCAACCCTGTGTACCCTCGTCTTTCTCAAAGCCATCTAGAAACAAAAATATTTGTTTCTTTCAAGAACTGAAGTACTAGCTGAAACTGCATGGGAGAGAGTTGCCATAGCGACTATACACCTTTCCAGCGGCAGTCTCGGACGAAGCAATTTAGAGTGCAAGTCCCTGGTTTTGAGAGTGTCTATCAGTGTTGCCCGACGGCATGTGGCTATGGGTTTTCTTGTCAGTGGGCTGTGGTAGCCTGCGTAGGCGCAATTCCGGACACTGGGGGTGGATGAATTGCCGCGTTTTCTTTTTCTGTTCAATGGCGAATAGAATTTCTCGAGGTTCTTATGAAAGCATTGAACTATTTTATGGAACAAAAACAAACTAATGAAAGCTATTTTTGGTGAGTCGGTGCACGACAGAACAAATGCAACTTCAATGGTTGTTTTATTTTATGTCTATTTTTTTTACGACACCATACACTCACCCGTGTCAATCTACAAAGGTCTTAACTGTCGAAAATATTTGACCATACAGGATAGCCGAAGTGCATGGGTATTCCCCGCTCGCAACGTGAAATTAAACAAGTCTCACCAATGCGTACCCCAGAGCGCCGCGTTGTCGGAACAGGATTTGAGAGAGGCCTCAAATAACGCAACATATCCAATACACAGTGTCGACGGCAGTCGCTTCAGACAATCTGGTGCAATCCGGCTTGTTTTGGTATGCGTTTTGATGAGAGCTGCTTTTTCTTGCACAGCACCAAAGCAAATGAACGAACATGTCTATTCCGTCCCCATACCCCGGACCAGGCATATAGCCAGCATTTTGTTTCGTGGGCACCTGTCCATGACAAAATGCCGTATGAGGGGGAGGAGGGAGAGGAGGTCCCAGCAAAATGAAAGATTTCGGGGAAGGGGGGGGGGGGGGGGGGCCGCGAAGCCGCTATTGCCTAAAGTTCTACTGCGTCGAGCGCTTGAGATTCCCTTGCGAAAGAAGAGCAGATCGCTCGCCTGGAAAGCCACCGCCGAGAAGAGAAACTACAGCTCCGCTGCTCTTCACTAAAGTGGAAAGGCTGAAAGTTTTACTTTAGTGTTTTTGCACTTTATTAAAATTTGTCTGAAAGTTTACCATCTGTGCTGTTAGTATCTGGCTGGTTGCATTTTTTGTTGTTTTCCATACATTTTGGAAGATACTACCTGTGACTTTTCTCTCCAGGCTGTGACGAAGCGCTACGCTTTCGACAAAGAAGGCGTTCCAGCAGAAGCAGAGTACTTGGAGATTGTTTACCCTGTGAGTATCCTCGACAGCACTTTGCAGGTTTCTTGCCATTCGTTTTACATTGCTTCGAGATAAGCGGCGTTAAATTGGCTTATACTCATTTGAAAGGTTTTGTGAAATGACTGTAAAGTTACCCTCCGAAGGGAAGACATCTTATAAAAAATATTGATTGGGCAGGGCAGGGCGGGACGAAGGTACAGTAATCCCTCGTTATAACGAAATCGCTTTTTACGAATTATCGCATTTTTCGAAGTTTGACGCAATCCGAATCGCGAAGCATGCATTTTGAAACGGATTATTCGAAGTGTATAGACGGTCGGACATGTTTATTACAAAGGACGATCCTTACGAATTATCGCATTTTTCGAAGTTTGACGCGGTCCCAATCCCAATGCATGCATTTTGGACCGGAATATTTGTAGTGTATCGACGGCCGGACATGCTTGATACGAAGGGCGATCCACTGAAAGTACAATATGTAAGCCAGCGCAACCCTTCCAAGATGTGCGCAAAAAAGCCATTAGCTGCGAAAGGTTTATCATCTTTCGCCGCTATAAATGAACGAGGAGCGCGGAGCACGTGCCTTGCATGCAGAGTGTCTGTCGCGCCGACTCCTTTGAAGCCGCGACACACCTGCCCCTTAATTCCAACTTGTCAAGTCAAGGGATCAAAGAAGGTGGGAGCGCCACTTCGGGAGCTCTGCGAGCGCAGAGGGATGCGGCAGCGTGTTGAGCGACAATTCCGACACTTCACAAGGTGCTTGTGGTGCCTGCGGCCCGGTTTTCGTCGGAATCAAGTGAGGGAAGTGCATCCCCTGTCGGCGCCCACCTCTCTGGACGCGCCGTCCCAAGTTATCTATAAAAATAAAAGAAAGAAAAACTCGACCTCACTAAAACTGTTTAGTACAGCGAAAGCTACAGGGGAGAGAGCGTATGCCAACCTGTTCAAGAGGAGAGAAAGGAGGAACAAGAGAGAAGGGCTGGGATTCTCCCGTTCCTCCATTCCTTCTTATTAAACAAGTTGGGATACACCCTCTCCTCTGTAGCTTTGGCTGTACTGCTGTTGACTTGGTCGACAGCAGAGATGCACGTGTTTTCCAGCTTGAGTCTGTGCTGCATTTACGGATTGCGTGCGTGTCGAGGCAGCGTCTTTGATATCGTGTTCTGCGTTGCGAAGGCAGCACACCCCATCTGCCGCATGTACTGTAGCTGCGTGCAACCTGCTTCACTGCTGATGGCACCGCCAAAGCCTGCGCAGAAGTGTTTGACCCTGGAACAGAAAGTCAAGCTAATACGAGAAGTGGAGAAAGGTGGTCCACTGAAGTTGCAAATTGCGAAAGAATTCAACATCCCGGCATCGACGCTTTCAACGGCTTTTCCCGTGTGCACATACTTGATGTGCCAGCAGATGACACCGAGATCTGCGACGACCTTTAGGCCCGCTTCAGACAGAGCAATTTCACCCAGCAACTTCACGCCGAAACACCAGCAACACGGGCCGCCCGCGTTCACACACAGCAACCGAATTGCTCCGACTTGCCATCATCATCATTAAATTTTCTTTTTCTTTCACTATTTAGACGCCCAGCTACGCGCTAAAAACGCGTTCTTATATCTTTGAACGGCGTTGAGAATACTAACTCATTTTTCAGAAACTGTTTATTTCCGAAAACGATCCATTCCAAACCAGAACTAAGTCTTTAGCTGTCATCATCACCACAACAGGGGTGTCACGTGAAAATATTGCGTCTCTGATTGGCTGCAGCCGCTTCAACCGTCTTCGAATTGCTCCGAGTTGCTCGCTTGTTCGAGCCGGACCTGATTACAGCAATTCGCGTCGATCTAGGGAAAGCTAGAGAACAACCCGCCAGCAACCTCAAAATTGCTGGAAAAGTTGCCCTGTCTGAAGCGGGCCTTACAGAACTGTGCACGAGATCGTCGGTGCAACTCCCGAAAACGACTTCTACTGGGCGAAGACGAAGAGCTGTGGGATGAGAAACTTGGAGAGATACCCACGACTGGAGAAACGCGAAACATGCTTCGTCTTCTTCGCAACAAGGTGGAAATGCGGCGGCAGCGATGACAGCCTCACGTGGTGCTTGAGGCAGCAGTTGGAGGAGGCTTTTTTAATGCCTGGCAAAAATGCCTAACAAAAATGCTTGGCAAAAATGCCTGGCAAACTGATCTCCCGTCTTTTTTCATGTCTCAGTAAGCCTGGCTCATCAGCAAGGTTTGTTTCATTGAATATATTATTGTAAAACCTTCCACACTGTTCCTGTGTACTTTCAAGGTTACTGTTACTCTTCTTGTGGCTGTCACGTTTTTATCGAATTACCGCTTTTATAGAATTTTTTTACCGTCCCGTTGACTTCGTTACAACGAGGGATTACTGTACTTAATTTCAGCTAGATTTCTGCGGACTTTATTTCCTAGGGTCAATTTGGGGATTTCAGGCAACCTAGAGGTGTCGCACACAGTGCATATTGCAGTGAAGCAGAAAACACTTTTTTTGTAGCATGCTGAATTATAGTGTTGGGATCTTGACGGCTGCTTGCACTTCTCTGCCTTAAGTACATGTAAGGCATGGATGCTTTCGCACGGACGCGTACCATGCTTCCTGACTGGTCCGCTGACTATATACAGTGAAACCCGTTTATAACAAACAGCAGGAAACGCTATGATCTGTTCGATATAGCAAGTAGTCCGATATAGCAAAAAACATTTACAACAAACTTCTACTATGAGTTCGTTGTAAGGCGAGAGCCTCTTTTTCTTGTAACATGCTAAATTTTTTATTTTTTTTTTCTGCATACGTGCAGTTTTTTGTTTTTTTTAGCTTATCTTTCCTTCTGTATCGCTTCTCTTAATGGACAAACACTTTGGGATGAAATTTTTTTATTTCTGTACATGCGTGCAGAATGTGTATTTTTTAGCTTTCTCCCCTTCTGAATCGCTTCTCTTCGATCAATTTTGTTCACAACTTGAACTTTTGCAATTTTCTTTCTTTCCTGCTTCTTTTTTTTTTGGCGGGGGGGGACAGGCTAGAAGACGATTGTTTGCGCGTTTTTGGAAGTCTTCCCGGGAGGAAAAGTTTGAAATAGCCAATATGTTATAAAACATACTTTTTACATGCATTTTTATTTGAATTTTCCGCGAGTTCGATATCGACAATAATTCGCTGTATGTGGGTTCATTCTAAACGGGTTTTTCTGCGTGTTTAAAACCTTAAATTTTGGGCAATTTTCCTACAGGCGCTGACTGTACAAAGATTTGTTTTTTTTACATCATTTATTTTAACGAGACTTGATGGATTTCGTAAATGACAGAGCATGTTTCACAAGTCATCACTAGCACTGCTGTGCTATGCTATTCTTGTAGAGCAGTATTGCCTTAGTTCATTACAGTGCCCACAATCTGATGAAGAAGAATGTTCTATGTAAGCAAGGTTTCGGTTGCATGTAGCAAATTCCGAGGTAATAAAATGAATCCTGTCTTCCCATGCTAGATGCTCTTCGTCAATGTGGCAGGTATGTACCCCCCATTCGTGCGAAAATTTGCTTATGAGACATACATTCGACCCAAATTGAATTATGCTGCGGCCATTTGGAGCCCTCACCAAATATACTTATTAAATCATTTCGAGGCAGTCCAGAACCGCACTGCCAGGTTTATTTTGAAGAAATATGATTGGTCAGTTAGTGTATCCGCCCTAAAGAGTGAACTGAACCTTCCTTTACTAAACGTCCGCCGTAAGCTAGCACAACTCTCTCTTTCACAAAATTTACTACTGCCTCCCTGCACTCCGAAACAGTCTTCTCCTGCCCCCGAGGCGATCTTCATCGCGGCTAAATCACCCGTGTCACATTTCCCGCATCTCAGGCAGCACAACCTATTTTAACTCCTCCTTCCCTCGTACTATTGTAGACTGGAACGACCTCCCCTCACTTATTGTAACCCAGACGGATCCCACCGCATTTCGCAACGCTCTTTGTTCTCATTTCTGTTAATCCCCACTGTGTCTTTCTATTTGTTTGTCTTGTGCTTTACTGGTTGCAATGTATCAATGTTTTCATCCCCTTATGCTCCCCATGTACCCAGACTAATTTGTGTATTGCCGTTGCTCGTGGCGATGCTGCATTGTTTTGCAGCCCCCTGTGTATTTGCATATGTCGTTACTGTTTTATGCTCTCGTGTTATGTACCCCCCCTTATGTATGGCCAGAAGGAAAACAGTGTTAGAGACTTTGCTTTGATCTCGCGAACCACCCGTGGGGACGCAGCCATTTGATTGCTTCTGGGGCGGTGCTGCTGAATAGCCACCCAGCGGGCACCAAGCCAGGGAGACGGGTGTTCCGGTGAAATCTCGGAACGCCATAAGGTATAGATAATGGACACTGCTGCAAAGCCTGTCCTAGGGCTTGCATAGCTTTATTGCAGTTTTCTTTGAACAGCTTTGCCCCACACTTCAAACCTCTGTCTTCGTGTTTTGTGTCTGTCAGGCTCGGTTCCCGGAACTGCCCAAGGATCTTACGGGCAGAACGTTTAGTGCCGTCTTCGGTACCAACACGTCCAGCCTGGAAAGTCTCCTGATCGGTCAGAAGCTCATGGGACCATGTTGGCTCGAACTGCAGAACCCAAGTAAGCCTACCTTTCCCTTGTTCTCGATAAAAAAGAGTTCTTTATAGGCATCAAGCTTGCTTTCCTGGGTGCTGGAGCACACCGAGAATTGAAAATATTTTTCTTGTCACTCAGAAAGTGAAGGGCTTCTTTTCTTTTTTGTGAACAAAGTCCTTCAAATGCACGAACCCCGTAAGGACACACGGTTAGATGTGCCGCACACCTTTTTCAAACTCTGGGTTCGAACACGAGACAAAGAAGTTACGAAAGTTAGAAAATCACTTCCAACTTGTTATGTTTTAAAAAAATAGTATGATTCTAAGATTCGAATTTCCAATTTTTACAAATTCAAAATTTTTGGTGCCAATAAATTCGACTATTGACGTCATTTATGTGACTCATATGGTCGCATGACTTATCATCAAGTTCGGCGTGGAAGGTCATGCAACTTAACGCAGGAGATCACAAGCCGCGGTAGCTTTAGGACCTGCTGCGGCCTTTCATCCTCCGCATAAAGTTTATTGGTGTCACTAACAGATTAACCCAAAAGCCAAACGGTCGAAACAGCTCCAAATAGATCGACGTAAACGGGAGACTCATTTTGCACCACTCTGCTTTATGCAAAGTTTTTCTCTAGTATCTCAAAACTACGGGGGATCAAACAAGCTGTTAGGCATTCCCTCAATGTCTGTTTGATAGTCGTGTGCGAATAGTGGATTTTGAGTTGGAAGCGGATAGTAATTTTGGCCGAATATTTTCAATTCGAATATCAAATAGTTTTCCCACACCTTTCACTGCCAAACCCCTGCTAAACTCGTGAAGGTTGTTCCACCTGTTCATTTATAAGCTAAGTTTAATCTATCTAAATTTATGAACTGTTACCTCAGAAGGTCTGATGTCTTGGAATGGCAAGTAAACGACGCATTTGACATAAAATGAATCCTATAGAGATGGCCAACTGTACCCAATTGAGGGACTTTACAAATCTTGCTATATTAAATGTTCTTTCTTTCATCTCGAGTTAAAAAAGAATCGCGCATGATGAACGCAGGTTATTGGGGCATCTCTACCTAACATCTACTCTTTCATAACAGTCAGTTTAATTTTGAAGCTTTTACTACAATGGAGATATACGCGTTCACGCAAAGATTACATTTTCTTTAAATACAGCTGGCATGCCTGCACCCTCCTGCTTTGAATATATACTTTTCTTTTAAGCACGCAATTGCAATATTCATACTTTTCCACATTCTATCGTGGCAGGTTACTCCGCTGAGTGCGCTTCTTACCAAGCACCTATGTAATGCAGAGAAGAACCACCCGCGGAGCTTGCTTCCGCGGGTATTGCTTCTCTGCAGTGCACCGGTGCTCGGTGAGAAGCGCGCTCAACGGGGCTAACCCGCCGCAATCACACTTCGAAAAACGCGAATACTAGTGCAGTTCTTCTCAGAGGATATATTGAATAGTGTACTATTAGAAATTTCGAATATTCGCACAACCCTACGAAAATGACCAGCCGAATATACCATTAGTTGCGGCATCTAGTATTTTTGCCTCTCTCTGAAGTTCGAATTCGCCCTCTTTTTGTAGGTGATTTGTGTGATACCTTGTTTCTTTTTGACAGCTGCACCTAACGTTCCTGTGAGCTGGTGTAAACTGGAGGTAAGCTTGACTCTCTCAACTTCGGTGTAACCCAGATAAAAAGTAGTGAAAAGGCAAAACACTCATTAAAGCTTGGTATTGGGCCGTTTTGAAAATTTCTGAGCCTATTGCGGCGAAATTTTGGTTGTTTTGACGTCGTGGCACGATGTCAGTATAGTGACACATTGCATTTATTTAACTAATATGCACACATCGCCCATCACACAATGCCGTTCAATCTAGCCGATCGCTTACGAAACGAAGTGGTGCTTCTTTGCTTCCTTTCTTAAGGTTGTGCTTGCTTTCGTCTTGTCGTCACGAGGGTTGGAATATAATATCAATTGCCAAGAATGGAATGTAATATCGATACATATTATGCTGACCCATTTCTTGCTGTAATCTCACAATTAGGACTTCTTAATTGAAACTTGAAATAGCCAGTGAAGAATCGAAAAATTGAAATCTTGTATTTCAATGCGACTTGTGCGGGGGAACGCTTCCCTATGTTTCTAAATGAACACTGCTGGTACAGGGCTGGAAATATCTTTTGATTGTTAGTTTCTTGCTCAGCACTCCAGAGATATAGATAAACCCTCGTGGTTATAGCCACTTTCATTTAGGTCGGAGCACAGTTGAAGGATCATACACATACAACCACTTACACACATATTACAAGTGCAAGCCGTGGGACATTCGCCGCTGCAGTTGATTGAGTTGACGAAAGAACACATGTAGGATTGTGCGCTGTTTGGTTGGCTCCATTGGCTCGTAGCGTCGGCTGCACTTTTGAATTAAGACAAAACGAAGCATAGAGATTGCTCGTCAGCCATGCTGGCTGGTTGATCGCTGACATCGTCTAAATTTCTAGACGATGTCAGCGATGTCTGGAGCTAAAAGTCGCAAAAAAAGATTGAGGTACACCTAAGCATTCTTTATGAGTTGTGAATGCAAAAGCATGCAATCCGCTCGTCCGCTCCCTTTTTCGTCTGCTGCATACTTTTCGTCGAAGGTCGGCGCGTGTGCTCCCCTGGTGACCTTCGACACTCCGTGCTGATGGACACGCAGCGTCATGGGGTGAGCGGTCGTGGAAACTGACGAGCGCAGCTGCAATTGGGAGCCCCGTCAACGCGCGCCAGCCAATGGAACGAAGGAAATTATGCTGTTTTTTGCGCTTCAGACCGATGACGTCAGCTCGCTCTATAAAACAGTTAATGCTTTCGCATTAACTTAGCGAAACCTTGGCCTGGACGCGAAACGAGCACGTCTTGTCGAACCGCGCGCCCCTCGATGCAGGGAGCTCGCCCCGTCTTCGGTGTCGGTGTCGTTGTCGAACGATGACCGGTCTCGTACTCCTCGGAGGGGAGTGTCCGCATAAGGCACGAATCCGAAAAGTCGGCTGCACTCGATTAAGCGACGCTGAAGCTCGGGGAGGTTTGACCGATCGGACATCTTGCATCCCGAGAAAGTATCTGGTTGTCCTTTGACTTGTACACGTGACGTCTGAAAACAAAAACTTTCCGATTGGCCGTCTTGAAAGGGACAATGTCAGTGAACCAAGAGGAAAGCTCTCTGGAAATCCAAAATTGTCGTTTTGCACTGATAAAGGAATCTATACGGTCGAACGAATGCGCGTGGGTTACATCATGGAGGACTGGTAATCCAAATAAGCGTTGCATAGCGCAGAATTTTCGAAAAACGTTTCACGACCCCTCTAAGAGCAGTGTCACCTTTAAAGCACAAGTGTAAGCTTTCATAATATTTGGTGTTGTTTGTTTTTGCAGTTTCTAATATTAAAGTTGAGTTTGGTATGTTCATAAAACTTGGGGGGATATATTTTAACTAATAGACATACAAAGTGTCAAAAAAAAAATTACACTTTTTTTTTTTTACTGAAAAAATAAACTAGGCATTGTCGAACGCTCATTCTCTGCCCAGAGGCGCTGGAAGTCACAACCAGATGCCAAAGTTTCAGCCCGATCCGATAACTTAATCAAAAGTTATAAGTGATTTTCTGAAAATTTCGATGGGAAAATGGTGGCCGACGGAGTTTTCGAATACATGGGGCTCTATGGCACCGGGAACCGAAAACGGGCAAAGATGGGCTCGATTTTCACGTTTAAATTTTCAGAAAACGACTTATAACTTTTGAATGAGGTTTGGATCAGGCTGAAACTTTGGCACCTGGTTGTGACCTCTAGCGCTACCTTTGAGCGAGAATGAGCTTTGGTAATGCCTAGTTTTTTTTTGCGGTAAAAAAGAAACAAAGAAACTACATTTTTTTTGTTACACCCTGTATTTTAGGATATGCACTGGTTTTTGCTGGCATTTTACATAAATTATGTTTACAGGCTAAGTAAACTATCAGGTTTAAAAGTGGGGGGGAGAGAGGCTTTTTCCCAACTGAAGTATTGTAAAGTCGACTCTCATTAATTCAAACTCTCTTAATTCAAACTTGTGGATAATTCAAACTAAAACGAATGTCGCATCCTATGCGTCTCTATGAGAGGAAGCTCCCATTAATTCAAACTTTGCTTTATTTAAACAAATTTTCGGTCCTCCTCGAGTTTGAATTAACGAGATTCGACTTGTGGGATCTTGCTACCAACACAGGTACCGATAGAGTAACCAAAGGATTGTCTCAACAGCGGCGATATCTCAAAGGAGACGTCCAACCTAGTAGCGCGGTCCCCACATCTCCGCGGCAATATAGACGAACGTTCAGGGCTACATTACCGCGGGTCGGTTCGATTAATCACCTCTGTCGGTGCCAATGATCGACTACCTTGTCTCACTCTCTCGAATATAGCGTAAGAGAAGACACACATACCAGAGTAAGGACAGAGTCCAAGATCATTTATTAACATACTCTTCTATATGAACTACAATGTCCCCATCTAAAAATGCCCCCCGCGCCGGCAAGGTAAGAAAAGGTCCTTACCTGCCAGGCGCGGGGTTCCGGAGAGCCAAGACCGGGGAAGCATCGGAGAAGTCGCCGACACACGTCCTATCTCTTTCGCGGTCACCCGGACGAGCCCCTTTCCCGAAAGCGGGAAAACAAGAGGCGAAACCTCCTCGCCTGTCGGCAGTGATTCGCATCCGAGCGGGGGACGGAAAGAGGTCCCCCGGGAGAGAGTGAGAGGAGGGGCCCCCCAAGCCAGGCGACCCTCCGCCTCACGAACAGGTCGGAGCTCACGGCAAAGGAGCCGAGTGTTCCGACCCGCAGCCGTTATCACAGCCATCGGGGAGGGGAGACCATAGGAATCCCCACAGACTGTACTATGATTTATTGTTTAAGGGGGGACATGGGTCTTTGGAGCCAAAAACTTCCTAAAACTGCATTCTTTTGAAAATGGCAATGGCTGTTGTTGTTCTGAATCTACCAGGCTTCTAATTTTGTGGATGAATATTTGAGCTATACATCAATTTATAATGTCTAAACGGGCTGAATGTGTATTGAAGTTTACTGTAAAACATTATTTTTACAAAACACAATTTTAGGACTCATTGAAAATTTGCAGTAGGGCTATCTCAGCATGTAGCACAGAGAGAAATATAACTTTTCTTGAAATGTATAGCTAAATGTGTGATGCATACAATGTTGAGAGTAGATTTTTTAATATAAGCCTAGAAAAGTTATTATTTGATCTTTTGTTTTATTACTTGTTAGCCCTACACTGAGCACTGAACTTCAATGTGAGGTAAAATCACTTATAATGGATTTATCTTAAAAGTACTTCCAACATTGTATTCTCTACACCTCATAGTATATAGCCATGTGTTAAAAAAGATATTTTGTTGAGCAGTTTTTTTCCTATCGTTGGTCCAAACAAAGACAGGCAAGTTTTAATTACCTTGAGGACAATTCTACTGACTAAGAAAATGACCAGATATATGAAATCAGCACAAAAAGCTGAACAAGCTTGTGCAGTTTCAATGGGTTCGGTCATAAAATAAGAAAAAAAGCTCCAAGACCAGTGTTTCCCCTTAACCAGTTTTTAGTACCCACTATACATGGAACCTACTCTGACCAGAGCCTTATTCCTAAAAAGAAGACTGTGTTCTTTTTGCACTTATCTATTCTTGTTACAAACGGTAATGCGTAATATTGTCGAGTATCAAAGAGGAACCCTCAGTTATTATTAAAGATGAACTCATTTGGCGATGCATTCACTTTTTCATTTTTAAGTGATGTGCTAACAGGTATTTTCATCTGCTCCAAAAGTGTCAGTGGCTGCTCCAAAACAAAATATTTTGCCTGCTGCAGAACCTGCTCCAAACGGTCAAATGCCGCTTCCATCACTGGAGTATCCACGCAGGTTGACACCCTATCATTTTGTATTCAATAAACTTAATTAATCGTTCGTTCCAATAAATTGCCACATATTTTAAGACTTATCTTCTCGTGCCTCTACCTGCTCACATTTTAGAAAAAAACAATTGCGGGGCCTTACCACCTGAATGCTGCTTGTGCCAGTACACTTTAAGTGTGGCGACATTTAAATATGAGAATGCTCGTATGGCATCTGATAGTTTGCGATAGCCCTTAATTTCCGGGCTGTATGTAGCAAAGGTATGTTTACAGTTTGGTTGTCACACGGTGCTTTCTTTCTCTTTGTGCGCAGGTTGTCCTCAGCAAACCTGGGGACATCGTCGTAGCAAAATCGGAGTCTGCACCTCCACTTGTTGTCATGTCCCTGAGCATCAGGACCGTCCCCAACGATGCGACCAATCAGAATGAGGTTAGGCTTTTTATGCAGTGTTTAGTTACGTTCCGCAGGACTTCAATGCGAAGCACAAGTTTGTCTGCTTCTGCGCCGAGCTCTGATTGGCTCGATTGGAAGGATAGTGGGTAGATTTCAATGCTAGTTGTCTTCAGGTCTACGCCCTATCCTTCCAACAGAGCCAATCGGAGCTCAGTGTTCTGACACCACCACAACCCCGGCGCAAGAAGCAGACAAACTTGCGCTCTGCATACATTTTTGGGAGGGACCGCAATAAAAAATGCATGGCATAGTCGAGTTGTGGAGGGTTGTGGAGAACCACCTTAATCGTTCATGTACAACAGAGGTGGCCAAGCTGCGGCTCGCGAAGGGAATGAGAATGGGAGAACGGAACGCGTTTTAAATCGAAAGACAGGTTGCGGTTTGGTAGTCTTGTGCTACTGCAACCTTACGTACAGTTGGACTGCTTTTGACTCGGATAGATTGAAAGTAGTTTGAGTTTCGTTTATTGCTCCGGTCAAAAGTTTGCAGTCCCCCCCCCCCCCCCTCGCGGCTCTTGGACGTTTCGTGGTTTTGTTTGCAGCTCTTGGGCCGAGCCAGCCTGGCCACCCCTGATGTACAGGTTGTCTCTTTTCCTGAGCTGCCCATGAATTGAACATATATTCGTTCAAATGCACGTTTAATTGGGTGAAGTTGTGGCTGCAACTAAAAGGGCCATGGATCCTGCGACGACGACGAAAAAGTGGCTCTCCCATTGGCACCACCCACGGCGTCTGTCATACGGGCCGTTGATAAAACTCTAGATAAGAATATGCAATTAGTTTCGAAATTTTACTGGATCATTCCAGGAGAGCAGCGAAGTGAAATAAAATAAAATGGCAGGCCGTTGGGGTTTGAACCCCGTGCCTCCGCATGGCAGCTGTGTGTGTTGCCAACTTGGTCGTGCACATAGCAATATTAACCAGGAGAAAATCAGCAAGGTCTGCCTTAAGGGCCTCTCGAGTGAAGGCACTCTGTTTTAGCATTTGTAGAGGATGGAAAGTGTTTGCCACAAATCCAAATAAAGCTTGGGACAAACAATGATCTTACGCACCATACAGCTCAAGTGTCTCTACTCTGGAATGAATCTTATCTGTAACACTAGACCTCGGAGAGTTTGAAACAATCCACTCTGTATCTTGCAAATTTTGGTCACCTACAGCTGAAACTCGAGTGTCGAAAATTGTTACCCGAACAACCTGTCTGCTGACTCGGTTTATACAGTCAAACCCATTTATATTAAACTCGCAAAAAAGCTTCTACTAGTTTGATAAAGCAGGTAATTTGATATAAAAGATGGAATGAATTTGACTCTCAAAAATCTACTTTCTGCTGACATTACACAATGAAATAGTCTTGCATCTTCTGCTGCTTTTTCTTCATTGCATTTGTGATAGCGATAGTTTTCTATGCTATCGGTGGACTTCAAAATGCTGACGCCGCTGCCTTCTATATTCGCGCATTAGCGCCAAACTATGCCGAGAGCACGAAGCACGTCCGAGCAGGAGCGGAGCACCTCCTCCTGCAGAGCTCCGTTTTGTTCTGCAAGTTGGCTTTTCCCTAAGGCAGGCGGCCGCTATGGGGGAAAGCCAGCTAGCAGAGCAAGCTGTCTTTTTTCTCTTCCGGGCGGTCGCATCAACCGCCCGGAAGAAAGAAAAAGTCGGAAGACACCTAAGCACTTCTTACGAGTTGTGAATGTGAAAGCATGAATGTCCGACGATATGGATGCTAGAGGCGGCGCCATGTTCGTCGTCAGCGAGACGAGCAGAAGCACCACCGACGTGACGATATGGATGATGTAGGTGACTGCATGTTGGTCGGCGGCGAGATGAGCAGAAGCTTCCGAGTGCACGCCAACGTGTCCATTTTAACTGGCGGGGGGCCCGTAGTGGCATGGGGTTGCGGCGGTTAGTTTTATAGGTGCGCTGGCGGCACGGACACGCAGCGCCATCTGGCGACAGTCGTTGAAACTGACGTACGCAGCGGCCAGTGGGAGCCTCGTCGCCGCGCGCCAGCCAATGGGACCTTTGGGATCAGGGAAACTAGGTGCCGTTTTCACACTTTAAACTGATGACGTCGGCTCGCTCCTTGGGACAGTAGATGCTTTCGCATTAAAATAACATTTTCTGTTGCGGACGGAGCGGGGATAGGGAGCACGGAGCACCTTCTCCCTGTTCCCTCCGCAGGAGATTTTTCTTTCTTCAAAACAATCAACACAACCGCCCGGAAAAAAAAAAAAGAAAAAAAGAAAGCCAGCATGCTTTGCAGGTTGGTTTTCCCCCAATGGTGCCTGCTCGTGTTGGGGGAAAGTCAGCTTGCAGAGCGAAACGGCGCTCTTGGCAGTTCGATATATCGGTAGTGGCTGCTATTTTTGTTTGATTTAACCATAGTTTTTGCTATATATTATCACTGTAACATTACTGTGCACAAAAATTGGTCGATATGAGGGATAATTTAATGTAAACGGGTTCGATATGGTAGGGTTTGACTGTACAGTCTAAGCTCATTATAACAGACCTTGATTTTCATCAAGATTTCAGTCTGTTGTAAAAGGAGTATGTTGTATGCAGATATGAAGTTGAGTCAATGGTATGTAGAGGAATACCAACCGAACTTCACAAGTCGGTATGTTATATCCAAATGTCTGTTGTAACCAGGTCTGTTGTAATGAGCGTCGACTGTATTTTCCTTTGGCACTGTACGTTCATGCTGTTTTTGGGAACTTGTCCCTTCCTTGCTTGTCTTTAGGTAGTTGCTGTCTCTGTGCTGGCTCATCATACCTTCCCCATTGACAGGCAAGCACCTAGCCCGCTGTACCAGACGCATTTCTGCGGTGAGTTCTTTTCTCTCTTTTTCCATCTTTTCAGTGTGTTTCAGAACTGCTATTACTATTTTTCATCTTTTCATCATATCTCACACTTTGAAATTGGGTTCCAATCCCAGCACTATTGACATTTCATTTTAAGATCTTTGCTTTTCTCGCGTCCTTCCCAAAACAGTCGTGCCCGGTGAATCGATATTCTTTGTCGCACATTTGTTACCATACGCCGCCTGCATTCTGCGACGAACGTCGACTGCTCAATGACCTTCCTCTGTTAGGAACTGAATCAACACTCGCTGATCCGGCTTGGACGGATTCCCACTCACACTGGCCATGTTGTCAATGGTGTCCAACACAAACCAGACATGCGAGGGAAATGAATGCTTGCTCGCTTGGGCTCTGGTCTGCGGTAGTCGCTGTAATTGTAACATCATCGGGAACCTTGTGCGCTAGTCTACGTGACGCAACAGGAAAGGATTTCAATGGATCGTGCCTCAGAAAGTAAAATACACACTTCTTTTTTAGTTCTTATTTAAAAATTGGGGTTTATTTACTACAGTGCAGAAATGGCTCTGTTTACAAATGGACAAGAAAACCCTGACAGCGCCGCGAAGAAGAAATTCTTTCCAAGGAACCCGGGGGTTCTCCGAACTACCAAATTTTCTTGACTGTTCCTGTCCCTAAGTAAATTGTTCTCTGGCTTAAGGGGGACATCTGTCTTTGGTGTCAAAAAGTCCCTAAAATGTCAATCTTTTGGAAATGGATATTTTGAAATCTACAGCTACTTTTCTTCTGAATCTACCAGGTTTTTCAGTTTGTGAATGAATATTTGAACTATATATGAATTTATAATATCTCTGCGGGCTGAATGTGTATTAAAGTTGACTCTAATATGCCTCTTTCCCAAGACAAAAGTTTGGACTCCTTGCAAATTTGCAAGATGGATATCTAAGCATCTAGGGCAGGTAGGAGTAAAACGTTTTATGCAACATGTAGCTATATGTGTGAAGCATACAGTAATTCCTTGTTATAACGAAGTCAACGGGACGGCAAGAAAATTCCATTGAAGCGGTAATTTGATAAAAGCGATAGAGCCAAAAAAACAGTGCCAGCAGCCTTGGAGATAGACGGGAACACTGCGGAACACTCTGATCATATACAGTCAAACCCACTTATAACGATCCCACATATAACGACCTATCGGTCATAACGACCAGCTTTCAGAAAATGTATGACTCCAAGGCCCTATCCATCAAATTGGTCCAGATAAAACAACCGTTTTTCAAAGCATCATACTGTTACAACAAACTTAAAATCTGCTTTCAAAAAAAAAAAAAATCTTGCGCGCGCAAAAAAAAAAAAAAAAAAGATGAAGAGCTACATTTTGGGCGCGGCGCTCTGGGAGACTATCAAATTCGTTTCCACAGTCGCGCTGGCTTGGCTGGCCGCGCGGTATACTTCCCTGGGGAGGAAAGAAAACTACAAAAGCAAAAGCGCACTCCCGGGGTCGCTTAGTTCGCCGATTGGTCGATTGTGCGTGCGCGGGAAGGAGAAGAGGAGAAGGAGACAGTCAACTCTTGCCATGCTGCATTCATTTGTTTTATGTTTGCAAACTCTGTATTCAATGACGTCACATAACTAACTCTGACGCCTCTGAGTAGCCCTTATGCCCCACTCTTTGCTGACAGTTATGCGATGCGAAGAAGTGACGTCGTATTACCATTTTTGTTTACGAAGAGTTAACTCTCAAGTTCCCATCGGAAGGGACGTGTAAGTGAGCACATCGTCGTTCAGCAAAGGTGGCAACTGGAAACAGCAAACAGCCACAGCAGCTGTTTCTTTTTCTGTTCAGTACGTCTCAGTCGGCACGATTTCTGAAAGCAGAGGAGCGTGCCCAAGAAACGGAAAGCGATTGAGATTGGCACAAAGGTGAGCATACTTCGCGACATCCGCTCCGGAGTCAAAAACGCCGACGTCGCCAGAAAGTATGGACTTTCGAAGTCAACAGTTTCAACGATCGTCAAGGATGAAGGAAAGATTTTGGCTTCGGCCAACCTCAATGGAGGCGAACACAAGCGCAAGCGCCTACGTGAGGCGAAATACAAGGAAGTAAGGACGCGCTCTTCAAATGGTTCCTGGATGCATGAGGCAGAAATATCCCCATCTGTAAACTCCTGCTCATAGAGGAAGCGAACGACTTCGCATTTCTTTTGGATTGCCCGGAGTTCAGTCCTGGGGGCGGGTGGGTGCAACGCTTTAAGGAGCGCCATGGCGTCGTCTACAGGGCGATCGTTGGGGAGGGTGCAGCGGTCAACCAGGAAATGGCAGACAAGTGGCTGACTGACCACCTGGATGAGGTCTTTCAGTACAGCGACCGGGACATTTATAATGCCGACGAGATGGGTTTATTCTACCAGATGCTGCCCAGCAGGACCCACATATTGAAATAGGACAAGTGTGTTGGCGGGAGGAACAGCAGAGTGCGCGTGACAGTGCTACTTTGCTGCAACATGGACGGCAGCGACCGGCGGCTTCCTTTCGTCATCGGAAAATCAAAGAAGCCGACCTGCTTCCGCCAGTTCGTTCCTGTTCACTACACACAACAAGAAAGCCTGGATGATGCGGGAATTCTTCGGCGAGTGGTTCAAGGAATTTGACGATGACATGGCAGCAAAGAAAAGGAAAATCCTCCTCATTCTAGACAACTGCTCTGCACACCACATCTGCCCGAAGCTGCAAGCCATCGAGATTCTTTTCTTGCCACCGAATGCCACTGCAAGGTTGCAGCCCCTTGACATGGGTATCGTTCAAAACTTCAAGGTAATCTACCGATGCCGCGTGATCCAGCTGCTCTTGATCATGATCCGTTGCCCACTTCCTGGGAACCCCAAGCTACAAATTAACTTGTGGATGGCTGTACAGATGCTGAAGGGAGCCTGGATGGAGATAAGAAGCGAGACTTTGAGCAATTGCTTCAGGAAGGCCGGGTTCATGCGTCCATCGGCATTGCCGGCAGGAGTCGAGGGATAAGAGGCTGCCACTCCCGACGACCGAGAAGAGGTCGGGCAAGCCTGGAAGAAAGCGCTAGGCTAGACTGGTCGACGGGGCAGACAACCTCGAGGAATTCATTTTTGCCGACAAGGACTTATGGGCAACTGAAGAGCTTGACGACGCTGCAATCGTCCGCGAAGTGCGTGCCGCAGCCGGTCGTGAGGAGGCCTCGTCATCGTCGGACGATGACGACGGCGACGAAGACGCTTCTCCACCGCCGCCCATTGATACTGCTACGGCGCTGGAGTACATCACGACCCTGAAGGACCTCGTTTTCGCAAGAGGACTTCCGGAGGAATACACGTGCCACCTGGACAACCTCGGGAAGACACTTGAGCGCACTACGGTTCGAAAGCAGGCTGCGATCACTAGTTTCTTCAAATAAAGAGCTGGCACAGTAAACTACCAATACAGTCAAATGTCGTTAATTCAAACTCTCTTAATTCAAACATACGGATAATTCAAACTAACATGCAGATCCCAACCTGTGTGTCTCTAAGGGAGGAAACTCCCGGTAATTCAAACTTTGCTTTATTAAAACTAATCTTTGGTCCCCCTTGAGTATGAATTAACGAGATTGGACTGTACCAGCTTCATTATCCTTATTTATAACGTGTTTTAAAGGTAAGTCCAGGTATAATGAACTGCTGATATAACGACCACTTTTCGCGGCTCTATCGCGTTCGTTATAAATGGGTTTGACTGTACTTGATCAAACAAACCTTGGTTACGAACATATCGCGGTAGCTTTACCGAGTAAAAAAATAATTAAGTGGAGTTTTGTGATAATATGTTGGATTCCAGTGATGTAACCCACTCCCCTCTATAATGCCTCCGGGCCCTGAAAGAACTTTTTAATAAATAAAAAAATAAATAAATAAATTTCATCCGGGCAACAGTTCTCCTCGAACTGCTCCAAGCATCGCAAGAACACAAGTCACCGCTGCTGCAGTCCACTTTGTTTTAAAGCAGCCGTAGGATGTTTCGCGTCTCCGCAGTCATTGGCATTTCCTGAGATGCTTCTCTGACATCGCTTCATGTTTTCTCCGGCCGCACGTAAGGTATACAATCGCAACATCTGTGGCAAGAGCAACAACGGGAACATCTGCATCAACAAGCGCAAACAAATCAGCTTTCCTCGGTGGCTTTGGCAACGTGTTTTCACGCACTCCTGTAGAGATTGTTGAAGCTATGGAAATCTTGCGCCAGCTCGGGAAGCACGCTCGCGAGAGAAAATTTGACGTGCATGAAGCTGTTGGCGATCTTCCATCTTTAGGATGCGGGTGCGCTTTCTTCTGCATGAGAAACTTCTCGAACCCGTCCAATGCGCCTTGCTTGTTCTGCAAAATGGTGGACAGTGTCGAACAGCCAATGCCGAAATGTCGAATTCCTTGGCGATTTCGGATTTGGGCTTGCCACTTTTATTAACCTCACTGATCTAAATGACTTTCGGTTACCACTCCCACTCTCCCATGCGACGCACGTGTTTGTGTAGTACACCGCAAGCGCGCCCGCGCCAGTGCGCACGTCGGGAGCTCCCGAAGGGATGATCTCCTCCGGGCTCCATCCCTCCCAGGCACGTGATTTGTGACATATCTCCAGTATCTCCCTTAGAGATCATTATCGACCGTAGAGGTAGGGATAGGCGACCTCTTGGGGGAGGGCATCTAATAGGATTTATGGCAGGCACGAAAGCAGCGGTGCAAGTCCTACCTGGAAGGTATGTCGGCCTTCGCAGCAGGCACGGGTAGCGAGATATTGCGAGCTGATCTGACAGCATGGGGGTCACATGGGCTTCGGAAAGATGCATCACATTTGGTGTCACGAGGGGTGCTAAGCTCTCGGGGATCTTTTCCCTTAGTATTTTTAAGTGTTGATTGCAGCTGGTTTTAAGCGCTTCTTACCGTTCACGTGTGTGCTGCGGAGAAACATCTTTGGAAGCGAGCTCTGTGGGTGTTGCTTCTCTGCAGTGCACCGATGCTCGGGAAGAAGGACGTACAAGAGGGCTAACCCCTTCGCAATAAACATTTAGAAAAGTATGAAATGTTGTGCTTAGGAGAAAAACACACTGTCAAGATGGGACAGTGCTCGTGCACGTCTTGTGTATTTAAACTGAAACGGAATCTTTGTGAATGTTGACATCTACACTGTTGTAAAATTTTCAAAATTAAACTGGCAATTATGCAAAAGTATATGTTCGGCAGATATTCCCTACAACCTGCATTCATTGTCAGTGATTTTTTTTTTTTTTAATTTGAGATGGAAGCATATTTGCATATATAGCAAGTTTTATAAGTCCTCTCGATTATGTGTAGCTGGGCATTTCTGTAGTTAAATTTTATGTCAAATCTATCATTTACTTGCCATTGCAATGTAGGCATTGGACTCCATGAGTTAAGTTAGATTAAAACTAACTTGACTTTGGTATGGACAAGGGAACAATCTTTATGAGTTCAGCTAGGTTTTCATTTAAAGGGGCACTGACACATCAAAATCATATTTTTTTTTATTATCCGAAACGATTGAAAACGATGCCGGGACATTACCCTCAAAATTTGAGATTTGGGAATTCAGTATTCGTGAAGTAAAAAAACAATTTCCAAATGCCGAATTCGAAGTTCCCGCGCGATCGGCGCCGGTGCCTTGACGTCAAAAATCGCGGAGACCTGAGAGTCGACTTCCTTTCACCACTCCCGGCTGTTGCCATGGCGACCCAAAGCGAGGAGGAAAGGAGCGAGCGCCCGCGTTGAGGGAGGCGGACCGGTTTTGAGCGGTGTCGCCTGTTTTCCGTTGGAGGTTACAAATCCAGGAGACGGCACCACAACGAACTCCCGATTTTTGGTATTTCAAAAAGAAGGGCCGTAGCGCGTTCGCAATTGCGTTAAAAAACATGTTTTAGGATTGCCGTAATTTAATGTTATAGAGATGTCGCCTACAAAGCTTCTAAATTTCCTGATTTTTGACGTCACCGATCAAAAGAAGCGAGGAGGCGAGAGGCGGGAAAATCAAACGCCAAAAATAAAAAGGCGCGCGCGCGCGCGGAAAAATTTTTTTTCGCGATGCGGTTTTTTTTACGTTTCTATGACTGCAACTTGCATCGTTTTAGACAATAAAAATAAATACGACCTTTGGGGTGTCAGTGCCTCTTTAAGCATGGTGCCACATTAGTGAAAGGATCGGATAAACTATTCAATGTTCTGTTAAAAAATATTCGGATAAAACCACTATTGGCTGCGAACTCAAAATATACTTTTTGCACACGCCTAACTAATGGTATTATCTAATTCATGTCTCGCAAAATGCTGAGAATATTACAGCGGAGCTGTTAAGGGCTAGGTTCCCCAGGATCATGTCCGGTATGTCGACACAAACCTACCTTAACAGCTACCCCCATCTATAATCGACGGCGGCAAGCACACAACCAGTATGGTTGCCGCCGTCGCTAGTAGGTGGCGCCAACCTTTCCAACTATCATAGAAGAATGGATATTTAGGCGGCGCATTGGTGGGAATTCATCGTAGGAAACAGCCTGAAAAACAGACGACAAAGATGAAGCACACAGTGTATCGAGTACATCTCCGCTGGTCTTTCTTCTTCACGAGAGTGGAAAGGCTGTGTTTTTGTGGAGATCACTGTTTTTTTTAAAAAGAAAGCTAAAGAGGTCCTTAAATTCTAAAAAAACTGAAAGATTTATTGTAGGCACCTTGAAAAATATGTTTTAAAATTTATTTCAATCTTTATAGTATGAGCTTCGTAATTGCCGATTAAAATTTCCGTGCAACCCTGCTGTTGTGGTGTGCTGAGAGCGGAGAGCAAAACTAGCGAAAGTGACGTCATCAACGAGGTCGGGTGGTCCTTGTTCGCCACTAATCTGGCTCGAGGTTGCCTACAGTGACGTCACAATCCTTCAGACAGATAACAGGTGGCAGAGAAACTTGCCCCATTCCCTGCAAAAATCGCTGCGCATGTTTAAAAAAAAAGAGCAGTTTATGTTTATTTTTGCTCCAGTTAAGTGCGGTAACTGAATTCACGGGGCAAAAGGTTATAGAAGTCCGCTTTAACTCAAATTTTGCGAAAATGGTTCAGCTTTCATTTAAGTTGCAGAAAAAAGAATGTTGTAACTGAATGGGATACTTCCAAAAGCCACAACTGCAAATGTATGAGCTACACCGCTACACTCATAGTATTCCGGAAACCTGAATGCCCAATTGGAGTTCAACAAAGTGCTTCTCAGTGTCGTGGTGACATCCTGTCGCTGACCATTCCCAGCCCTGTCCAGGCCGAGCGGCACCCTGTTCCCGTATGGATTCAGCGGGTCCATGTGCAAGCACACGACGCTGGAAGTCGTGGACTCTGAACGTTCTCTCCTGATCTTGTTTGCTGCCAAGCTCCAGAGACTTGACCCGGACATTATTGTGGTATGGGAAGTCTTCTCTCTACTGCACGCGTCTCGGACACCGTTGTATGCAGCGAGACCTTGAAAATAGGAGTTCATCGAAACCATAGAAAACATACTACAGTATAGACCACTTACAATGTAACCGCTTATACAGTGTAGACCGCATATAACGTATGTCGCTGCGCCGGTTGGTCGGCGGGCTGTTCCAGAAACCGCACTATAACCGGTATTTCCCTTCGCGCGCCTGCATTTTAAGCGGTACGTAATTACATGGAGTTCTATGGGAGGCGAACCGGTGGTTTAAAAAAGCCGCGTTATGCCCGGTCCTGCACTATAAGTGGTTACGTTGTAAGCGGTTTATAAAGGATGCGAATTTTCACGCGTTTTCATCACCAGAGAAAAGTGATTAGGGTTAGCAATCCTGAACGCTCGCAACGTTCGTCCGCAACCCGCGACGCCGTTAGCTGCGCCAGACAGGTGATTTCTAGGCATTTGTGTTTTCGAACATCGCCCGGATTTTTTATTTGGAGCATTTCACGCCTGTGCTCAAGTTGAAGGTATTTCTGGCGCGTACCGTATAAAGGATGCGAATTTTCACGCGTTTTCATCACCAGAGAAAAGTGATTAGGGTTAGCAATCCTGAACGCTCGCAACGTTCGTCCGCAACCCGCGACGCCGTTAGCTGCGCCAGACAAAAGTCGCTGATTTCTTTCAAAATGTGTGACACACTTGAGACAGAACTGTACTAGTCTGGTGAAATAAAGACTTTCCTCAAACAAAGCATTATTTTTCATCTAACATAAAATAAATTCTTTTACAAAGGTAAGTTGTCTCATGGCACATATTTTGGCCTGAAAAATTGATGTTTTGGTTATAGCATGGTACGGCTTATAGTGTGGATTTTCGCGACTCCCGCGACATACGTTATATGCGGTCTACACTGTATTTACTGGTTGAAGAAATCCTAACTTGTAACCTGATTGCCTGCTTCATGATTGGAAGTTTCTCGCAACATGGTCAGCACAGTGTGATGTAGATCAACTTAACAGAACTGGAAGCCTCTGGCATGAAAAAAACGGGGCAGTTTATGGATCCTCGCTTGAGCTTAGCTGGAAGCATTCTTCTTGAAACTACCCGATACAGTCGCCGACCGATTTTCGGACTCGGAGGGGACCCCAAAATTGTCCAAATAATCAAGCGCTCTGAAAAACCTATTTCAGCCAAAATATCAAATTGCCATACATATTCCACTGCGTATTGGCCACTTTCCTCTTGCTTGATGTCAATTTTAAGTTCTCTTGCAACTTTTGCTTTATATTGTTCACTTTTCAGTTGTTTGTTGATCTGTTCGATCATGGTGCTGCGCTTTGTCGGCGCCTTCGTTGGCACAAACAGCAAAGTTATGGTTGGCGCCATTTGGCACCATTTTTGAGACAATGTTTAGTCCACCAATCTCGCTTCAGTACTAATCCTATCGGCAGAAAACCTTCGCGCTCAAAGAACATGAGAACGGTAGACAGTCGCTCTTCTCGCGGTCACAGTCGAAAAACACGGACCACGAGAAGAACTGGAAGAGCCATAAGATTGAGCTGACGGCGGTTGTTGGCTATAGCGGAACCGGAAAACCCGACTGTAGCCTCAACCCATCTTGTTTATTGTGTAGGGCATGGTATTGAGGCTACAGGGCAATATCAAAACAACCAAAAATAGCGGCAACTAAGCTCTCGCGCTATCGTGGCGGCTGTTTTGTGGCTGTAAACTCAGGAAATCACGCAAATTATGTCCGAAATATCGAGCAAGAAGCTTTATGGCATCCGAAATTTCGGTCACTGTTATACATTAACTCTATGGTGTGAGTGAGGGTTCAGCGAAAACATCCGACGTGCCCGAAAAATCGGTCGGCGACTGTGGGGTGTAGTTGGACCTTGAAAATCGGAGAGAGTTGGCTCCTTAGAAAAGTGCTATAGTATATTGAGGAAAGTCGAGGGGTGTACAGAGAGAGCACATGTTTTTTTCAAACTGCCTTTATAGATGCATTTCGGTACAAGGCGAACTGTGGAAACAGAGTTTTGACTAGAGTTTCCTGACACCGTTTTCAACTGAAGTCTGCTTATTTTCTCGTAAAAGAGTGTTATGACCCGACCATAAGGGGCCCTGAAGGGTTTCAGAAATATGGTCACAAAGTTAAAAAAGCATCCGTTATCGTTGGGTTTGTCAGTTAGTGGTTCCAGCTCTTTAATGAGGTCAATGCTTGCTTTAAAGTTGTTTTTTTGTTGAGGTGGTCACGTTCAGGCTCATAGCCATGGGGAAGCATGGGCAAACGAGGACACTAGTATTTGTGTTTTTGTTACACGTCTGGGATTTGAACTTTTGAGGTAAAAATACACTCTTTGCTTTTTGTTCATACCACAGTAAACCATAGATAATTTGGAAATCGAGAGAAGTTCATATGTAAAAAGTTCTGTTCACTGGGAATTCGTTAGGAGGTTTTCTGTGACTCGACGGTTCATAAATCAAGCTTACCAAAGGCTTGAGGTCTAAAGGAAGTTACTGCACGTCGGCTCGTGTAACCCGTTCAAATATTTGTGAGCCTGAGACATAATACACAATCCTAGGACGTCCAGTGTTTCAACTCATGGCTATGTGTGATCTTACTATAGTCGATGGCAGGTTAAGAGCCCACTAGAAGCTTCGTCCCCAGACCGTTTCCTTCCACCAGGCTGCATTTTGGAGCACCGCATTTCATTGAGTAGCCTCAACTGAAACGAAGTTTGGAGAGGCAACTCTCGACCGAGTCAAACCGGTTTTGTACATCTATTGTAAGATTTCATCGAGATGACGGCCGGGGATCTTGCGCCGAAAGAGGTGCGGGAAACTCGGCGGCTTCGTTGCGGTGTTGGCGAGGGTGGTTCTCGGAGCCGCCGTGCCCTAACATCCCCTCCGACGCCAGGGCCACGACGTCCAGAGCTACGACCTGAACGTCTTGCTGCACCGAATGATCACCAACAAGATTCCCAACTGGTCCCGGCTTGGACGACTCAAGCGGGGGAACGCGGCAGTGCTGGTGAGACTTCCTCTTCGTCCGTTCGCTCGTACCGTATACCCGTTTGGGCCGTGGCGGTTTTTTATGGCGAGGAACGGTTGTTGCCGCTTGTCATGTCGAAATACCGTCTCTGCAAAAAATTGCATCACACTGGCACCCAGATGACTACCGCAAAGTTCTGAAAGAACGCCCACCCAAAACGAAGAGATACCTAAATGGTGAAAAACATGGGGTGTGCTATCTTTGGAGATGCAACAGCAAAACTTCATCAAAAATTAATGATAAACACTGGGGCATCCGCTACAAACCACGTGACGCGGGAACTGATACCACAGATGGCGGGCACTGCAAATTCACAATACGATAAACACACGGGAATTTGCTACGATCTCCTGTGTCACGGGAAATAATACTGCAAGTTGCGGATGCAGCAGATTCGCGTTTTATCATGCGAAGGAACCACGGACACATCTCACGGGAACGAATACTGCAAATTGCGGACAGAGCACATTCAAGTTTTATGGTGCAATAAACACGCGGGAACCCACTACAGACTTGCCTGTCATGGGAACCGATATTGCGCGCAGATCGCGGACAAAACCCGGGACTTCGCTACAAACTTGTATATCACGAATATGAATAGCGCAGATCGCAGACACAGCAGAATCGTATTTCGCGATGCAATATATTACATGCGGGACCAACTCGCGTGTTACTGGAATCGATATCGCATGCGCGGGTCGCGGACAAAAAGGCAAGAATCCGCTACAAACTTTCATGTCACGGGAACGGATGCCGCAGATTCACATTTCACGATTCAGTGTGCACATGAGAATTTTCGTGTTACAGGAACCGATATTGCGTGCGCAGATCGCGGACAAAAACGTGGGAACCTGCTATTAACTCACTTAACAGACGTACCGGTACAGCGGAATGCACGGCTGATGCAAATCCCATTAGACATCGCCTGACGTCCGACATAAATCGGCGGGTGGGCGATGCTTCGAAATTTTTATGTTACAGATACTTAGCCAGAAAAACGGGATGGCCAATCTCTCGGGGACAGGCGTTCTCTCAAAACATTACAACAAGCAAAGCAAAAAAAAAAAAAAAAAAAAAAAAGACTCAAGGTTTTTTGGTTTGGAGCGTGTGGTAGTTATAACCGAGAACGGAACTGCAACCCTTCGGCTCGATCGGCCACTAATCTCGTTGTTCCAGTCGAGCCACCATGAGAGGGTGTCGAAGACTTTTTCTAAAGTCTTATTTACTCGAAAACCAGAACGCTATATTTGAGCGCGTCGTTTACGGCACTTGCCCAAACCAAGCTCCCACTGCCAAGAAACAATTTGGATGACGCGGCACGCGCGTTGCAGGTGAAGGCGGACAAGCAGATGACGCCCGGGAGGCTGGTGTGCGACCTAAAGATCTCCTCGAAGGAGCTGGTGCAGTGCAAGAGCTACGACCTGACGGAGCTGGCGAGGACCCTGCTCCACAAGCAAAGGCTGGAGCTCAGCCCGGAGCGGCTCCAGAACATGTACAGGTCAGTCAGTACCCAGAACAGGCCTTCCCTCGTGGCCTCATCTTCGGGGTTCCCGGTCATTGACGAGAGGAGGAAGGCGAGGCGTCCGTCTTGGTCGCCCGGCCTTTTGCACGCCCTCAGAGCTTTTCTGCATGCTCCGGCTGTGCATGCACGCTCGAAGCACGCTAGACGTCGAAGTGGCGTTCGAGGTGGGAAGTGTGTGCCGTAGGCGATACAACCGACACTCCTCCCAGCCCTTCCCATCCGCCCGGTGACTATAGAGGTGCATTTGCTACAAAATAATGGGTCCGTTTGCCTGAATCTCCCGTGCTTCCGCTCCCTATGGAGATGGACACATTCTGTCATGGTTAAAGGGGGTGGGTAAGGATTGACATCCCTCTGTCTCGCTGCCCAAGTCTCTTTGCGCCATTTCTGGACCACGCATGTCGAATGCAGGAAGCCATAGCCGAGCAACCGTCAAAGTTGTGTAACAAATTTCGCACTTGTAAGCCTTGGAGCTCCCGATGAGCACTAGTTTAAGTTTGATCGATTATACTTACTGTGGCAGAGCGAGCTCTTTCAATCGCAACCACTCCCGCTCGGATCGACAAACATACTGCCGAGCTACGTCTCTGTGAATGCCGTCGTGCGAGGTGCGACAAGTGCCGTTGTGTGTCACGCGTGGCAGAACAGGTGCACCATTTGCGAACGCGACACATGAGTGATTGAGTACAGTGGCTGACCGATTTTTCGGACGCCGATAAATCTGATTTGTTCGATATTTGGGACCTAAAGGAGGAACCGTGACCTGCCAGTTGGAGATTGTGCATACTTACGACCGATGTTTCGGACACCTTAAAGCCCAAAAGTTTGATTTTTCGGACGAAATCGTTGCGAGCGGTCGGTGGGAAGCACCACCAAGAAGCCGCCATTTTAGATTCTATGTTGGCCTGCACATGGAGTGGCTCAGTTTGGCAGCGCTACTGGAGTACTGCTAAGTCCCTCCACTAGGTGACACTATGCTGCGGATTTTTCTTTTTTTTAGCTATGCGTCATTATCATCATCATTTTTAGCGTTTTGCTTCATTCATTTGCCATTCTGTAGTCGGGGACTTATCTGATCTTGGTGTATCATATTTTCGGACTATGCTGGCTCAAACGTCATGACCCCATCCGTTCTTCCGCTGCCGTGAAGTGTTGCTAAAAAGCGTAGAGAGTACTCGACCATAACGCTAGAAAAGAATACAACGATCTAAAGCCAATAGAAAGTAGCCGAATGCAAGCGGAGGCGTAGCCTGAGGCAAGGCACTATTGACAGCTCTTTTAAGCCTGCTTAGATGTTATAAAGGCAAGTTTTTTAATTTGCCGATTTTCGGGATGGCTCTATTATTCGGATGTTTTTTCGGTCCCTGCAAAATCTAAAAAATCGGTTGGCGACTGTGATGGCTTCTTTCCTCTATGCAGCAACATACCAAACTAAGGCACGCGGATAGTATGGTTGCAAAGACATAAGCGATATTAGCGCTGCACATTTTCGTTGCTTGCGGTTTCAGCGAACAACCCCCTACTGACCGAAAGGAAAGAGGTTTCGCATCGAAATGGGGATTCAAGATAGCTGCTGCCGGATAAACGTGGCGCATTCACTCGTGACTGAGAGTCCCTAAAGCCCGGGTTCTTGGGCATTCCGAACTGGGGAAACGCCCGTCGCTGACGAACTTGTTCCGATATCGGCGTTGTTGTGGTAAAGTGGTGCGAAAGCCTGTAAATGACGATGCTGGATGAGTTACTTTTGGGACTGGTTATAACGAAGTCGATGGGAATCGGAAATCACTTCGCTATATCCACTATTTCGCTATAACCGATTTCGGATATAACGAAGTGCAAAAGGGAATGGGAAATTGTGAGCGCTTCGCTGTAGCCGCTATTTCGTTGTAACCGACTTCGTTATAACCGGTCTCGACAGCAGTGGGAAGACACTTCGCTCGGGGTTAGGGAGGGCTCGAGGAAATCTGGGGGCTCAGAAAACCCACGCGTGTACTCTAAAGAACCCCCGTGTTCCTAGGAACCCAGTGTGAGCAGCCATGATCTAAATCTTTGGGATGGCACAAACAGAGAGACCTTTCTGCGTGTTGTCGCCAAGAAAACCCCTGCCTAGGGTAAATTTATTGGGTATACCTTCCTTGCATTGTGCGCCGTGTTTCTGCTCACATTGAGGGCCTTGCGCATTTTTGCAGCTCTTCAGCGCAGCTGCTGAAGCTGGTTGACCTGACGATGATGGACGCCGAATTCTGCCTGCGCCTTATGAGCGAACTCAACGTGCTGCCGCTGGCTCTGCAGATCACCAACATTGCCGGCAACGTCTTGGTAAGCTCACCGCGTGCTTGCAGGATAGTTTTTGCGGAGGAGCACGATAAAAAAACGTATGATCTGAGAAAACGTAACTAGTGTTTCGCGTTTTCGGTATAGACTAATCAGGGATTGCAGCGGGTCTTTGAAAACCCTTGAATTTGAAAACAGCGTTTTCCAGACCTTGCAAGCCCTGAAATTTGTAGCGGTACTTGAAAACTCTTGAATTTCCAAATAATAGCCAGTTTTGTGTGTTTTTTTCTTTTTTAAGTAATGCATTTTTTTTTTTACATTAACTTAATATAATTATATCTTTTACGTGAATGTTAACATAAATTTCATAATTTGAACCAGGAAGTTTTTTATGTGGCACGTTTAAATGCATTTAATGGATGCCCGTTAAGCGCCTGGTCCCAATGGGAGCAGTCCCTGTGCTTCCAGATGTGGTCTCGCCGTCCGCGATTTTGGGATCTTGCCCCTCGTTCGCCTTGTTTTCTCACGTACTGCTTGCTAGCTACTCCTGGTTTGTTTGTTCCGCATCTGTTTTATGCTACAGATGGTGAACATTGTTTGAATTGAGCGCGATGTCCGTGAGTGCAACTTTCAGTGATTGTGGCTCAGTCACGATGACTACAAATATACAAAGAAAGCAGAGGCAACAAATGACATCACCTACATTCTCGCTGTTTTCCTTAGGCTGCTTGACTTGACATTGTCAAGTCGAACAGCCTAAGAAAAACTGTGAAAACAAAGATGCAAGAACTTCTAAATAACTACCAGGAAATCAAGGAAAAGCTGCAGTAGCTCTACTGAAGAGTTTACTAGCACCTCTTTGGCAAATGCGTTTTTTCCTGAGTATCGTGCAATAAAGAATTTTCGCAGTGCATTTCAGAAAGTTCTTATATTTTAAATTTACTAGGTAGAGTATTTTAAGGGGTCCTTGAAAGTATTTTTACAGGCCCTTAAAAGTCCTTGAAAATCCTTGACTTTTTTCTATGAAGCCTGTACGAACCCTGCTGATGACCGCCCTCAAAGTTAGCCCCTAGCCTTTTTGATAAAAATTGGGAAAAACCGATGAAACTCGATTTGGAGCTGCCTACAAATAAGGAAGGAAAGCATGCTTCCTAGAAAGAAATCCTCATCTGCAACTTTATTTGGTGTTCACCTGGAACCCATCCAGCTTTGAATTGCCTGCGAGGCCACTTCTTGCTTCAGGAACCACGCCCCCTTATCTCTTTTCCTTCTCTTATCGGGACTGTGACATTTCCTAAGTATTGGGGTCACATGGATGTTGCCCGGAGCTTGGAAAATTTCACCTCCACGTCCCGTTTTCTTCGACGTAAGCCTCAATAAAAGCCCATGTTTTTTTCCGACATCAAAATGGACATTGAAAGCACCAAATCCTTGGGAAAAAAATAATCATCGGAAAAACATCCCCAAACTCGGAGAAAAATAAACTTCAAAAACATTTAACCGTAAAAATTACCAATAGGCTTTCAGGCACTTTTTTTTTTAAATTACTGTAAAATACCAGGGGGGTGCCGACCCCACTTTCACTGTCAATTTGCTAGGTGCATGATTCCAAGGTAAAAGTGCATTCTCGTTTAGCGGAAGAAGTCTAAAAGGGTGTGGTTGTGTGCGTTACGTCTCCAACGAGTCTGGTGGGTGGTTAAGATGAAGGCCCACCTGTCTAAGACGGTGCCGACAGTCGCTCGAAGGCCTGGGCACATCCAGAGCTTGAGATCCACTTCCAAGATGGGTGGAACAGCAGGTGGACAACCGGTGCGATCGTTGCATCCGCAGAAACTCTTTGGAGCGAAACCTGTTCAAGGGTTTAAGATTGTTAGGGAAGTTGGAACCGCATGGAAGAATAAGAGCTCATGTGGTGCGCCGCAGTCTCTCCTCGTGAATGACCGGACTGTCCATGGCCGCAACTTAAAAAGAGGAAGTGGGTAGATTACCGTTCGAAGATGACGGGCAGCGTCTGCCACAGCGCGAGTGGGAACGCTAGAACGACAAACCCGGCAGATTCCAACTCGGCCACAAACTGACGAAAGTCTGTCACCGTGCTGAAGGGTCTGTCAATGCTTTGTAAGGCGTGGACGGCCTGTACCGAATTGGTGTGAGAAAGGATATGAACAGGGCGAAGGGCGTGTCAAACTGTCCCAAAGGGCCACCAACTCTGCCGGCACCAAGGGTAAAGGGGTGCCCTGGCGTATGAACACATCTGATTCGAAGTCGAGATGGAGAGGCAAATGAGGCCTGTATGGAGCCGTGATTCGGTCAGTCTAGCATCCACATAAGGTTACCGGTTTGGTGTCCCGGAACACTGACGAGGCAAAACTTTCATAGAGAGGAGACGGGAAGTAACTCTCGCTCTGCAGTTTGTTTTGTGTGAAGTTTTGCGGCTAGCAAAAACTATTATATATATACGAATACTAGTCAACCATTAGTTTGAAACCGTGATTTAAAATGAGAGGTCACCCTATGTTTCTAACTAAAGGATGTCGACCTGCAGTTAAACCTCGACGTAACAAACTTTAGCGTAACAAAATCCTTGATTTAACGAAGTATTACTTTTTTTATACTTGTTCTCCGTAAAAGCCCAGATATTTTTGCCCCAATGTAATGAAGTAAATTTTTTTGCTATTTCACTACAAAGAAGTGTTTCGTGATGGAATAAAGTAATTTTAGAGAACTTTCTGCAGCGGCCTCAAGTGCTGATGGGTTACTTTATGGGGACGGGCCTCCCAGTGCCGGCTCAAGCGTGTCTCATGCTCTGAGAATTCTCCGCTCGTTCACCACATTCGTGCCTCGAAAGCTGCGCAAGAAGTTGACACATCGCTTATGCCACTAGCGCAGCCATCGCTAGGTATAGCAGTCGTGAACAATGCCATCTAGATCAAGTAGCGATAATCGACGAGATGAGTTTCAGCACGTGCTTTGAGGCATTTGCGGCTGCCACAATCATGAATGGCGGTAACCAAAAGTTATTTCCTGCAATGAGAGAGCCAAAATACTGCAAGCTATCTCCAACGGCAAAGATCAAAGGATGTTTCTGTTAAATTTTAATGCCCTGTAGTTCAACGTCACTAGATCAGAGTTGGCAATCAAGCTTCCTAGAACACCTAGCGCCTTTTCATGGTGTGTCCGCTTGGTGGCACTCGCTACGCTATCAGCCCAGCACATATGGGCAGGAACGACTGAACCAGCGAGACGGATTCACATTGCCTGGGGCGGAAAGTTATTCTATTGCGGTATGTATGGTGGACATACCGTATTTACTTGCATAATGAACACACTTTTTTCCTCGAAAAATTGACACATACATATATTTAGAAGGGGTGTTCATTACGCAAGGTAAAATTTTTGCATTTACACACTTTCTGCAAATGTCATATTAGGTGGCAATATGACAGGGCAAGGTACTGTGGCACGTCTCCACTGACGGTGGTCTACCCACGGCTGGTCGGGGGCAGGCCACAGTAGCCATGCTTTATAAATTGCCAACTTTTTAGGGCACTTTCGGCATGCTTTTTGCTGAAGGAAAAGCGCCCTACGAATCTCACACTCAGCACGGAAAGCCATGTGACCGTTCTTAGGCTATATATATTGCCAGTATCCGGCGGCGCACTCAGGTATATACCACGACTACGCGTATAAGAACTCGTACGAAGTCCAACCGCTGACCGCTGAGGCCTGCTCACACAGATCAAGTTTCGTTCACGGAGACGGCTGTTACCAGGAGCTACCAAACACTCTCAACCTACGACACAGCATGCACCTCGCTGCACTGTTCTGTTACAGATTAAATTAACACATTTACCTGAAGCATGTGAAATTAGGCCTAACCGCTTTCACGATTTCACTGTCTGAAAGCACACCACAGACGGCATGTTTGTGGACATCAATGCATCCAATAGGCAAAGAATGTCCGGGGCTGGGCAATCCCTCAACCTAAGCTTCGTCAAGTGTGTGCGCCGCTCCGTTTCATGGTTAATCACTTCCGCTGCAAAACTGAGAGTTTTGCAGCGGAAGTGACTCTAGTAATGGCTGCAAAACTACGAGTTTTGCAGCCATTACTTGAGTGACTTGGCTTGACTTGACTTGGCCTGACCGCTTGGTGGCAAAAGAAAATTGCCTTGATGGATAGCTAAATTGGACGCAATTCGAGACTTGCGGAGCCGAAAATTGGAGGTGCGTTGATTACGTAAGAGAAAAAAAAAAGTCCAAATATTGGTACTCGTTGTGGGGGGTGCACTCATTATGCGAGTAAATACGGTAAAGTTCGAGCAATAGTTTGCTCATAAAAATGTCGTTCAAAAGCGGTCCTTCTCCGTTGCCCGTAGGGCTGGGGCCGCTGGTGATGCTAGGATCGCTATCCGCCTGTACCTGCTCGCATGTACGAGCAGGCACGAGCAGCAGAGAATTGTCTTCGAATGGCGCTCTTCCATAGGGCCTGTCAACTGATAGATCTAAAAGCATTGCCTTAGCTGGTTTCCTGTGATCTCGAAATCGTCGTCTCCTCCACGGGGACCCTTGTGTTGCAGCAGAGGGGAAGTGGTGGTCACCGCAACAGAAGGGTGGCCGAAGATTTAATTCTGCACGATGTGCTAGGAAACTCCCAAAAGGAGGATGGAGACTTCGAAGCTGACCCCGAAGACCTTCCTGAAGTCCTGAGCACTCGCAATGTACTTGATGTGATTGATTTGTTAATGCAGGAACAACAGTGCGCTATATACCGTATTTATTCAAATATAAGGCGGTCACGATCATAAGGCGAGGGGGCAGTTGAAGGACCCAAGAAAAAGAAAAAAAAAAAAATCGTCATGTTGCTATACTGAGCTTCGAATATAAGGCGGGGTATGACTTTGAGACTACGGATTTTGGAGGAAAACCTCGCCTTATATTCGAAAAAATACGGTATATGGTAATATGGTGCTACTATCAAAGAAGGTTAGGACTACCTTTTCCACCCACGAATATTGTTTTCGGCAAATATAGGCACATAACTACTTGCTTTCTCTGAGTAAGGTTGCTTGAGAATGCCGTGGCTTATTGGGGGTCGGAAGCAAGCATTCCAGTCGTGCTTTTAGTGGCAATCAAAACTAAGTGCCGACAGGTTAAGGATTTGGCAGATGCTCAGTGTCCGGCGTGAGCTTTCTTCCCTCGAAAACTATTGGTAGCACACTCAGCCGGAGCCCCGTGGAATTTAGCAAGTGCACACTGGAGGGGGAGCTTCTACTGAATTCTCAGCCTGCCCCTCTGTCAGATGCTGTCGGGCAAGCGATTTGCTGAACCCTCTCTTTCGTGTGACCCGTCAGTCCAGGACCCTCCTCGGAGGCCGGTCCCAGCGGAACGAGTACCTGCTCCTGCATGCCTTCAGCGATCGCAACTACATCTGCCCGGACAAGAGCTTTAAGAAGCAGGCTGTCAAGGTGCGTCTCCAAGAGGCTTCCCTACTTCACTCTTCCATCGACGCTACCGTGGCGTCCCGAATGCGGGCTCCTGCGACGTAATCTGTTGCCACTTAAAAAACACTTTTGGTGCATGGGCGGTACAGGACGCTAAGCACCGGTCCAAGACACGTTCTGCACACTGTAGTAACACATACTATACGTCTTCAGTCGTTAATTGTATGCCACTTTGTAACGCTTTCTTTTGTCTTGCACAGCTTCTTTTAGCATTGAAGCCAGTTCAGAAAAAGTATGATATCTTATTTGTTTGCAGTCATGTTACGTCACTACTACATTGAGTTTTGGGGTATACAGTGAGCAGGTTAATCTGCTCCTTGCGTAGGGGGTACGACGGCAACGGGGCACCAAGCTCTGACGTCGTCTGCTGTGGTAGCAACGGCTGCCTTGCCTTTTCTACGGCTTTCGGAAATACGTCCAATTTTTACAAATGAGATGTTAGCGTTCTGAAAAGGGGAGGTGAAATAGTTAGAGGGGTATGTTGTCTTTGTCGACTAGGCACTACCAGCCGCATGACAACAAGTGAAGAACTCGCGGCCGAGATGTTTGCTATTCACTGAAGAGGATAATGCAGAGATCAAGTCGTCTGCTTCTTGGGCAAGAGTTGCAGTGATGTCAGAACGACGCCGAGCTCTTATTGGCCAACAGAAAAATAGTGGGTCGATCTCAATGCGAGATGCTTTGAGGTCTACCCAATATTTTTTCAACCGGCCAATAAGAGCTCGGCATCATTCTGACATCACCGCAACTCCTGCGCAACAAGCAGACGACTTGCTCTTTGCATAGCTTCGTTCGGTTTAGCTGCTCTTCCTGTGCCGGTGCAGAAAAGTGTAGGGCAGTGTACTTCCGGCATGTGTATTGAGATACGACCGGAAGTACACCGCCCTACACTTCATTTGCACCGGTGCATGAGGTGGAGGTAAATCGAATGGAAGCTAATGTCTCGATGGCCTACTCCACACTTACGACCGCGTCAAGTGGACTTTAGTCATTTTATTTTTTACTCTTGTTTTATGTGGTTTTCTGAAACCATTGAGCTCTTTCACTTCAGTGGTCGTAGGTTTCTTTTTTAACTGACCGCAATCACTTTGCTTGCTCGGTTTTCCAGCATATTTTCTAGGAATATGAATATAGCTATGGCACTCCATGTTATTTAACGTTTTTTAACCGATGGTGAGTTTGAATTAGGCATATATGTCGACTTAAATATATATTTATATGGTAGCCAGATACAACAGTCAAACATTTTAGATGCAGCTACAGATTGCACGTCTCTCTGTGCATGTCTCTCACGCACGAAGAGTCGTGTTTGATCGACTTGCTCACTATAGGTATTTTTGTAACGCATCACTCTCCCCCAAAATACAAATTGCATTGGAGCTAGCAAACTCTAACCAGATTGAAGTGTGCAGAGGAAATTCAGGTTAATTCCTGTTTTTTGTCATTTTTCAATTATTGGACATGCTGTCTTCGGCATACAGCTGCTTACCTGTGCTTGTGCCAGTGTGTTGTTATATTATTTGTTTGCGCTATTGTAGGCGCCCGACGACGACGAGACGGAACTCCCGGCTTCCAAAAACAAGTCCAAGAAAGGTCCAACCTACAGCGGTGGTCTGGTCCTGGAGCCCAAAAAAGGTCTGTTACACTTTTTCTAAGGCTTTTTCTGTGCTTCCTTGATGGCCTTTTCTCTGAGTTGTACACTGCACAACGTCGTTCATGCAAACAAGCAACCGTCAGTTCTTTACAACGGTTGTTGCCTCTTCCCGCCGCAGGAAACGACGTCCATTGTTAATGTTCTAGTTATTGTAGTAGATATAGTTGGAGGGACTTGTCGCAGCTATCGCTCTGACTACCGTGGATCAACACAGGACTACAGTAATATGTTGACAGATGCCCCACCCCGAAAAAGATACTAACCCACCCCTATTTTTTTTTCCTGGAACTCCGAAGGATAGTTTCCGTCTAGTAATTGCATGGCCCTGGCTAATGGTGACCTTGGCAGAAATGGTGCGTAGTCACGGCAGGAGATAAGCAAACATTGCTGACTGGGAAGGACAGTCATCTTTGATTCATCGCCCCTCCCTGCAACCGGAAAGTTTCGTAGGTCACAGAATCTAAAACTAGCATTTTTTAAACTTTCTTCGATCGCACACCGAAAGTTGGCCCACTCCTTATTGGCATCCAATTTGCTTTCGATTTTAGGTGGGCTGTCGCTCAAAACATTATGGTACACAATTTTTTTCGTTTTTTTTTAGAATTAAAAAAATCTGTTGTCAAAACAACTACGTACATGTAACCCATGTTCACCTCAAGAACCAAAGTAAAAAAAGTCGGCTCCTCGCAGAATGCTAATAATCTCTCTCTTCATGTTAGATAGGTATATGTAGGTGCACCATGTTACCTTATCAAGGAATTGCATCAAGATCAATTGGGGGACTAGTTGGTTGAACATCTAGACGGTGATTTAAAAAGCACAAATGACTAAGAAGAGAAGGAGGGGAGAGGACAGAGCGCTTACTTACGACTGTCAATTTAATAGAGCATGCAGAGAAAGACAAGGTGGAAGTGAAAAAGAAGAGGAGAAAGAAAAATACACTCACAGCTGCCACAAAAACAACATATTTAGTTTTTAGAAATGAAGTAAAAATTACTTTAACTTCATCTAAATACAGAGTACCTGTCACATAAAAATTGTCTATAAAACAAAAGGAAAGCAAGAATAAAAAGAAAAAGAAATGGACACAAAAAGTCTTCAAGGTAAACACTGAAGCAACTGAAGTTATTTTTGTGTTAGGGTCACTGATGGATGCTTATGCATTTTTCACAACAGGTGAGGATGACAGTTCTCTAGTAGAGGGGTTCTCAAACTTTTTGGTCTCATGGAACCCCAGGAAGCTTCAAAAACTGCTGCGGAACACTCCCCCCCCCCCTCTATATTTGCCGACCGAGATGCAACAGATGCACAATTGTAGGCAATTTTGCTTGTGTTGCTTCCCATATATCCCCACCATATCAATCGCGATGTCAGTACAAAGTGAGATGAAGGCGCTTTGCACGGTCCTGCCGCGCAGCCTGCGGCGTGGGGGGGGGGAGGGGAGGGGGGTTGCAATATTGGTGTTCGAGGAACCCTTGAGACCAGCTCGTGGAACCCCTGTGTTCCTAGGAACCCAGTTTGAGAACCCTTCCATAGTTGTCTCGGAACCGCTAATTTCAATTTTGATTTCTAAAAACTAAATATGTTGTCTTACTGGCAGCTGTGAGTTTATTTTTTTCTTTCTCTTCTCCTGTTTCACTTCCACCTTGTCTTTCTCCACATGCTCGATTAAATTGACGGTTGTAAGTAAGCGCTGTGTCCTGTCCCCTTCTTCTCTTCTTAGTCATTTGCGCTTTTTGAATCACCGTCTAGATATCTTTTGAGACGTCACATTTCAAGCGCCAAAGGCATTGTTACTTCCTTCCACAACCGAATATTGCAAAAACCAGGTACTTCGCGCACCGCATGAATAATGCTCAAAAGATTTTTTTTCTTGATGTGACAAGTAAAACGTGATATAAAATGCTTGCATGGGGCACTAATTCAATGGGCAGTTTGGTGTCCATCAGTATCCTTATAAAGTAAGATGCGAAAAAGCCTCAATTTCATGCTCATATTACACTAAAATTCTTGCGCAGTATACAATGAGCTATTGCAGAATTTGAATTGCTGCTATGCTCGTCACACTTTTAGAAGTGTGCTAAAACCCTATGCGACCCCTTTCTCTCTGGCTCGAAGACAATTTACCCACAAGTTATTTGCAGGAAAGAAAAGATGGGAAGGGCTGTAACTTTTATCACCTATTTGATAAAGAAGTGGGACACATGTGCAAATGACTCGCATATTTTTAGGCTGTGACGTGGGTAATCACATCTGAGTCATTAAAAGAGTTAAAATTTGTTTTAATGGATCTTTCGACTCCAGATATCTGGCATATATTGCCTCGCTCACGTGAAAACACAAAACATTCTTGCACTGCCATCTTTAGGCAGGTGTTTCCTTTCACCTTTATTTTAACGTGCAAAAAATGGAAAACACATTTTCAAAAGCACCGTCCTTCAACTACACCATTCAGTAAGCGCTAATGATGGGTGAACTGTGTGCTTGTGATAAACACCCACTTACCTACTCTGCTTCTCATTGATAACAAGAGGGCAAGGAAGTCGGCAGGTGTGTCGATTTCATGCATCGAGCTTTTCTCAATTGGCCAGAAAGGTCAACAATGTCTCTGGCTTTCCCACCTTAAAAGCCCGTTGTGCTCTTCAGGATTCTACGACTCCTTCATCCTGCTCATGGACTTCAACAGCTTATACCCCTCCATCATCCAAGAGTACAACATCTGCTTCACGACCGTCGACATGTCCAAGGGTGGCGGCGACGCGGCGGTGAGGAATTCGTCTATATTCTGGGCAGAATCATTGTGGTTTGACAAAAACTACCTCGTGCTACTCTGTAAACACTCGTGGCACTCACTCTAGGTTTTAATCGTGACTCACACACATTAGGTCAAACTTTTCTTTTTTTTTTGCAACAAGTGAAGTTTGATATGTTTTCAGAAGATGATGCTACTTTGTCTTCGATGCTGTGTTTTTATTCTTTCACTTTGAAGCTCACTCTGACTGCAAGTTTGTCCCGTCCGTCTGGCAGCATGGTCGAGCAATGGAACCAAACTGGGGAAATCACCTGGCTGTCTCTTTAAACGGACATTGACCTCCCAAATAAAACAATTTTTTTACTTCTTGCATCAGGGACATCTGCCACTAAGTGCCCCTTCCACTAAAAGTGAATTTCTAGCACAATATTTCCATTGCAAGACTCGTTTGAGTGATTCCAAGACACTAGGGGTGTGCGAATAACGAATAGTAGTTTTCGAATCGAATACCGAATCGAATCAAGAAAAAAAATTCAAATATCGAATCGAATATCGAAAAGTGATTTTATTTGTAGGAATTTTTCAAAGTGTGCTGCGAATGAGATTATTATATGTGCAGAGTATGCGCCTGGTGCAGAATGTGCATCTTGTATGGAACAAAAGCTAAAACATAAAAAATTTCTGGTGAAAAAAAAAAAAGCAGTTGCTGTTGGACGTTGGGCACTAAAGATCCAATTTTATGGCGCAAACACAATCTATCTACCCTAAACGTCGCAAAAAAACCAAAGTTACAGCCACACATACCTTTTTTTCTTGTGAAAAGCACAACCTAGCACTGCAACTTTTTTTTATAAATATTTGTATATCTCAGAAAAAGGGCATTTTACGATATTTGGTTTTCAAAAAGGGCACCCGGGATTTTATTTCACATAAATAAACAGATAGGTGTTAAATCGGAGTAAACAGGCTTAAACAATATAATCTGAAGTAAGAAAGAAAACGTGGTTAGGTGGTGCAAGACACCGTCCAACTGCCGCTATGCATCTATTTTTCCATCCATCTATACTGTTTTAGAGAGCCTTGATTTAAAAGAGGAAGCAAGCGAAACTGAAACCACGGAGGCCGCCTCCGTGGTTTCCAGCGCAGATTGGTCATAAGTGCGCATGTGTTGTGTTGTTGCCTGGAAAAATGCGAACAAACAGAAGGGCGACAACGCCTGCCCTCCCTGCCCTGCCTGCCCGATCCCGGTTGACGCTTTCGTCTTTTCGTCAGCTTCTTGCAGTTCGTAATTCAAACGCAGCTATCGAACGGTTGGAAACCCTCTCAAATCTAGGCACACTATTTTTCCATTCCGTTTCGTTCCGAATCAGAATTTGCGGCTTGCGGTTCCAAAAGAACGACGACAATAATCGGCTGGTTTCATCGGCGGGGTTAACATTGTTTTCATTCTGTGATCGTGCAGTCGCCAATTTCTGTGAGTGCGGCAAGTGTGTTTTACATCGGTGCTTCAATTTTAGACGGGGGCTTTACTCGTGAAAAGAATTAGGCATGGCGCGGGATTCCAGCCTCCCAACAATTGCTCTCTGGAAGCAGCGCAAACGGGATGTTTCGGTTGTGATTCAAGGGTAGATTGTGTCACAATCGTGAGTAAATCTGCATGCTATAAAGTTTGTGGCGTTCGTTACTTTTCTTTTTTCTAACCTGTGTGTTGTGGAATGGTAGGACCAAGAGCTGTTTTGCGCATGGTCTGTCTAACATCTTGGTGCTCACATCGGGAGAAAAAACTGCTTTTTTGGCAGCTCCGCACCGACCGCGCGTCTTTGGTCAAATATATTAAATATTCGAGTGACCGAATTCTAGGAATTCGATTCGCGAATCGAATTATTCGGGAACTTTCTCTTCGATTCGAATTCATATATTCGAGTATTTGCACACCCCTACAACACATGCTTCCATTTTGTGGCTGACGTCTCGAAACGGGAGCGTGTTTTGAAGTCAATCTTAACTTATGATGAGTCTAGCTACATATTTTTATTTGGTATTATTTGTTAAGTGCCGGCGTAGGATTAGCATGTCATAACATAAAGCTTCACAAAAACAAAAATATCAATTTAGCACAATATTTGCGTCGTAATGCAGATATTAAATAAGGAGCGATAGACTTCTTCCGAAAATTCCTGCATGCAACACTATATGCATTGCATTATGGGACCCGATTTGCCATGGAGAGGAATGGCATGGTTTTGATTTCGGTTGCCCCGTCGACGACGAAGTGCATCTTGGCACTGCATGAAAAAGTCAGCGCTCTCTCTTATTACACCCATTCGTCTCTGTGAGAGCCCCTGTCGAAACACTGACCTTTGGCACTGTAAAGACCTGCCTGGGCATGGCGAGAAGTACGAGTGAGGCCTGCCACGTCTCATACCTCCAGAGGCGTGGCTAGCACTCCGTATTGTAGCGGTCACGGAGCACTTAAAAAGCCTAGGACACTGAGGAGGGGACGATGGAACAGCATGACGGACCCTGTGTACTTCTTTTTTTATCTGCTATCACAGTCCTTTACACATTACACAAGGAGGTTCTTCCTGTACAGTTATTTTTCTGTTTGTTTCGATGGCACCAAGAAACTGCCGCTTTGTATGAGGCACCAGATCGAGTAAAACTCTTAAGGGGGGACACTGGCTAGAGGTTGAACTTCTGAACTACTCAAGTGATTGGAATGAAATTCGCAGGGGAGATTTAACTTCAGATGTAGGCATACTGTGCAAACTTTCAGCCCTCTAGGACAACTTTACAATTGTGCATAAGAAGATGTGTCGCTCTTCGTTAAGAAATCTATGATATGCAAATGAAGCTATTAAGCATCATTTAGACTGCTTGAATATAAAGTGGGGGATGTGGGACTTCGGGCTATCTAGTTTTTATAACTCAAATGTAAATATTTCAGGAAGAGTGATTACTTCAAAATATGAGATGCATATCTGACCTATGTCAATTTTTGAAAAAATAGCTTTTTCTCAATGAGGACTTTAACTTAAAACAAAATAAAGTAGATAGCCCGATTCCCCAGTAAATTTCAGTTTAGAAACATCTTGACTGCGGTATCAGAAAAATTTTACCTTCGAACAAAAGATTCCTTCCTATGAAATTTGCTGCAAAAAGTGGAACTGAGAAAAATGCATTCAAACATTGAACTCCATTACTTCATTACTGCCTCACAATGGGCTGAAAATATTTTATATCAATGTAACTATTTGGCACATGGTTATGAAATTTAAGGCCCGTTCACACTTGCGACCGACTTCGACCGAGAGAGACTTCTTACGACCGGATCTGCTGCAGCGGTGCTGGTCCTAAGAAGTCGCAAGAGGCTTAAAAACCGGTCTCGTCTCTCTCGGTCTAACTCGGTCGCAAGAGTGTGAACGGGCCTTTAGTGTAAGGGTGTGAAATTAGTTTCTAAAACCTAAAGGCCCGTTCACACTCTTGCGACCGAGTACGACTGAGAGAGACGAGATCTCTTAAAACTTCTTAAATGTTTTTAGAATGATGGAACATACTGGCATTGTGGCGCCATCTATGCGGTGACCCTGGAACTGCATTTCACAAGAGCGAAGGTTCTGCGGGATTTCCGAGGTGAAATGTGCGTAATACCGATAGAGAAGCTCGTTTATAACATTGACAAAAGTTTTTTGAGCCAAGAAAGAAAGGATAATGCGCGAGAAATAAAAAAATATGCTGGACCTCCGAGTTTACACTGCTTCCCAATAGATGGCGCCAGTGTGTTCTCTGGTTTAAGAAGTTTTAAGGAGCCCAAATTTAAGAGGTCGCAAGAGTGTGAACGAGCCCTAAAACCTCAAAATTTAAAAATAAATTTTTTCAAAAAATTTTGAAACTTAGGCCCATGTCCCCCCTTAATAAAATTCGCCACATTTTATTGTCTCAAGCTTTTTGGGGTGTGCTGATGCCGAGCATTCCGGGTATTTATGCGCCACCCTTGAGTGCGTAACGCATAGAAGCTTACGAGTCCCATCACGGGGACATGGAACAGCAACACGGCAAACTAAACGTCTGGAATGTTCAGGCTCCGTGTCGTTGCCCGTCTACAAATTCTAAATCCTTTCTTCCCAGCCATCAGAAGGTCGCCATTAGCATGTACGGACGATATACACTTAGACGATGATAGTTATCAAAGTGAAGAGACTGAATTTCGGAAAGGGTCTGTTTGGGTGCACCACTGCCTCTGTGGCATCGTTGCGAGGAGAGTGCTCGTGCGCAGGCGGAGGACCAGATCCCCGAGCTGCCCAGCAGTTCTGCGGAACCCGGCGTCCTACCCTCTGAGATCCGCAAGCTCGTGGAGAGCCGGCGGCAAGTCAAGAACCTCATGAAGGCCTCCGACGTCGGAGCAGACCTCTACCAACAGGTGGGCACCCTCGCCTCACGCCATTTTATGGCCGGTTTCAGAGTCTACTGCGTGAATCAGACAGACCTTCGGCCCTTTAGAGGCACCGCATAAATTGGTTCCATAAAGGGGAGCTGCGGCAGTTTTTTAAAGCGATAGCTTTACAGGCGGCACTTTGCAGAAGTTCTGAGCTCATGGGATGTCGGTGCGCGACTATGGAAAAACCCTTTTCTCCACTCTTGGTGCGATGCCAGGGAAGTCAGCTTTTTCCGCCGGCTGATCAGAGCAGAGAGAGAAGGGGGGAGCCCCGGCATCTTGCCAGTAACGATGCAGCGAAGGGAGAGTCTTTTGTGTCGTCTGCTTGAAAGACTTGTTTTCAAACATTCCTCGCGTCATACAAAATCCCACTTTGGCAGTATCCAGTTGCTATGCATACTGTTTGATGATTTTAGAAACTTCCACTGCGCTTACCCACTTACTTCACGGATCACCGAGCACTGGTGGCGGTCGTCAGTGGCATCCAGGACGCCAATCACGACAGCTATGAGAATTAACCACGTCGTACCTCTGTCCTCGGGTATGCGACGCCTGCACTCCACCCGGATTGTGCGACAGTGCCGCAGCTATCGCTTTCGTTTCTTCGCGCGTTGTGGGCGAAAAGTTTTTCTTAGCATCCCGAACTAAACACATTTTCGGAATACCCATGATTTACTCAATCAATCACTCAATCATCTTACTTTTATTAACGTGAAATGTGGAATATATTACATATTACAGCATATTACCTATGTTGCAACCTATATTACATGCTATATTACAGTCGAATCTCATTAATTCAAACTCGAGCGGGACAGAAAATTTGTTTGAATAAAGCACAGTTTAAATCACCAGGAGTTTCCTCCCATAGAAACGCATAGGATGGGACGTGCGTGTTACCTTAAATTATCCGCAAGTTTGAATTAAGAGAGTTGTAGCTAATGAGAATCGACTGTACAACATTCGACGCCAGATTTTTTGTGTTGCTAAAAGAGCCTCTCAGTCTCAGACCAAACTTAAAAATGAATTAACTTCACGTAAAGCAATAATTGCAACAGTCGAACCCGGATATATCGAATTCAAAGGGGATCGTGAGATAGTAGATAATTCGATGTACAAAAATATGTTAAACTGAAGCTCCAGTTGAAATTTCTGCGCGTCTCTGCTAGTACCGACGGCTGTGACAATCGGGGCCTTACCAAATAGAGCATCTAAGAGCTGCTAAATACAGTAGAGCGTATTTGGTGAAGATTGCATGCAACAATGTTTGCAATCGTTCGCGCCCGCGCCTGGCCACTGCGCGCGTTGTGGCCTCGCGCCACGACCTCCACACAGCACCAATGACAAAATACGAAAATAATTTTTTAAGAAAATGAAAGAACGGAAAAAGCGAGCCGCATAAAAAAACAGTTGATCCATAGAATAAAGTTAAGCAAGCGGCCAAAAATAAAGCTCACTAATATCGGCCAGCAAAAAAAGAAAAGCAAAAAAAAAGATACAGTATACACCACTTACAACGTAACCGTTTATAGTGCAGGACCGGGTATAACGCGGTTTTTTTAAACCACCGGTTCACCTCCCATAGAACTCCATGTAATTACATACCGCTTAAAATGCAGGCGCGCGAAGGGAAATACTGGTTATAGTGCGGTTTTTGGCACAGCCCGCCGACCGCGCCGACGACCGGAGCAGCGAGCTCGCTTCCCTGTGCGACACTAGATAACGGCGCGAGAACTCGTTTGGCGTCACGTTCGCCTTGTGCGACCGACTCTGGTTTGCCGGAGACGTACCCACGATCGGCGGCGTGTTGGACGAGAGGAGGCGGGAAACGGACACGTGCGCGTTGCGGCAGTATATCGAGTTGGCGGACATCTACAAAGAACCGGCGTGCAGAACATGCCAAGATTCCCTGCTCAAAGGCGTGGTGTTCCGGTTCGCGACCGTGAATGGCTACAAGTACCCAACCGTACCGGAGCACCTACCGAGGTTGAACGTGGTGAGGAATGACTAGTGACACCTCGGCCTTCGGCGGTTGATGTGGTATAACAAAGACAACCGGGGACAATATGGTTCTCACATAACCAATTACCCAATCACACCTTAATCCTTACATTTATAAATACTTCATTTCCACCGTAGTACAGCTTTGCTGGACTTCCTTCTTCACAAAAGTGGAAAGGTTAAAAAGTTTTTTGTTTTTTTTTTAAATTTTATTTAGAGTCTAAGGGGTTGTGCAGCGACAGCAGTGTTCGGGGAAAGAGCGCATGCTACCGTTCCAACAGCAGGCACTCCCTGCCCTCCCTATGTGGGCACCTCCCCTTTGCCTTGTTTTTGCTATCCTCCTCGTTTTTTTTTTTGTTTTTTTTTTTTACAACTGTTTTTTTGCTGCATATTCCCGTGCGCGCATGCTGGCTTGGCGCTCTACCAGCCCCGCAACGCGAGCAATGTTCTCGCGGCCGGCGCAATTTGATCGCGGGAGAAGCGACGGGCGGCCGTTTTAGTTCGCTACATCCAGTGTTCCTGCTATGGGAGTTTGATAGAGAAAAACAACGCTCCTACACTATTACATGTGATTTTCAAGGGGATGTTTGGACTGTTCGATATGAAGAATAATTCGAAATACCCGAGTGGGATATAACAGGCTTGATATTACCGAGCTCGACTCTACGCACATCTAAACAAAATTATAACTAGCAATAGACGTTGCGCTATAGATGTACTATCGAGTAGGAATGAAAGGCGAAGAGTGGAGCGCGTGGCCTGCAATACACGCTGCACTACCTAGAGGCAACGAGGAACCGATAAGACCATGAGATGGAAAGGGGGCTGCGAGGGTGTGCGGCTACTCCGACGTGCATACCCCCATAGCCCCTCTTTCCACTTCGCAGTTTTGTGAATTTCTAGTTGCTTCTAGGATGCGCAGCAGGTATCGAATGCCACGCGCTCCGCCGTTCGCATTTTATTCGAACCTGATAGTTTGTATATACAATAATAGTAACGAGAGAACTGTCGATACTAGACACAACTCGGTGCGTGAACATGAACGCGTGCCTCACGTCGCCCGAAGGAGAAAGGCCACTGACCCCGCAAGTTTCTGGTTCCAGTACGACATCCGGCAAAAGGCTCTCAAGCTGACGGCCAACAGCATGTACGGCTGCCTGGGGTTCGCCCAGTCGCGGTTCTTTGCCAAACCCCTCGCTGCCCTCATCACCAGTCGAGGACGAGAGGTAAGTTTCAGACGTGACGCTACTTTGTTCGCCGTCCACGTCGTCGGCCGAGCATGACGTGATCTGCCCTTTGCTTTTTTTTCCCGTTCCAGATCTTGATGCAGACAAAGGAGCTGGTCGAGAAGGTATCTGTTCCTATCCTTTTGTCCTCAGAAGAGGATTAATTTTGATATTTAAATCATACTGTCAGATGTAGAATTGTGGTGTATAGGAAACAATGGGGCTTTTGCAATGTTTTTTTATCGGCATCCTAGCGACGTCGTCGCGTCGAGCGAGGTCGGTCTCATCCCACGACGTGATGTCACGGGATGTCACAACGTGGAGTCGCGTGACCCGTCTCCACGCTGCGTGGCCGCATGATGCAACGTTGTCGCTCGACACCCAACATTGCCGGTTGGCTCTATGACATTGCGTGATACTGAGACTCGGACTTGAGGGGCGCGATGCAAGGTCACGTGACGTGCCACACACGCCGTGGGTAAATGCGAATTCTGAGTTAGCTTCTGTTAGAATGCAGTTCTGCATTAAAATTGTTCGGTTACAGACTATTTTTGTCTTTTGGATGTAGCTTATCGTTTGGTCTTTGGCAATAACAAAAAATCATCGAGGATATATTTTTTTTTTTTTAATGGAGAATTTATTTTGGTTGAGGTGGGCTTTTAAAAAGAAATGCAATGTCACGGATGAGCCTACGTTCTTTTTTTCAATAAAATTAGAGTTGGGCGAATATCAAAATCTTTCGAATCGAATTGAATTGAATATTTTCGAATACAAATAGTACTTTCGAATAAGAACATGTTTTTTAAGAAATATTTTTCTCTTTGATGTGAATTAAACAAGAATGCTTAATTAAATCACAACTGAAATTAGTTTTTTCAACAAACATTTCTGAAAAGGTTGCTTTTATTGCAGTAAGAAAATGTCACTGATGCGACTGATAAAAACGGATGAAATAAAATATCAGTCGAAAAACACCATTCGAGGAGTAAAGTTACAGAACGTAAATGAAAGTACACAAGTGGAGGTGGGTCGGCAAGCCACATCGTAGTCGGAGATCGCATCGCGGACAAGCGCAACAATGTGAGCGTAAACGAAAGTACACTAGCGGTGGCGGGTCAGCAAGACACAACACAAAGACAAAGATTGCGTCTTTCTGCAATTTCTTTTTACGCGGGTAAACACAACCACGTGAACGTAAACAGAGCCCGGTCGACAGGCCACAGCAGAGTTGGAGAACGTGCAATCGCGCCGCACAGCCGCACTGACTTTGCGCCATCTTTTTCTGTGTGCAATAGTTCTGTCCATTGAGGGTGTCACAAAAACATTAATAAATTAAGAATACTTTTTTTTTTGTTGGTGGGGGGAGCAAGTCTTACTTTTACCAGTGAAAACGGGTAGAAATAATTAACAAACGGAATACTGGCAAACTGATGAACCGGAAAATCAAGCGGAAAGTAACACGAGCCAGATATCGCCGATAGCCGAGGTAATAAGCTGTAAATCCATATCTGAATTCATAGCACCTTGGCTTTTGTAGTGACTGTAGGAACTAAATCGCAAATATATGGTTCCACTACACTAAAAAGGAACGTGGACAGGAAGGAATACACGACGTTGGGGCAAACACCCAAAACGTTGTGTGGTCCATTGCGATGATGCACGTGCCGTTGCAAATCGTAGTCCTTTATCGAACCTATTGCAGGGTTTGCGCTACAACCACTTTGCCAACTCCGCAATCCAGACATCATGGCAAGCAAAGGACAGATTGCACTACCTCATGCAAATAACATTCCAGTGCTTCATACAAAAAAAAAAAAAGTATTTAGGTAGGATTTTTGGGTTCGCCAAGCTCGAAACCATAGTGCGCATTTCAACAACAAAATGGAGTACTCGACCACGAGTTGACACTAATCAGCGAGTTCCTTGTTCTTCATAGTTTTCGAAGTATTCGAAAAACTCGAACATTTTGGACAGCGAAAGTGCGAAGCGAAGCGAATCGAATAGAAAGCATTATTTGCGAAGTATTCAAAGTTTGAATATTCGCACACCCTTAAATAAAATGTATCAATCAATGCATCTGTCGGAGCCTCATTTAATTCCAAAACACCGTGAGGACGGACACTTCGTTCAGGGGAGTTTGGCAGGAGTCCAATCATTTTTCTCCTCTTGTGCAGATGGGCCTTGACGTCATTTATGGCGACACAGACTCCATCATGATCAACACAAACTCCAGGGACCTGAAAGAAGTTTCCAAACTGGGAAACAAGGTACGCATATTTACAGTTCTTATCAAGATACGTAAGCCACTAGGACCTCTGTGTACCCTCTGAAGTGGGGGGGGGTTAAAAAAAAAGCGCTTGCACGAACTTACATTGACGTGCATAAATCGAGAATGAACAGTTTCTTTATTTCACGACAAACAATATGAGATACGACATTTCCACGAAAACCTAGAGACTCCTCTCAGCGAGACTTCTGATGTTGAACTGCGCTCGCCAAACCACGAACATCCATATTCAAGCTGCTAACTGCGAGTCGCAAAACATTGTGGAGGTTCTCGTCAGTCATTCGTGAGCGGAAGTTGGATTTTATGCACTTCATTCGTGAAAAAGTCTGCTCGCAGACGGGCAGCGAATTAGTCAACTTTATTTTTTTTTTGTTTCTTTAGCTGACTGCGTAGGGGGGGAGGGGGGGTTACCGGGAGGCTGAGGGCCGTATGATACTACCTCGCGGGCTGGATCCGGCCCGTGGGCCGCTGGTTGCCGACCACTGCCTTAGCACATTCGGGGTCATGAGTACTTGCAGGATGAGAACAGCAAGACGTCTCTTTCTAATGTCTGGCCTCCAGAACGCGCTCATTGCCTTTGTTCTTGCTTTAGCTGCATGTCTCATTCCCAGTAGGCCGAGCTCAATCCTCCAGTGAGCCAAGGGCGATCTGATTAAGTGAGGAGTGAAAAGCACATTGATTTAATCACTCGTTGACACTATGTCGTTCCATAGTACTTGCCAGATCGTCGGCGAGCACACGAACATCGTAGACAAAGATACACGAAAAAGATGGAACCGAGTTACCGTCGTTGCCAGTTACGCTGTAAGGACACAATTGGATCTAAGCTACAAGCTAGTCGTGCGGGATGAATCATGCGAGAACACAATCGCTGGAAAGCTGGCTGCAGGTAGGTTTTCGAATACTAACGTACGAAGCCTTTACTCTGGCGTCAAATCGAGGAACGCGGTCACGAAAAAACATGAACGCGGCAGTCTCGTTGGAACATGGAGGAGCAGACGGTGCATCTGCATGCTGTTGGTGCCACTTCCAGTGTGCTGCCAAGGGGGAGTGACGTGGCCCTTTTAAGGGGTGTCCAAACAGGACACAACAAAACGCACGACTCCGACAAATTGTGAAAATCGAAGCAGACGCTTCTATTTTTACGATTTGTCGGAGTCGCAAAAATTTTTGCAGGAGCCGTGAAAATTTCCACGATCACGACTTCTCTCCTTGCCTCCTCCACTTTTCTCTGACGTCACACGCCACCTGCGTCTGGCTCACCTCGCCAACGCCCTCGCGTACCGCCGTCGCCTCGGCTCGAAGTCCAGGGGGGTCCGGCTTTGGGTGGTTTTGGGACATTCCTGCGTCGAAGGGTGCGTTTCGCCCGCCTCGGATCTGCTTTCTTTGTCAAGATTCACTTTCGTCGTGATGGCGTCCGACGCGGTTTCGTATTGTGAGCGGAGGCCTTGAGCGATTGACCGACAGCCAACAGAGCGTGTGAGTGGCTCTCCGGACCCACGTGATGTGCAGAGCAAGGCCGCCGTGGAGGAAGCGAGGGGCAGATTTGACGGGGGGAAGTTTCCCCCCGGGAGCTTTGACGGAGGGAAATTTCCCTTCGACGGCCGGAAGCGGAGCGCGGCACGATTTGCCGGAGTCGTGAGTTTTGTAGTATCCTGTTTGGACAGGCCTTTACGTGTTGCACGCTCCCCGCAGTGGCAGTTTTGTTTGAGGCGTGCCGTCGACGAATGCCGTGCCAAATCGCAGGTCAAGGCGGAGATCAACAAACTGTACAAGCAGCTGGAGATCGACATTGACGGCATCTTCAAGTCCATGCTGCTGCTGAAGAAGAAGAAGTATGCGGCGCTCGTCGTTTCCGTCGGACCCAATGGTCAAGTCTCCACGACCAAGCAGCTCAAGGGACTCGACGTGGTGCGTCGAGATTGGTCGGAACTCGCCAGGAAGACAGGAGAGTGAGTGCACTTGTACCTCACTAGTGAGCACTGAGAACCGGAAACAGTCGGATGGCAATGCTGCGGTAAATTTCGGCATTCCCATTCCAGAGCTAAGTTGCAGAATATTCCACGTCAACATGGTGATGAACGGCGTGCAGGAGACAAGGACACAACAGAAGAAAACAAACAGGACGAGCACTGTTTCCTTCTACTGTGTCCTTGCCTCCTGTGCTCTGTTTATCACCATGTTCTATGCACACCAACTCTCCCAACTCACCACCTTGCTACATTTCACTTCAAAATCATTTGGTCGTCGTGTTTGTTCTTCCTTTTATGCTTTTCTTTCGTAGTTTAAATTTTCTGCTAAGTCATTTTTTGGTCTGGGACTGAAGGCTATTTGTGGCAGAAATTTGAGGGTCAAAGCTATAGCAAAGCTATGCGGAGAGTAAGTTGTCTGCTTCTTGTGCAGGAGTTGCGGTAATGTCAGAAACATGCCAAGCTCTGATTGGCTCTGACTGAAGGATAGTGGGCACACTTCAAAGCAAGCTGCCTTGAGGTCTACCCACTATCCTTCATTCAGAACCAATCGGAGCTCGGCGTTCTGACGTCGCCACAAACCCTGCAAGAGAAGCAGACGAGCTTGCTCTCCGCATAACAAGAAGGCAGCTTCGTACCACTGGCTGCATTCTAATTCATAGAAATTATTTTTGCCGCACAAATCTGTGAAGTAGTCTATAAACCAATATAACACCAGTCCTTGTTGTGGTTTCGGGCAAGTAGGTCACCGCATTTTGTGTTCTCAGCAAAAGTTTCGATTTCAGGTCTGCTGGTTTCTGTTGCTCAGGAAATGTGCAAGTGCAAAACAGAGGACATGAAGAAGGATACACAGACAAGCACTTGTTTTTGTCCCTTTCTTTGTGTCTGTGTCTGTTTGTGCTTCCAAGTTTCCTGAGCATCATGCAGTAACAGCAACCATGCTCAGCTTTTGCAAAACATATTTGTACAACACTTGCAGAAGAAGAAAGCTGACACCATATTTATTTTGCATAGAAAGTGAAAAGCATTATATTTAACAGTGACAGCTGTAAAATAAAATGACATTAAAATCCTCAGAATCTTATTCAGGAGGAGGCACAGAAACGACGGTAATGCCACATCAGTTCTCATATAATGAGAACTGATGCTTCTGAGCCTGCTCCACAAATCGGGAATAATTTACAGCAACAGAAAAGAATCAGATATCACTGGTCTTCAAGCTATTCCATGCAATGTGGTTTATGTGGCAAAGGCAACAATTTAAGATTTAGTGAATGCAACCAGCATAGACTGTTTATAATGTATATCACAGGAGCTGCTAAAAGCCGCACTGTAAGCAATACTATACTGCCGTAGAATACCGTGCATCCGCCCATTCCACACTAAGCGCCCATTCCCAAATTTGTAAGATTTGAGAAGATATGCGCAGTACATTGATATGTAAATTTGATGACCGGATGAGTGCCCATCCCCCATTTTTTCGCTATTACCTCAAAATTTTGAGTGGGTGCTTGCCTGGCATATTATGGTATACTGAAAACAAAACATCACTTTTGTAAATCGCGTTACATGCCAGGTGGACAGTCTACCTTTAAGAATCATCTTACTGTATCTTAAACTCACAATCGCATTCAAAGTCTACAGAAGACCCTTATTAAATCTGATACTGCTTCTCCGAAGTGTGTCGGAGAGTGGTGTTGGCAACATTGATGACCGGATGAGTGCCACTTTTGAAGCCAATTTTGCACACAAACTATGGTTCAGCGAATATTCAAAACTTTTGAATATTGAAGCAAATACCGTATAAACTCGTGTAAGGGCCGCACTATTTTTTCCCGATTTGAGAGCAAATTTTCAAGTTGCGGCCCATACACGGAGTATAAAAAATTCTGTACCCACATTCCAAAATTAACGTGCATGAGTGCGCTCGGCTGCACTGGTCGGAAACGCCTTCACTCCGGAATCCAGACTCAATCGTCAGTCAGATTTAATTAGTTTACATACTGCGCAATACACTTTTTTTTTTTTGCCATACAGTTGAACCTCAATTTAACGAAACCCGATTTTACGAGTTTCCCGATTTAACAAACAAATTTGGATTCCCCGCGCAGCCTATCCCGAAGAATGTCTTTCTCGACTTTACGAAGTTCCCGATTTAACGAAATAATTATTGGGTCCCGGTGACTTCGCTAAATCGAGGTTCAACTGTACCTGATAGCATGCGCGGCAACTTTCGGCTTGAATCGCATATTACTGTTGGAGTGGTACTTGCCCGTAGCTCTCAGATTGCGCAAAAAAACAGACAAATCGCGACGCTTTGACACCAATCGAAGAACGAAAGGAAACCTCCCCAGAGCGTACAGTGGCGTTCGAAAACCTGAGTGCATGTGTGAACCGAGCCCGCTGAATCCCCATTTCTCGCGCTTGCCACGGAACCTGACATATTCTTTATCTTTTCTCAATGCCTTGCCGCAACATAAATGCATCCCGACAGTGCGGCTGACCACGATCGAGGTCGACAGCCATTATGCCATACGGTGATACGGATGAGTGGAGAGCAAATATCGGGGATGCGGACATGTGCCGCTACGTGCTCGGGCGGTGGCTAGCGCCACCTAGCGATATCTATTCATAGAAACGTGGCTTTACAGTCGGCGCGCCTCAAAAACAAGGGGTGCGGCGCATACGCGAATAATTTCTGTAATTTTTTTTCTTGCAATACTTTGTCCTAAATACGGGGGTGCGGCTCTTACACGGGTGCGGCCCTTACACGCGATTATACGGTAATGTTAAATTTGAATCAAATAGGACTATTCGGCAACTTCAAATATTTTCTAAGTACGTATTTCAAAGTTTAAAATGCTGCGATACATTTGTTAATTTAGACTAAAAAAAACAAAAACAAACGAAAACTGTATGCATGCATTCCCCGTCATCTTTTGCATGTTTTTTTTTTGTTTTTTGTTTTTCTTCGAAGACTGTCGGATTCAACATTGACTTCTGAGACGGCTTGCATGAAAAACCGGCATGTCGTACGACGGATCGGACAATTTCGTAATGTACTCATTTTTGATGCGCATTCAACATGTTTTTATGCCATGGGCAGCTGGAGACTGCAGGTGTGAGGGCTAGAAACCTGGAATTATGTCTAGAACGCATTGTGCGTATTGGCACTGTCATAGACGAATTTTCTTGAAAACGGAAGTGTTCTTGTTAATGAGACACAGCTGTATTTAAATAAGAGTAATTGTAAAAATTATTTGGAGAATGATCATGGTAGAGTGCCCTTTAGACTTTTTATTGTTTGTCCTTTCGTTTTGTTCCCTAGTCTCGAGAGTTTTCCAACACGACTGTATTGACGGCTGCAAATTGTTTGTTTCGCTTCGAAAATATTCAATTTGATTTTAAATTAATCATAACAAGGGAACTATTTGATTCGTATTCGCTTAGAACTGAAAAATCACTCTTCGCAGATTTGTAGCACGGACGCCATTAACAAAGCCACTATGCTCAAATTCATGCCTGCCCAGTCAAGAATTGCAACTGGGAGAGGGAAAGAGGGGGACAGCACAAACCGAGGTTGGTCCAACATATTCTGCCAGCCGTGTCTCGTTGCACTTTTTGGATGTGGCAAACAGGGAACTAAGGCACAGCAGGAATGTAACATCCGAGAAAACATAATAACCGAGAATGCATCGACCAGGTTCTATGGTGTACTAGAAAAGGAAAGTCAAATTTTGTTTTATTAATCCCGAATAGGTACGTGATCGACGAGCTCCTGTCCGACAACTCGCGCGAAGACATTGTGGAGAAGATCCACTCGTACCTGATGCAGCTCGCTGCCAAGATCCAGGGGGACTCGCTGCCGCTCTCCGACTTCTGCGTCACAAAGGTGAGCTGCAGTCTTTCGGGCAATAAAGCAATAAATCTTAGAGCTACAATCTTTTGTTGATCGAGGATACTCTTTTATCACCATTAATTTTGCTTAAGCAGGTTCAAGGTGTGCATTTTTTTTTTCTGAGTGGTCAAAAATTCTTTTTTATGTTTTTGTCTTAATCTCCTCTTTCGCAAAAAAAGTGCATGTGCTCTAGACCGGTGCCCTCAGCCTCTTCTTTACTTAGTAGCTGACGCCCGTAGTCAAGCTTCTAAGGATTAGTTCTTAGTTTTAGAAGAGTAATAATAATAAATAATCATTTTTATCATTGACCCAGAGGGTTGAGGTGTACATGAAAGGCCGGAACTGTGAGGGGCAGAGGGGGATATCCTCTTTTCTGACTCAGTCATTCTCTGAAGTCTGGGAGACTGAAGGAAGAAAAAAGTTTTAATGCTGGCGTCGTCAGTTTGAAGCGCGAAAACGGCACCTAGTTTTCTTCAGTTCCATTGGCTGGCGCGCGTCGACGGGGCTCCCATTGGCCGCTGCACTTGTCAGTTTCCACGACCACTCACCCTATGGCGCTGCGTGTCCATCAGCGCGCCGTTAACATGGAGCGTCCAAGGTCACAGGGGAGCACACGTGCTGACCGGCGACGAAAAGTATGCAGCAGACGAAAAAGGGAGCGGACGAGCGGCTTGCATGCTTTCACATTCACTACCCATAAGTGCTTAGGTGTACCTCAAGCTTCTTTTTACAGCGGAGCTGTTAGGGGCTAGTTTCCCCAGTTTTGTGTCCGGTACCAAACAAATGTTGACACACTTCACAAAACTCTGGACAGCTACCGCCATCTATGAGCGACGGCGGCAACCAGACAACCAATCTGGTTGCTGCCGTCGCTCATAGATGGCGGCAACCTTTCCAGTTATCATAGAAGAATGGATAGTTGGGCGAGCTGGTGGGAATCCATTGTAGGAAATAGCGTGCAAAACAGACGAGGACGAAGAAGAAACACACGTGACGAGCGTACAGCCTCGCTGGTCTTCCTGCTTCACCGAAGTGGAGAGGCTGAAAGTTTTTTCTTCTACAAATTTTTAAATCAATGTTTCATAATTGATTTCTATTTCGCATTATTGATTTTAGGTATATAGTGTAGACTGCATATAATGTATGTCATGGGAGTTGCGAAAATCCGCACTATAAGCGGTACCGCACTATGACCAAAATATAAATTTTTCAGGTCAAAGAACTCCATGAGGCAACTTACCTTTGTAAAACTATTTATTTTGTGTTAAATGAAAAATAGAGCTCAGTCTGAGGAAAGCTCTTGTTTCACTAGACTAGAACACTTCTCTCTTAAGCATATCACGCATTTTAAAAGAAATTAGTGATTTTTGCCTGGCGCTGCCTTTTAACAGCGTTGCTGACGACCCGGTCTTCCATAACGCTGAGGCATTTGAACACCTCATCACTGAAGGAGTTCTGCACACAGCGAACCTTCAGTGTCTGTAAGAATTCCAGTGCGTCTTGACTTGAAATTTTCGGCGTGCTCTCTTCGTCGTTGTCTGATTCATCTCCGGGTGGACTCGTCCCAGAACCTTACACCGCTGCAACAATAGCTTCATCAGTGGTTGCGTCCTTACGGATAACAGTCATCGTCATCCTCATCTGCATAGTTTTGAAACGTGTCGTTTGCAGGAACAAAGTGGTTTTCCACAAGGTCGGACCATACGTCGTCTGCGCCGACCTCCTCGTCAATCGCATCACTGCGTCAATTGGCGTCCTCAGAATTCCCGGCATAGTGCACAAGGCCTGCGTTGCGAAAACACTACTGGATGGTTGTGGCTTTTACTTCTCAGTCAACTAGCAAAGAACTCTTGGTGCATCCAGGCCTTTCCATTTGTTGTGTACACCACAGGCAGACATTCTCGCTTTTTGAAGCAACGGGGTCGTTTTGTTTCTCGATGATAAACAAGTGCTGCTTGTTGGTGCCGTCTATGTTTGCACAAAACAAAACCGTGACGCGTTCCTTGGAGACTTTGCAGCCGGAACAAGGTTCACCTTTCATCGCAAAGGTGCAATCGGGAAGCATATTGTAGCACAGACCAGCTTCATCGGCATTATAGATGTCTTTGTCTGCATACGCGAAAAGCATTGCCTCTAGATGAATGCGAAACCACACCTGAATACTGGTGTCGTCGACTTCCCCACTTTCGCCTGAGGTAACTTTGCAGCTAATCCCGTGGTGGTCTTTAAACCGCTTGATCCATCCGTTGAGGGGGTTGAAGCCTTCGTGTTAGAACAAATTTCCAAAGGACCTAGCCTTCGCTTGTAGCATCGGGCCACTCACTGGGACGTTATTGGCTCGCACTTCGCAAAGCCACCTAAACAGGGCTTCGTCGACGTTTTCATACCTTGGTGCACGAATCCTCTTGAGAGAGACGCAGAATCTTGCTGTAGCTACTTCCGTACCTGCTCCCGGTTCTTCCAGACAGTGGAAACGGTTGTGTCAGCGACGTTGTACTTGGCCGTGACGGAGGCTTTCTTCATGCCACTTTCGACATCTTTAATGATGCTCTATTTAGTTTCGAGAGACAGGGCTTGTCATTTCTTGGCCATCTTGGGCTTGAGAGACAGGGACAGATCGGCGATAGAACTGTCGATTTCTGTGGGATATGCTTGACGCGGTCCAGACATCAGATGTGAGAGCAAGCCAGCAAGCTGCAAGAAGCAAAACAGCCTTCGTTTTGTGCACGGTGTAAGAAAGGAGTTTGGTTTTGCGTCACTCACGTGAGGGGGTGAAATCGAAAGGGTGAGAGGCTTGGGTGGCTCATTGGGACTTTTGGAGTTGAGTGCGTGCGTGTGTCTGTCGCACCTCGCTGCGTTGTCATTCGTTTCTCGCCTCTCTCTTTGCTTCTCGCTTCTTCCGCGCAACCTCCTTGCCATCCTTGCCCCACGAGTGCCGCTTGCGCCGTTATCTGGTGTTGCACAGGGAAGCGTGCTTGCTGCGCCGGTTGGTCGGCGGGCTGTTCCAGAAACCGCACTATAACCGGTATTTCACTCTACATGCCTGCATTTTAAGCGGTATGTAATTACATGCAGTTGTATGCAAGGCAGACCCGTGGTTGAAAAAAGCCGCGTTATATCCGATCCTGCACTATAAGTAGTTATGTTATAAGTGGTCTATACTGTATTGCGTTCGAGAACTGTAGTGGAGGAGTAGTTCTCGCATGAGCAGTTTTCACGCTGACCTTTTTCTTTGACCCGTGACAGCAACTGACAAAAAACCCGGAGGATTACCCGGACAAGAAGAACCTGTCGCACGTCCAAGTGGCGCTTCGACTCAACAGCAAACGAGGCAAGAAGCTGAAGCAGGGAGACACTGTCACATACGTCATATGCAATGTGAGTCTGCTCACAGGGGCATCCAAGTAGGCTCGTGCATATATGCACTGTTTTCTAATACTGTATAGAATAATGGGCTATTTGAAAATCGCTTCAATATAACTTTTGATGGTAATCCAAAATCTTGAAGTAGTATGTGATGCGAGCTTATTTTTATGGCTTTGGTTTCCATAAGTTAGCTACAGCTCATCATGGGAATAATGAGTGCAATAGAAGTGTATGATTGATTACGGTCTGCAGCTTCATTGACATATCTAGTTGAGTATTTAGCCAAATGCGTGTTCTAGCTGTAACCTTGCTGATAGCTGTCTAGCATGCAGCTAGAGCATAGTAGGCCGTGACTGGCCGAGATGTGCCACGAACAACAAGACTCGTAGAAATGTAACAAGGGTGTCGGCATTCATCGCTGCTTCTCAGTAGTGAAGGTGCTGTGGTGACCTAGACGCGGGGTGAACGGTTTTTTTCAACTGCAAAAAATTTCACCGATGCACCCAAGCAGCGAAGACAGGACGAAATCGGGGACCTTTCTTGTAAATGATCATGAGGCAGCAAATGTATGGTTTGACCGCAGTTTCTAGAATTTCTAGGAGCAAGTGGAAGATTTTGTTGCCACTTTGTGATTTGAGAGTTGGGTCTCGTAAATTAAGTTTGTTTGTGTTTTTGTTTTTCATGTATCCTGTTTGTGCACCGAGGTGAAGACCTCGTGGTTGTTTTTGGGCACACAAATAGTAATAATAATAAATATTATTATTATTATGGTGATGATGATGATTATGCTGAAAGTGTTTAGCTGTCTTCATCATCTTCGAACTGCCAAACTAACTTTACTAAGAAACCAAATCAGAATTTCTGACACAGATAATGTGGGTAGTACATCTAAATTTGAATTTAAAATCAACTTTGCTAATTTTTCGCTTTTTTTATTTATAGCTTGCATTTTAGAATTCCTTTTATCTCACTTTAATGCAGGATGGCAGTTCACAGACTGCAACTCAAAGGGCATACCACCCTGAAGAACTGAAGGGCAACGACAGCCTTTCGATTGGTAAGTATATCTATCTATGCACGCAGATGGCCTTCTTGTGGCGCTTGACCGCCAAACAATTTCTATATACCTTTGCCTTCGGAACAATGTAAACGTGCAGGTGCAAGAGGCTGGGTGTCTAGCGACCGGGAAAACCGGGAATTGTCAGGGAAATAATAATTACCAGGAAAAATCAGGGAATTGTCAGGGATATTGTCAAAAAGCGAGCCCAGTCAGGGAAAATGAGCCGGAAACGCTATCGAGTGCCCCGAGCAAAGACTTGAGGACTTGGGAGAAGAAAAATAGGCAATACATTCTGCTTAGAGTGGAGCGTGGGCACTGCTCAACCGATGTAGAGTGTGCTACCTGGTGCAAAGGGAACAGCCCACAAATCCAGTCCAAGCGTCGGATTGAATAGGATTGGATTGAGGGTGCGTCACTAGGCTAGATCCAGTTAGAGCTACTAGATTTATTAACAAATGGGAACGACGGAGACACCAATACAATCTAAATCCGAAAGTGTGCATCTGGCAGCCATGCTGCCATTCGGTTATTGATGTGTGTGGTTGAGCGTCGTGTTTTCATTGTGTTTCCGGAAGTGGTTTCTTCACTGAGAATGTCGGCGGCAAGAAAGTGCTCGTTTAATCCGGACTCGACGAACCCGAATATTTCGGTATATGCAAGTTGGATTAAGCACGTGCAAAATTATACTCACAGTGTTCCATGCTCAATGCCTTGTGTTGGAATGGTCTTTCATATTTAAACGCATCTAAAGTGGTCAGGAAATTTCACCTGAAATCGTCAGGGACAACCTGGAAAAGTCGGGGAATTTCAAAATAATGATTTGCTAGACACCTTGAAGAGGGTACGATAAAACAACATGTTAGTGTTGCTCTATCCCCTCCCCCCCCCCCCCCCCCCCCAAAAAAAAAAAAAAAATGGCTAGGGGTTTTTTCACCACAAAAATGAATGACGCTTCGCCGAATGTTCAGCCTCCACTCAAATGTAGTGCTAGCAGTCCAGACCAGATGCCAGTGCTTCAGAACTAACCGCTATCTTATTCAAAAATAATAATTGATTTCTGTTAAACCTTTAATGGCAAAGTGAGGCCTGTTCTTGAAAACTGGCGCTATTCAGCTCCATGTATTCAAGGGCTCTGTACGCCGCCTTTTTTTCACTGAAAATTTTCAAAAATTGCTCATAGCTTTTTATTAAGATTATGGTTAGTTTGGCATCTTTGGCATCTGGTGGAAGCTGTGCATTCGGTGATGCAGTTTATTTTTGCGGTGAAAAAGTCCCGCACAAAAGTTTAGGGGGACACCCCCAAAATATTTTGGTATAGTTTCATTGCGCATTAAATAATATAATGATAATTGACTAGAGGTGTGCAAAGATTTAAAACTTCATATAATTGGCAATAAGGTTTGCTATTCGATTCTTTTTGCGGCACAACATTAAAGCTTAAAATATTTGAGTTCTATTTAATATCCAAAAATTATGAATAATATCTTCAGAATTCTTTTCTTGCGTCAAGCTTCGCTGCTTCGAACAGATGCGTGGCTTCACTGCTTTGCACCGGCATGGCATAGGAGAAACAACTGACGTGTTGCAGCATCTCTGCATTGCTGATTATTGTAGGTTAACTTTCTTTGCTTGTGACTATAGTCTGACGTCCGATTTTATAATTCAGTGCCAGAAAATAAAATCTTAAGCTCTAGACATTTCTTTGCTTGCCATATTACATTATGCTTTACCCAACTAGGCATGTGCGAATAGTGTTTTTTTAGTTTGAAGCGAATAGTAATTTGCTTCGAATATTTTCGAAGCGAATAATTCGAAAAGTTGTAGGAAAAATTATTAGCAAAAGTTATGCAGTGGTCACTTCACCGACCATTTATTTTTCACTGCAACGCAGCCACAAATCAAAACTTAAGCTCATGCACAAATCAAAACTTAGTACAAGAAAAGTCAGTGATTTTCATGAAGGAACACGAGCTGCTGCACATGATCAGGGAGGAGGAGCTCCCTCCTGCAGCTCACGATGCTTCCTGCGCTTGAGAAAAGCCTTTCACTCCTAGTCTGGGTTGCTGGTATCGAGAGATACCTACGGGCAACACGGACCAGGGATGGGTACAGATGTCTTCCCCTGCACCTCCACCATGCCAAGGGGTCTTCTGTGCGCGCAAGGAGGGGTGTCTTCAGGTACTCGATAGCCTCGATAGCGAATTCGTGGCCTGGCTTTTGGTGCGTGTCAGAACTAAGACTGGTGAATACATCCCACAGGGTGTCTCCTAACGAGTCTCCTATGCCTCCACTGGTTTCGGCGGCTGCATCACTAGGCTCGTCCACTGATGCGCTCTCCTCAACGGCCTTCGTCAGGAGTGTGCATGCCCATTTTTTTTCTGCCTCTCCAGGGTAGCACCCGTCCTTGTACCTGGGGTCCACCAACATTGACAAGGCTAGAAGGAGACACATCTTCCCATCTGGAAATCGTGTCTTGATGCTTTGTATGAGGCTTGAGGCAACTGATCCTGCTTCATCGGTAGAGTGTCGACTGAGAACAACCTTGGTGCACTCTAATAAGGGGATCACTTGGGAGAGGGTCGGATAGCTGTCTCCAGACAGCTCAGCTGTGGCTTGCTCGAGAGGCTGCAAGACCTGCACTACTGCAACCATAAGCCTCCACTCACTTGCACTGAGAGGTTCCACTGTGTCACATTCCGACAGCTCCACACTGACGGGCACGCGAAGCTTCACAAGCCTCTTCATCATGGCGTGTTCACTATTCCAACGTGTTGGAACATCTTGCACAACTTCAAGTGGCTCAAGGTTCATGTTCTTTTGGATTTCCATAAGGCACCCGCGGGCCTTTGCACTCCTTTTATATCAAGCCACAATGGTTCTAGCTTTCGCACATAACTGCGAGAAACCCGCCACTTCTTTTTTGGCGTTGCTGATGCACAGCTGGAGTGTGTGTCCGAAGCACTGCACGCCAGACCACGGTGACCGTGCAAACGCCGAGGTGAAATTCCTAGCGTTGTCCGTGACTACATAAATCGGCATGGTGCCTGGCGCTGGTAGTTCCCAGTCCTCGATAGCACTTTTGATGAACTGTTCCAGGTTTTCGGCCGTGTGGGAGTCCGTCATGTCCGTACAAGCCAAAGCGTGCACGTGCTGTCCAAATTCTTCGTCCATCACGTGGCAAGTCACGGAGACCTAGCTATTGTTTGCGCGCGAGGTCCAGCCGTCCGTCGTGATGGAGTAACATTCTGCTCCGCTACTGAAAATGTCTCGCAGACTCTTTCTTAGTTCTTTCTTTTTGGACTCGTACAGATCCGGGATGACAACCCGCGAGAAGGTCGTCCGCGATGGCACGGTGTAGTCGGGCATGGCGAGCTTCATCATTTCAATGAAACCACTTTCTTCTACGATGCTGTACGGATGCATTCCGCTAGCAATGAAGTTCGCTATTATCGCCGTCATTTGTTTCGCTTTGGGTGCAGTCGGTTTCAGTTTGGGCTTGAAACTGTCGGCTACCGACGGTTGCTGATGGTTCGGTTTACTCCCGTTCTTGTGTTTGACGGCACTCCCGCGTGCTTGACGCTCACATTCGAACGTCTTGTACGAATCAGGGTGCCTTTTCAGGTGCGTTGCGAGGGTCGTTGTCGTACACGTTGGAGTTTTCAGCACTGCCTTGCATTTGAGGCACCGAGCTTCATTTCCCGGTGGCACTTTCAAGAAGTAGTTCCATATCGGATTTCGATACGCACCGGCTTCACTTTCATCGTTCCCGGCTGCCGTCGATGACCCGTCAGCCATACGAACGAACACGCGGCACCTAGAGCGAGCACACTTCGGAATCCTTTGTGGAGCTGCGACGGCTGCGACGCACGATTTTCTGATCGGTTTAGCATGTCTTGGATTGGATTGGATATTTTTTATTTCTTGATGCCGATGCGGCTTTCGTGAGTAACAACCGAAACCGAAACTACCAGATACAATCGGCCTTCCTTCCGCTATTCGTTAGTGCCGAATACTTCGAACTTTTACGAATATCGGAATTCGGATCGAAGCGAATACCGAATAATGTACTATTCGTTCGAATATTCGGAAAAATCGAATATTCGCACATGCCTATACCCAACTCATATCTTGCTGGTGCCTTTCTTGTCATAATTCAAGTGTGTGAAGTGTTTCTCACATAATAGAACTGTCCCTTTCGTAGGAGTGCTTTCTATAAAAGTTTTCTAGCTGGGAGTGTTTGAAGTATCTATGCTTAAGTCACAATAAGTCTAAAAGATTTGTATTTGAAAATATTCTCATTTAATTTGCAGTAAAATTTTAATCATGTTCATTTAACAGGCAGAAATTTGATATTGGTACACCTTGAGAATTTACTGGGTTGGCAGCTTGTTGATGTTTGGTTGGAATTTCGTACATATTTTTGGGCAAAGGTAATTGACAGTTACATACTATGACTTTTCAAGTTAATTTTGTTTCAAGCATGGCCTTTTTGTGCGCATTTACAGAAAAATGTAGTGTTGTGCAAATATGTGAATTTTAGAATGGTGTTGATCGCTTCAGGATAGCCCCGTTGAGCGAGCTTTTTACCGAGCATTGGTGCTCTGCAGAGATGCAACACCCGTGGAGCTCGCTTTTGTGGGTGTTGCCTCTCCGCAGTGCACCGGTGCTCGGTAAGAAATGCGCTCAACAGAGCTTACCCGCCGAAATCAACATTTAAAAAAGTACAAGTATTGCAGTCGCGTGCGTAATAGACGAGCACCCTTTCAAAGCGGGAGGGTTCATGTGCATGTTAAAGAAAGGAATGGAAATGTTGTGAATGTCGATATCTGCACTGCAGTAGAAGTTTCAAAATTAAACTGTGGTTATTATGCAAAAGGATGTGTTAATGAAAAAACAGAGTGCGCAGGCGAGCTGGTGGATGTTGATCATGATGTGGAATACCCGAGACTGGCAAAAGAGGGGAACTTGGGGGAAGAAAAATGACGGAGGAAGAAGGTCTTCTGCCTCTGTCATTTTCAAAATGACAGAGGAAGAAGACATTATTCTTTCTCTGTCATTTTTCTTCCGTCAAGTTCCCCTCTTTTGCCACAGTCTCTTTCTCTATAGGTATAATGTTACGTCAAATCTGTCGTTTTTTCTGCCATCACAATGTAGGTATTGGACTTTCTGAGGCCACAATTCATAAATATACTACGTAGATTAAAATTAATTAGGCCACAATGCATAAATCTACTATGTAGATTAAAATTAATTAGGCCACAATGCATAAATATACTACGTAGATTAAAATTAATTTAGCTCGGAACTGGATAAGTGGGAGCTTGCGGACAACCTTCATGAGTTCAGCTGGTTTCTCGTTTAATCATAGTGAAGTAGTGAAAGGCTCGGACAAACTATTCAATATTCGATTAGAAAATATTCGGTCAAAACCGCTATTCTCTTAGAATTTGCTTTGAACTCAAAATTCACTATTTGCATGCAACTATAGAAATGATGAGAATATTCACAAAGTATGCGCTAATGTCATTTGTATATAAGTGAACTAGTTAATATTCAAATAAAATTCCTCTATGCCTCTTTACACTTTTCTCTTGTGCATTGAGCCACTGCCATTTAAGCTCGTCCCCGATTATGGTAGCAGCTGAGAGATGCCTGTGCGGTGAATCTGCCTGTTTTAGCGTGCTGGTGTAATTGTGGAACAGCATGCTAAGGGCTTTGGTGGTCCCTTTCAGACAAGCAGTACTACCTGGCACAACAGATACACCCCGTGGTGGCCCGGATATGCGCACCGATTGATGGCACGGATGCCGCCATGATCGCCGAAGTTCTGGGTGAGTTTGAAACAGCTTTTCCGAGATGATAGTAGTGTTTGTTTACTTCTGTAAATAGAGTTTGCAGTCATTCAGATTGCTAACGAATGGATCATCTAACAGGTACCAAACTGACAGATAAACAAATGGATCATTCAATATAAAAAAGTATCTTACCCCCCAAAAATTTGGATTTTGGCTTGCAGGGACACGTTGCGCCATCTTTTGGATAGCTGAAGAAGTAGAGTTTCGGTTTCAATTTAGTTTTGCGCTTTCTCACGAGCAGGTGAGCTACCGGAAATAAATCTCCGCACGGCAGAATTGCTTGTCAAACATGAAGTCCCACTGGCACTGGGGACGGCTACAAAGACAGCCTTAATTACAAGATTTACCTGCATTTGCCGCTTCTTTTTTTTTTTTTTTTTATGACGGCAGCAGTGAGGATTGCAAATAATGTTGGATGATTTGATTTGAACTCCAACAGTGGCTTTCCATCCTTGAGGCCCACAGTATTGACAGGTGCTTGCCGGTGAGCTTCGTTCTAGCCTTCTAGGCTGTCCCGAGCTGAGGCGCACGGTTTATACGTGCTTCGAGCCATAAAATGCTGCAGAGAGAAAAGTGCAAGCGGTGCTCTAACAAACTAAGGTTTTGCGCAAAAAAGAAAAAAAGAAAGAAATGTTTTTTGGAGGACGTGGACCACCACATGCACTAGCTTCTCTAAATGGCATGGAACCGCAGAAGCTAACTTTCCACCAGACCAAAAACGACACTAGCATCTAGGGCATTCTACTCTACAGATCTGAAACTGGTGGGTAAAAGGGAGCGTCTTTTTCTATATTTATGACTTAAAATTTATGGCGTGATTTCATAAAGTCGTCAATGTTTACATTTTGTGGAGTTTGCCACGTTCCCAACCAATTGCCTCCGAATGGAATTGCAATACCCTCGAGCTCTTGTGGAACTGTTTATAGCTCTTGTCGTGGCACTGCGGGGGCTCAGGTCTGCGGTTGCTCTGCGAGGTTCCTCCTTCGTCCCATGGTCAAGGTACGGTAGTCCCTCGTTATAACGAAATAGCTTTATTTGAATTATCACTTTTATCGAAGTTAATGCGGTCCAGACTGAAAGGCATGCATTTTTACCGGCTCTTCCAAGTGTGTCGGCGGCCGACCACACTTATTGTGAAGGCCGAGGTGCAAGCCTACACAGAGGCGCAAGGGAGGCCCTCGTATTCTCTCCTCCTCCTTCACCGAGGCAAACTGGGAAAATGGCAAACAGAAAACTGAGCGAGGGTGACAGAGGCACGGAGGGCGGAGCGCCATTTCCGATGCTGATGCACCGACGTGGCCTGGAAACAGCCTCCACGTTCCGGTTATGCACGCCGCCCACGGTCGCACTTTAGCGAAGGGGCATAGAGGAAATCATCTCTTTAAGGTCGGTGTGCCAGATGCAGATAAACCTCCCGACAGTTTATACTTTGTTCTTGGGTTTATGTTGTATTGACTTGGACAGACGGTGCTACTGGAAGGTACATGTTGCTCAGCACTGTTAGTGCGAACGCAAAATCGGCACATTTTCAAATTTTTTTTGAAAAGGACATGAAACTTTATTGCTTATGTTAGTGCCTGGAATGAGCGTTCTGCACCACATTAGTGGTTCTGACGACAGCCCTTTGATTCTAAGAGAATGTAAAAAGCTGGCGATCAGTGTCGTGCAGCATCTATGGGTTAACCATTATGTGAACGAAGTTCGCATATACTCCTTCCCCGCAAAGCGCACAGAAAGCCAATTATCATATAGTGTGTAGGAGTATGTAGATTCTCTCCACTTCACGTGAAGATGAAGGACCAGCGAAGCTGTTATCTTTGCGACAACTATGCTACATGTATATGATTTACATATGACTGCAATGAAGACATGTACACAACTTCATTGTTTAATTGTCTTTATTTAATTCTTAGCGACTCAAGTGATCATTGCCTGATGGTCACAAGGGCAAGTTCTAAACCCAATTTTTTGAGGCACACCTCGAGGACAGTTTTTTCCAATTGAGCCCAAGTCTCTTTATAAGCATCGTAAAAGCGAAAGAAAAGAAGGTAAGATCAGCACGTTCTGCCCTCAGCCTTGTCACAGCACAGTCACAGCACAGCACAGTGATTGGGTGACCGTAGATGATAACAAGTGATCAGGACCTCACTATCTGGTAATGCCAAGGAAGGCTGACTCACGCGGGTTGCCCCCTCTCTTTATTTATACTTGCCACTACCAATCGGGATGAAGGAGTGCCATTTAAACAGGAGATTTTTGTTAACATCCATGGACGGATTTTTTTCCAGATCCTAGCACATAACAGCTTCGCTGTATTAATATTTTAGAGCAAAGGCTGACTGCTTACTGAAGAAGCTGTCGATACACGACTGCACACCGCGATTCACAGACCTGCTCACGATTGCTGCCTCTAATGTGTCCAATTGCACGAAAATGTTCTGTCCAAGCCGGGCACCAACAAAGTACAACCAGAGCACATCAACCACCGCGATCGCCATTCTGGTGGACACAGACTACTTCACGCGGCAGTCGTAGTCGCTGTCGCTTTCGTTGGCTCGCACATCCCCAACGGGGCCACAATTCGCAAGGTCTTCGTCCGTCATTTCCTCCGTATCGACGACGTCGTCCTCTGTCGTGACGAACTTGACGAGGTTAACGCCAGACGGGACGAGCTGCACCTGTGCCAGGCTCTCCCACATGTGCTCCAGCAGTGTGCAGATCTCATTGACGGCCGGAACTCCGTTGTCAGCAACCACTTTGTCGCTTGCAGCAGGAGCCTCCAAAACTCTCGTCCGGGAAAAGTCGCCGCTCCTAAAGCATTGGGCGATGGTTTCGGGCTTCACATCTTTCCACGCTTCGCTGCCCATAAACACTACTCTGACCAACGTAATGTTGCATTCTTTCAGTGGCACTGCAGTGCAATTGTCAATAAGCAGACGCTCGATCACTCAACGACGGTAGTGCACCTTCAGGTTCGCTTTGACTTCCATTGGCTGAAGTTTGGGGTGTTTGGAGGCAGAAAGAGCACCTCCACGGCGCTGAGCAGTAGGTTGATGTGGCAGGCACTGCAGTTATCCAGTAGTGGCAGCGCCTTCCGGTTTTGCGAAGCCATGTCTGCGTCAAAACCAGCGATCCACTTGCGGAAGCGGTCCTACCATCATCCATGCTTTGCCATTCTGGACGTACGTCACAGGAAGGGGACTTCATGGTCGCAAAGCCTCGTGGTTTGTGGGACTTCCGAATCAGCGGCAGCTCTCGCTTGTCGGTGCTGTCCGTGTTGGCGCAGCGGTGTGACGCGCTCCTTGTTCGTCTTGGCTCTTTGTCTTAGTCTTGGCAGCCAACCCAATAATATACACACGCATTTAGACCCCCCTCCCCCTCTCGGCACCCTAAGTCGTAAACGTCCCAACCACCTCAGCCCCCCCCCAAAAAAAAAAAAATTTGTGGCTATGGCACTGCTCCATGCCTAGGTGCCTCCGGCCAAAAAAACACCGCGGGTGCTGCAGATTGCTCGCGCACCTTGCCAGATGCGTCTGTGTTTGTAGTTCGTGGCCAAAAGCAGGACAGGCGACAGAATGTGAAAAGAAGAAATCTGAAATTTAAAAAGAGCAACTCTCTTCACCAATAGCGAAAAGTCAAACGAACTAACAAAAGTCGCGTAAAATCATATGCAGCAAGAAGAGACGAAAAGCAGCAAAAGTCAAAGATGATTGAGCCATTTAAAACGCTAGTTATTGCATAACTGTTAATGAACACGCTCGACCGGCAAAAGGCCCTTAGGGGGGTTGTGGAGATTCTGTGTTTTTGCCCTGTGCGACCCTGCCGCTTTGTACCTTTCGCTGGAAACTCTAAACAAACAAGCACGCTCTCTTCACTTGGCCCGGTGGCGGGGGCGGGTGACGTAGCCAGAGACCACATCGCAGGTTGTGATCTTGCCCTGGTCATTCTCTGTGTGTGCAAACTGATGGTGGGATTACTCGGATCCAAATTGTAGATTCAAAGCTAGTTTGGGCAAAACTTTTCACCGTGACGAAAATGATGAATTCTAAGAAAACAGAAAAAGCTTTCCATTACTTGCTCGTTAATTTGAGATATTTGATCTTGAATTGGTTTGACCAACTAAAATCTACATTTTGTTAGTGCCATAATTAGAAAAAGGGTAATTTGTAACTTCATAAAAAAAAGAAACATAATTTAAACATGTTTCTTCCTTCGAGACCAGTGCTGTTCCCGTGCACGGGATGAGCCTCGTGCCTTGTTTCCCGTTGCCACCGCAGGTCTTAACCCCGCGCACTATCGGCATTACAACCACAATGACGAGGACGACACGGAACGTCGGCTGAACGACGGCAGCGCATCGGGCTTGGCCTTGTACAAGAGTTGCGAGAGGGTGACGCTGAGATGTCCGTCGGAGGGCTGCACTGCGGTCATTGCCGTCGAGGACATCTTTGAAAGAACGGTTTGTGAAATGCTGGCTTCTGTGTCCTCAAGATGTCGTAAAAATCACAGTTGGTTGGCCATCTAGAAAATTCTTAAGGAGCTGGACTCCGTTCTATTGGATACTTGTAACACCCTTAATTTTTGTTGAAGCAGACGAATACATGCAGCAGGCTAGGGAATAAAAGAAGCTACAGTTTGTAGATTTTTGTAGAAGGGCATTAAGTCATGCTAGCTATTAGTTAGCTTGCTAAACAAAGTTGTAAAGACAAAGACTTGTAGGGCTACATGAGGACTATGATGCGAAATGTCAAAATTGAGGTAGTTCTGGCTTATTAAGGGCTTTTGGGATCCTGGCCTTACAGCGATTCTACAATTTAGCAGACAGGAAATAAGAGGAAGCTTCAGTATGTGGATTTTCAGTAGAACTTCAGAATACATTGACTTTTTGGTACATTAAATTTCAATGAAAATGAAGACCTGATGTCGTCAATCATGGGTGTTACTGTCTAGCATAGTGTGCACCCAATGGTTCATTGGTACTGGTTTCCTTGTAGCTTGTCTGCAGTTACCCTTGTCTTTCTGGAGAGCTGCCCTGTAGTCACATCTTGTTAAAATTACTTTATTTTTTTCCTAGTGACATGACAAAGTTTGTTCAGTTCTAGCTTCGACGAGCAAACTCGGCACGTCTTTTTATTTCAGGGTGTGGAACTCAGGTTTGTGCTGGAAGAGTGCCCGCAGTGCAAGACAGCGCTCTGCGGCTACATCAATGCTCTGTGCAACCAGGTGACCCTGTTCATCAGGGACTGCATCAGCAAGTTCTACGCAGTAAGTGGAGAGCACAGACAAAAAAGTATATTGCACATTAGTTCAAACGTTCCAGATCAAGGTCATTCGCACTGCTTTTGAAAAAAGAGAAACTGCATATCAAACCGTAATTTATGACTAGGGTTCCGTGTTTTTGGATAAATCCGAAAAATGCCCTCCGGTAAAATTTTGGTCAATTCGGATTTATCCGATAAACTCCGAATTTTTATGTGCCAATGCCGCCCCTGCCCAAATGAACTAAGTAGAGATGGTTTTTTACAATTTGATCAGTGCACAGGGTCAGTGATCCCGGGAAAAAGTCACCACAGTTAATCTTTCAAATCTCAAGTCATTGAAAAAAGAGGTCTTACCGCTTATCTCGTCAAGGTTCAGGGCGACATGTCATTGTACTTTCGGGTCACGACTAAAGCTTCTGTATTGGTTGCGAGTTTAGGCCATACTATTTTTGTTTTAAGAGGAAGGAAAGGTTGTGTTTTTGTAACAGTTAAAGCTATGGACCATAGAGATTGCATAAAATTGGAAGAGGGGCAGTTGAAACTTCCCTATTCCATCCTTTACCACTCCACCTTGCGCAACCGTGGAATAGGATGGGATGGAATACGTGCTTCCCAGCGACTACCTCCACGAGTTTATTTTTAAGGTATCAACGTTTATCAAAGCACAGATGCGTGCAACTTTTGCCATGGGACAAATTAGTATTGCCAATAGCACCAACACCAAACCCAGCTCAAGAAATATTATTTGATATAAGCGCATTTCATTTTTCTTTATCTGGCATATGTTTACACACGGATATTATTTATTTATTTTTCATAGGAAACACTGGGAAATTAAGCTCCGAATTTCGGAGATTTTAAAATAAAAAAAAAAAATAAACTGAATTTTCGGAATCCAATAAACTCCAACAAACACTGTCCGAATTTGCCGAAAAATTAATTCCGTAAACACGGAATCCTATTTATGTCCAAGTGAAGGGGGCCATATAAACCGAAGCTAGTGGTAGGAGGGAACTCTGCTCATATATGCACCGTGTTGTTCTTACTGTTTACTGTCTCGGGAAAGAAGATATTTTCAACGGCCCGAAATTCAGTCTGGCATCTTCGATAGATATCATCATCCGAGTGCATGGCGTCTATTTGTGCTGATGGTGGCCTTTTGGTGGCTGACGAACCAAGCTGATGACGGGCCCTGATAGAAATAGCACGAAGCCTGGGCAGCTGAGACGCTGTTCCGCTATTCTGTTGTTCGACGTCAGCGTGCTGAAACTTATAAGGTTCTGCGCGCAACGCATTTGAGTGTGTCTCGTAATTCCCTGAAATGCTTGCCTTCGGCATCCTCCATACAGCCTACAACAATAAAATAGAGGACGTCAGTGCATATCCCTTTTGGATACAAACATTGCCTGGGCATTTTTCGGGCTCCTGTCTAAAGGCTGGTTCCCACAGCTATGTTTTTTTACATTATACGTTACATTACGGAAACTTGCGTCTGCTATGCCAAGTCACTGGGGCATTTGGGCTTCGTAATAAGCGTGGCTACCACTTCAAGGAGGTAGCCTGGCATGTGACATTTGAGACACAAATGTTTCGGTGACTTGCACGTAAAGGCTGGTTCAGACAGATGCGTTTGACTGCATCGCATTGCAGAGTTACTGCAAAATCCGTGCTTCGTAAGCAGAATTGCAAGCTGCTTCTTCAGTTGGTTGCCAGGCTTCATTTGAAGCACAAATATCTCGGTGACTCGTGGTTGTATCTTGACGCAAACCTCCGCAACGCTGTCTAACACAGCTAGTGTAAGAAAATGTAAGAAAACGGCGCTGCATGAACCAGCACTGTTTTGAATTTGAAATCAGTTTGCACATACTCGGCTCCCAAGTTCCTCGATGTGGTGAATTTTATTGAAAGCTTTTCTCGGGTAAGCGCCTCGTACACCATCAATTAGGATTTATCCGAAGAACTTGAAATTTAAAAGTCGGGATGCGCTAAGTTTAGTCAAGGAGCATGGTTAGTAGCCATCAAAAGACAATCGTGTTTTTTTAAAATTTGGGACGATTGACAAGAGGGGAGTTTTCACGCCTGGTTTATCTGGTGAACGGATCATGGTATATCTTCGTCAATTGAAGAGTCGTCGTGTACGGAAAATACTCTTGTTTTCACATTTTGTCAAATGACTGTTAAATGACTGTTGTCAAATGATCATTGTTGAGCACACATCTTGTGCATAGAGGGGTGCAGACACCATGCGCTTACGGCCTGGTGACATGGTAAGACGACTGCGCATCAAGAACGGCGTGACAGGCCAAAGAAGAGACCCCCAGCCCGTGTGCGTAACACCTAGCAACCGAGGTGCAGTGGGGGAAAGTGGGGCTAGGGTGTACTTGGGCCACCGGCAAAGGGCGCCGCAAGGCAGTGTATATGGGTGGCCCAAGGTGGGTCAGTCGTTTGTACTGAGCCATCCGCAGATTGTCACCGCAAAGCAGCGTGAACGGAAGGCGGGGTGTGTCGATGCGCACCCCAGCGATATGCCTGCTGTCCCGTGGCGATGTTGGAATCTTTGAATGCCTGTTCTCTAACCAGTCCAAGGTCCGCGCGTGTACCAGGGCACTAATGCTAAAGCATTGAAAGCTCAGAAAAAAAAACCTTCGAACTTCACTAAAAATAAATTTGGAAAACAGGGAGCCCTGCTAATGATGTGTCTCGTCCTCCTTCAGGGATGGCTCGTCTGCGAGGACTCCGTATGTTCCCACCGAACGAGACGGCTCCCCTTGCGGTTCGTGAAGGCGTCGCCACTGTGCTTCGCCTGCGAACGTTCAGTCATGCACCCCGAGGTATGGAGCAGCACTACTTGGGCCTCTACCATCTTTGCTTTTTGCTCGTGTAGCTCGTTTAAGGTGTTTTCATTTTGGTGCTCCAGTACAAGACATCCGACCTGTACAATCAGCTCCGATACCTCAGCAAGCTGTTCGACTTCTCAAGGGCTGTCGCATCACTGCCCGAATCCGACAAAAGTAAGTCTCCGCCTGCAACTTGTTTAACGCAGAATGTGTTGGCAACGTTTTTCGTGATTACTGATAGAAGGAATTGCACGAGGACACCTAAGTACATTGGGGAAGTATTCCATGTACAATGAAAGGAAAGCAAGCTATGTACACTGGGTGATATATACAAGTCAATTGAGAAGGGGGTATTTTGGTACTGCTTATAGCCCCCCCTTCTGGAAAATAACGAGCTCTCGCCGAGCAGACTTTTGTATGCCTCTCGAGATGCGAGCAATCTTTCCATTTGCCATGGAGCCGGTGGAGCGCTCACCGAGCAGCTCCCACCGATCCGGGGTAAAGTGACGAATCGCATCGAGCGATCCGGAGAGGTCCTTTGCGCGGCCTTTTTCAAAGCAGTTTTATCTGTACTCGCTTGAAACATTTTAGTTTCGATACTGTGTTAGCAACGTTGCCACAGCCACGAAAGCGATTGCGCCATAACACTTTGATGACAGAAAGTTACGAGAATATTGGAGGGACGCGGTGCTGTTATGGCTCGCAACTGCACCGCATTCCACCGTTACTAACTGTTAGAAGTTCTGCAAAGTGATTTGACGTGGTGCCACACTGTCGACATTCTTGCCAAACCTTCGGAGTTGCAAGTAAGACGCGTAAAACGTCACCCTTACGCGCATCTCACGCACCTCGAGTGCGTTTGCACTGGCAATGCACGGTGTAGGCCATGGAGCGCTTGCCGGAGGCCGAGCATTGGAACGACATGCTCTTCTCGCTCTGTCAAGGACCAGAACTTCTAGCGATTTCCTGTAACACGCTTCCCACGACGGAAGGTGATGAACAGTTTGAGGGCTGCATCGGCGTTTGGCTCACGCTGGTGTTCTCACCGATCGAATGTCCCAGCCGAACGTCGAGGCAGCCCCCGTGACCAGTCCAGACAACACCCAGCTCCAAGAGGAGCTTTGTCTGTCCTGTTTTTCTCTTGCTCATTGCTTAACGTGTCGTGTTGAACCGGCTCGCTTGCACTCTTGCTTTAGAGAAATAGCAGGGTCAAAGCTGGAGCTTGCAACCCCGAGGAACGTCAACTTTGCATCCCGCTCCCGCCGAATCTCTAGATTTGGCGGGGCTTTCTTTTTGGTGCACAACGCACAACGACATTTGCTTCGTTGAGGCTCAGAATGGGTACCGAATTCGTCCGTGCAACATTACCGCCACCTTTGCCACGATAATACTGCAAAGGAGCAAGTTGTTTTTGCGTTAAACTTGACCGTTTGGGCCGCTTGAGCCGTGCGACTATCCACTCACGAAGCCAGTGATACGGACCCAGCCCAGCTAGTGTTTTTTTGCTCAATGCACGACACTGCTTACGACGTTGCTGCCAAAAAATTACAGGGGTTATGACACGAAAATTAAACGAATAGATTATTCTTGAAATGGAATGCTCATAGGCTACTTAGTATATACACCAAGTTATGCGATTTTGAGAGCTCTGATAATTGCAATAATCACTTTACAAATTTTTGTCATTTTCCTCTGGCAACCAGGCAACACTGCCCAAGTTAGTCACATCATTGTGTCCATAAACCACGTGACCATGAATGCTTTCTCTAGGCGCCCGCATGATTGCCCAAGCTCTCCTCACCACAATACGATCAAAACCATTCACGCAATTCGGTAACTTGAACGGTATTCTTGCTGTCACCCCCGGCCCGTTGACCTTCCACCCTGCATGCGCCTGCGAGATATTCCCGGACGACGGTGACCACGGCGAGTTTGTCCGTAACTCGCCATCGCTAGAGGTGGTCGCCAGCGGATCGCAGTCAAAATGAACAGCTTTGAACACCTCTTGGTAGCAATCACTCTCATCGCTGGTGTGATTAATGTTGAACACTTTGACAAGGCGAGCGATGCCGTAGACGCAATCGTTACGGACCGCATGCTTGAAGCACGGAAGGTAAACGAGGAAGCTGCAGCTCGAGACGCCAAGAGAGCCAAGTCTGTGAGTGCGTGCAAGGAGGCGGGAGGCTGGCTACGTAGCCAGCCTCCCGTTTTGCTTGGAACCATTCCTCCGAGGGACTCGCATATAAATCGATTTATCAATGAAAATATCGCACCGTTTTCAAAACAAATTTAGCAGGTAATAGGAACATACATTGGATCCTAGCAGTAGTGTTACCTCATATCTCACAGACGACGACAAGGAAGAGAAGGAGAATGTCTCAAAACACAGATAAACCTTTATTGAGGACAGGACCCTTTATATAGAGTTGAAAAAAGAAAGAAGGAAAGGGAACCCTTCTTCACACCACCTCTCTCCACAAAAGACACGACACCACCTCACTCCACAAAAGACACAACACTGGACCTCTCACAATGGGGTCTAACCAACAAAACAACTGACAACACCAAAAATAACACATCATTTAAAAAAAAAAAAAAAACGCAGGGAAATCGCAGATTGCACTGGACCTTTCATTGAGGGAGTCAGCTATAAGACTAAACAGAGAAAAAAAAAGGAAGTAATATTAACAGTATCATTAGAGATTTAGAAATCACTTCCATTCCGCATCTAAAGGCAAAGGGGGCCTGTTCACTGCATTCCCATGCTTCGTTATTGCGATTGACTCTTTCAGCAGGCGCTTGTGATCGTTTCTTTCTGTTACAATTGTGGTTGTAGAGTTCCATAATGGCACACAATTCCTACATTCCTGAATATGGTTGGATACCTCAGAATATGGATCCTTGTTTTTGACACATTGTTTATGTTCACCTATTCTATCATTAGGACACTGCTTCGTTTGACCTATATAGCGCAAACCACAATCAAAACGCATCTTGTAGACTATACCTGAAACACATGTACACACTTTTCCCTGTGTTTTTTTAAGCAATCTTTCTGGGCGGAAGCGAGCGGAGTTAACCGTTTCAAACTGCTATCTGTGCTAAACGCCATGCGTAAACCAAACTTACCGTATTTACTCGATTCTAGGCCGGCATCGATTCTAGGCCAAACCCCCAAAACGGCAAGGCCGAAAAAAAAAAATTCTTGATTCTAGGCCGATCAGAAACGAACGGTAAAAACACCATAAATTAAACACAGAATGGCAGTTGTTTCCAATATACAATACTAGATCAGCTACGAAGTTGACGGGGCTGTTAGCGGTTTACGTCTGCGTTTTCAAATAAAGACGCGGGCAACGCCGCGAGTCGCCGTGTGTTTACAAAAGTAAGCATTTTTTTGTGTGTGTGTGTGTGCGCGTCCGCTAAGGCGAGAAGGGAGGGGGCAAGGAGCAAGGTGCATGGCTGGCATGGCGCATCGCGTCCTTCTCCTTCCTTTTCGCCCCTTGCGCACAGAGGGGCATGCGGGAGCTGCGCGGCAGCGGAGACGCGAAACCCAACGCCCAAGGTATGCGCGCAAGCGGCGGCCTGCTTGTTTTTCGTGCACCAAAAGCTTTCTGAAACATGAAGTGGCGCGACTCTACGGCGACGAATAAATACGGCAGTTTCGGTTTCGGTAGCTGGCATTGCCGCAAAGTGGTGTAGGCGGGAACCGCGTCCTCGTTTCTAGGCTGACCCCCGAGTTCCGATTTTAATTTTTTAATAAAAACTATCGGCCTAGATTCGAGTAAATACGGTATCACCGACTGATCTTAAATTGTGCGAAATCTTGTGGAAGAATGGTACGACTACAAACTTTTTGTGCTCGGGCATTTTCCTAATTTGTTTGTTTTTTCAACAATGTACGAAAGCTGCTTGGAAATAAATTCTTAAGGATACTTTGCAACATTTAGCCGGGAAAACACAACTTGAATCAATGTCATAGTAGAGTGCCAGCACGACTTTTGAACCGCGCTGTTAATCATGTTTCGATCCAATCCTGCCTTGACATGCTTTCAATGGCAACTATCAAAGGGAAGTACTGGTTTAGCCTTTACTTTGCCAAACGACCAACATAACCCAGGGACCAATCTGAGCTGGAGTTCTAAATACTGAAGTACGTTGTTGGCTGGCCTTTCTATAGAAAACTGCAACTCCGGTGCCTCCTTGTCCACGGTATTCTTGATGGAACCAACAAGGGCTGAGTCATGGACACATACCAATATGTCATCCACGTATCTTCTAATAAGTACTGAGCTCGGGTGGTGAAGTTTAATCATCTCAGGCAATTTTACGTCTAAGCTCCGGAGGTATATTTCTGAAAGGGCCGGGGCGACAGCCAAACCAATACATACACCTTGACGTTGAATGTATTTCCGCTCATCAAAATTTACCACTGTCGACTTTAGATACAGTTCAAGTATCCTTAGAAAATCGTTGATCTCTATACCAGACTGGGACTGAAACCGAACTAAATTCTCCTCTAGAAACGAGCAGAACCTAGAGAGCAAAATGGCGGGTTGGAGTGGATAATACAACTCCTTGATATCCAGGGAAAAAATCATGCAAACTTTACCATGAAACAGTTGAATATCGCATATCAAATTCATGGATGAACCTAATGCAAACGGGCTTTTGAAATTTAGGTAAGAAAGACCATTCTGAAGGAACGTGGAGACAGTTTTTTGCCACGTGCCATCTTCGTTGATACCTACTCTCAGATGAACGTCAACCTTGTGGTCTTTCAAAAAGAACTTATTGGCAAACGTATCTTTCAAATTTCATTATGGAACTCGACAACCCCAATTGTAACAGAAAGAAACGATCACAAGCGCCTGCTGAAAGAGTCAATCGCGATAACGAAGCATGGGAATGCAGTGAACAAGCCCTCTTTGTCTTTATATGCGGAATGGAAGCTGGCATGTTGCACGTTTCCGAGACATGTCGGCATCTGTGGCGTTACGCTTTTCGAAAAGAGGTCACGGTGGTCGGAGGAGGGACTCGCCATAAGTCACATGGATTGTTTCACACTTCGTGCTCTTTGGGACCTCGTATCCAGCACGGCTGCACAGGAGGTACATTAATCTCAAAACTCGAATTTATACAAGAAATGCTCATGAAAGTTTTACTATCACAAA